GTTCAAGCTTTTTTGATTCACTCAATGATTACACACGCATGCGTGACTTCAATGCAGCAGGTTATCGAACGTCTCATTTGTAATTATGTAATGCGATTTATTGTGAAAGGTCACTAATTTCGTTTGGTGCTCAAATTAACAGTGGAAACGTTCATGTTGATTTTTAAAACTTTGAGATGCTATTCCATGAACTTCATATTTTCAAGACAATAGTGAAGTATCACACAGTCCATTTATAAACTGATATCTATAATAAGGTCACCAATATGATTTCCGCATTGATATATGAATAAGACTTCAATGAAAACCTTCAACTTTCCATTTTGCCTTCCATTTTTAGAAAAATTGCCCAAGGATTTTCCATCATATCTTTTTCAACACAAGTATCTATAGAAGTATAAATAAGAATCAAAGAAATTAAAAAAAAGGTGGTCTCTATATATAGACCTCAACCTGCTTTGAAAATGTACGAGCCAATGAGGATGCTGCACTTTGTTGAGGCAAGAGTTCACCCAATCAAAGTCCCTTACTGGCCTTAGAGAATCATCAAGTTATGTTTTCAGTTTACTTTTCTCTTTTCTAGGTTCCCAAAACTACCGAAAGGGCCTCCATCAGAAATTCAATTTTTAAAAGCTGGATGGGGGAAGAAGTCTTCAATCTAGGGAAGTCGGGATACATTATTCACAAAGTAAAACAGAATAACTGCAGTACAGTTCAGTGTGCTAATTCTCTACTGACTGAGGTACAACTTCATTCTTCTACTGCAGTATTTGACCCCAGCAACACGAACGAAAAGCTCTAGGAAAAATCTGAACTTTCGCATTCAGAAGTTCTTACATTCTTTTATAATCTTTTTTGTGACTCTACCAAGAAGTCTAAAAAAAAAGAGAGCAAAACCGTGTTTCCCAGCATGAACTCCCATTTGCACAGAATCTGCCTCTTCTATAAAATGTGGCAAATAATTTAGGAACATTTGCCATGAACCGAAATCAATTTATTGCAAATTATCACTAATTTTTCAAAGAATTGGATCAGTTGAGTTTTGTAGACTAAGAATGGAAGAGACTGCCCCAATTTCCAAAATGACCGAAGTCCGGCATTTCTCCTCAGCTTCCAGGAAAAAAATGAAAAACACACGCGGATTGCCGTCGCCGTAGATATAAATCATTTTCATTGCCTCATCGACGCACGTTTTTCAACACATGACTAAAAAAATGTCATCCTTAAAGAGAAAGGGGGGGTCAAAATGAAAAGGCAATAAACAAGGTGGAACCTCACCGTAACCAACAAACCGCCGGCTGGCTCCCACGAAAAAATGTTTCCCCCCTCTCCACAGTGAATAACATGTCTCTCGCGTATCGGTCACTGCTTTCAAAAAAAAAATCACTCAAACCAATTCCATCCACCTAATCATAACAACGTTCCCGTGCTCCAGTCTCAACCATATAAAACCTCGTGGTTCGTTTTTCTCTTCTTTCTTTCTCGAAACAAGCACACTGCGGTGTTAAGCCAGGGCTGTCCCTAACCTCTACCCCGCCTAACACAGACAGTTGCGACTAGAACCTCATTATTCGCCGAAAAAAGGCGAATTTCAGGACGGTGTCGAGTCGGCTCACCTGGATAGAGTCCAATGGTTCAAACATAACGCAACGTAAAAAGATGCCCCGCTATCTGAATATGAGTCCAACTCCCCACCAATAGGCCGAACATTAAAGCCTGGATAATTGATGCTGCTTTATTACGCGATCGACCTCTCCAAAATTTGCTACCCCAAGCAATACATGCAGTATCCACGGAATTTCTCCCTCAACTCCTGGCCGTGGCCTTCATTCAGGTTCATCTGACATAAAATATAATGAAAGAAAAACACAATAAATAATAAAATTGTCATCTTTTCTCAGTCTCTGTCGATCTTGCCTCTTTTTCTGCTCATCAAACCGTCACTTCAACATGATTTTGTTTTCCGTTTTTCAACACATTCTTTCACAAGATCATCAATAATTTCCCCATGAGAGATCAAATTTTGAAACTCACAGCCCCCCCCCCCCCGACATTTATATTCAGAATCCGGATGTGGCCTATAATTATGGATGATCTGAAGCGATACGAAGCGCATCGATTCTGCCAAAAATCGATTGCGGCAAAATTATTGTAACTTCTCACAGTGAAACAGAAACTCAAACTTTTTAATAGCTGAATTTAATTTCTACAGTCCATAACCTTCACTCTTAGAAATGCCTTAGAGAAATTTAGGCCACGCTTGAACATAGGCCGCATCCTAATTTCGGTGGACTATTACAAAAACGATTGAAGGAAATTGGCCTCTAGTTGAGTATCTTGAACATAGACAGCATTCCGGTTTTGACTTTTGAGCCCATTTTTTCGAAAAAAAAAAAAATTTCCACAATCCTATAAATGCACAGTATTTAGCAACGAACAAAATACTTTTAATTAACTCTCGACTTTGTTTTATTCCATGAAAAAGCCATCAAGATTTGGCCATGATGCAACGCATTAACCACGTGCTGATTCATGAATAAATTTGGGTCGGCCACGCACTAAAACAGCACCAATGTCTTTTTCTTTTCTTCCGCGAACTGAACAGACAACGCGTCAATTCCAAAGGTTATATAAGCAGACACAAAGTGGTCATCAGACCTGAACGAGTTCGATTTTACACAAAGCGGTCATCAGACCTGAATGAGTTCCATTGATTTTACACAGCGACTCCGCAAGACACGGGGGAAAAAAAAATACGGAGCCCTGGGGAATCGCAATTCAACGGAGCGAGTTGTTCCGCGCATCATTACTGAAACCAAATCCAGGTGAGCCGACTCAAAAACGTCTTCCAAGGAAACAACAACATCCGGTTGACCGCGAAATAAATAACATACCGTTAATTGTACCGATTCAAGCCCGGGTCAGTTAAAAAAAGGCGGTGAGTTTCTCCTCCTCGCCCCCGTTTTTAAGTACAACCACAGGTCCAATAGTTCTTCCTCCCTAAGGGAAAAATATATTCCTATATAATTATGTATATGCATATAAGTGGTGAAGGCGGACGTGCGTAACTTCTGTCCCTGTGGGGGGCGTCCATCACAGATCGGCAGGGGGTGGGGGGGAGCAGATGGGGGGCGAGTTCAGCTCTGCGGCACTGGGGTCAGAGGGATTTGCCCGCTGTCGTTTGCTGGTTGCCCGTGGTGATGTTGGTACGCGTCCGGCGTGTAGTGCTGCTGCTGCTGTTGCTGCATGTCCGCCGGCGAGTTTCGAGAGTCGCGACGGGCTTCCTCACCTGGCAACCAAACAACGACGCAATGCATTACAAGATTCCGACCCACCGACCGAGTCACTCAAACCTGGCGGACTCTCACTACAACTCCTCGAACAAGATACAATAAATTCGAACCTCTTTCAGCCGAACTTCAAGGGACCTGCCAAAAAATTCGACTTAGGGAGGTTTCGAATTTTACAGGTTGAAACTTAAAAAAAATGTAAATGGTGATATTCTGGGGCTTAATGGCTTCTTAAATGAGTAGAAGAGGTTGCTAAACTTAGAGGCAGGGGTTCATTTGCCCAATTAAGCCTTTCAATTCCTTTAAACCCTAGAAATTTCTGTTTTTATTTCTTTCTTGGGTGAAGAAAATAATGGCCAAAGGGACAAAGAAAATTCAACTTATGGAGGTTTGAGGAAAAAGCTTTCGACTTAAGGAGGCTTTTAATATAGTGTTTCTAAGGGGATTCAGATGGGGATATGAAAAAATTCGACTTAGGGAGGTTCGAGTTATCGAGGTTCACCTGTATTCAAAACAATCGAATACAATGTATAATACATTCGAACCTCCTTTAGTCGAACTTCAAGGGATCAGAAGAAAAAAATTGAGTTAGGGTGGTTTGGAGTTTAAGAAACAAGCATTTTTGTTAGGGAAAGGACAGAAGAATTACAGTAAATTGTAATCAGTGATATTCTGGACCTTGAATTGCTGCTTGTATGAGTTTACAGGATGCTGAACTTCGGGGACAAGAGATTATTTGCCCAAAACACATGAATTCACAATTTTATTGCTTCTTTTCTTTCCCGTATCAATAAAATACTGTAATAGTCAAAAAGCCTCAGAAAATTCGAATACTGTTCGGCTTGAAAGGAAAAGCCTTCGAGTTAAACAGGTTTTTATATAATTTTTTCTGATGGATTCAGACAGGGACTGGACAAAAATTCGACATGGGGAGGTTCGATTGATCGAGGTTCAACTGTGAAACAAATTCAAATCCATAATTGGCCGGCCTCTACGCGATTACAGGCCACAACTTATTTCCTGACAAACATTTCATGAAAAGAAAAAATTGTGTTGGCAGCAGGTTTCAAAAGCTCAAGAATGCCAATGATCACTTTTATCATAAAATGGGTGGACTCAAGAAAGGAATTCAAGGGACCAGAAAAAAATCGTCGTCGAGAATCCCCATGAAATGGGGAAAGAAGTCGATGGGAAAAAAATTTGGAGTACAGAGAAAATCGTTGTAAACAACATTCTTGTGGAGAAAGCCCACCTATAGAGTGAACAATACATGTGAAAAATGTAATTTAGCAGCATTCCCATTTCATAATTGATGATTATCAACCGCGAAAGAGTTACCTACGAAAATATAATGCTTCATTAGAAATAACTTCTTTGTCAAACAAAACATTTTGAATGAAAACTGGGAATTTGAGCGCAAGGTTCCTCAACCTACTTCTGGATTTTAAAACTTCTTGGAACACGCTAGAATATTCTTGGGTACAAAGAAACCCAAAAATACACACGTTGTGGAGTGTACCTCATACTGTACTTCCTCAAAGCATGTCATACCCCTATTTTCTAGGAAAGGACAATTTTGGTAAACCGAAAATGCCCTCAAACCGTCGAAGAATGATGTCTTCACCGAACAAATGGTGACGACATCATGAGATTTGACCACACACTACTACATTTTAAAATGCCTGGTCACATTTTGATTTTAATGACGGAACTACTGCTCATGCAAAAAAATTTGCGTACCACTGATCACAACGCTTCTTATTAATATATTCGCACCTCAACTGGAAAGATAAGAGCCTTACAAAAGAAAATTTTAAAATTTCGTAATAAAAAATCAATTAACCCAATTCCTAAATTTAAAAAAATCCTCAAAATGAAAAAAAAGGCTTCAATTCGGCCGTAATACTATTTCAGAGGTGAACCATGACGTAAAAATGCCCTTTGACAGGACACTTTAATAAGCATGTGAAATGCAATCCATTGAACGCTCAAAAATGTATTCCGTCATAAAAATCATGTAATGCAATATGCACATGCACTTTGCTTCCAACTCTCTTAGAACGGCTTCGGTTGCATAAAAATGTGATCAGCAAGTACAAAAAAAAAAAGAAAGATGGACAAAATAACTAGGTTGGTCATGATTTCCAATTCGCAAACGCTAACATTCCAACCCTTGCTGAAAGGCCAGGCGAAGCATGAAGCAAACATAACTAGTGCCAACAAAAGATGTTGCCAAAAGCGTGAGAATATTAACTCACCTGACTGGCTCATATCCATATCATCCATACCCTGCTGACTTCCAGCGCTCGCAGACACGTCTACCACCTGGGAAGGGTCCGAGGACGGATCTACTCTTCCATTTGGACCTACAACGATCCCAACTCGGTTCGGATCTTGCTCCGAACTAGAATTTTTATGCTGTTCGTCCTCCTCCTCCTCAGCCATCGCACACTTGCGAAACCTGTAACAATACAAACGAAAATAATTTCGAGAAAAAGAGAACTATTCAAATACTTAATCTTACCCAGCAAATACTGCAGTTTTCAGAATGAACATACAACCCGGGGATAATTATTAAAAAAACGGACTAAAACCTGTTATCGACACCATCAATAAATCTCAAGTCATTGCCACTGAACCGGGAAAAAAATTAAAAATCCCTACAAAGATTAAAAGCACATGAGGTTGAGATGAGAATATCCTGAAAATGCAGAAGGGCAAAAATGATTTCACATAATGAACTATGTGCCTCTTCGATTTTCCACGAGCTCCGACATAATTTTTTTTTCCCATAGAGTTGACCCAGCTTCGGTTATTCAACTGTACCAAAAATTATCAACCAAAAAAAAAAATCGGACTGCTTTGCGATTAGAATTTATATTTTTCGCGTGGATGGAGTATTATCGTATTTTTAAAGATAAAATTTGTCATTTCATGTGAAATGAATACAGGTGGACTTTCTCTAAAACGAAATTCTAGGGACCAGAAAAAGTCATCGCAGAGAAATCATGTAACATGACTCGTAAAGTAAATCATGTAACGAACTCCATGACCCAAAAAATCTTACAGACAAGTTTGTGGACAACATCATTGTAGACAGAGTCCACCTGTTTTCATTTGTCAATTTATTCACGCCGGAAATTTCCAAAGAATCTTGAATGGAATACGTTATTCCACATAGCTTTACATCACAGTACAGTACTTAATTGATGGTCTTCCACCCGGAATGTAGGGTAACCAATAACATCAATAAATCGAAGCACCGCAGAAATGTACAGTAATTTAAAACTTTTTATAAAAATCTCACCTGTTGTAAAGCGTAGAATAAGGTACACTGAAGTGAAGACTGGCTTGGTTGATGGACATCTCGCCAACACGGACAGCTTCGAGTGCCTCGACCAAGTCTTCCTCACTCCAGTTTGCAGACTCTTTGCTGCCCCGCAACTCAATCCCTTCTCTGCGACATTTCCCATACAACGTCCCAGACGGGATTCCGAACTCGGTGGAAGCCTTGGTTACACTCATTCCGCTTTTAATGGCATCAAACGCACGGCGAAGATCATCTCTTGACCACGACGGCGGCGTGGAGTTGAACGGCTGCGCCAATTTGATGCCTTCTTTTTTGGCAATTTTGTAGAGCGTGGATGAGGGAATATTGTATTCCTTCGAAGCTCGGTGAGCCGATAATGTCCCTGCCCGCATAGCTTCCAATGCTGAACGCAGATCATCATCAGTCCATGTTTTCATGGGGCTCATATGTCTCGGGATGTCAACCTAGAAGAACAAACTTCTGTCATTTCACTTTCCCGACACATTTTCGTCAATCAAACGCAGAATACATAACCCCAATGTTTGAAAGTTAGTCGAACAGTGATTTGACTTGAAATTTTAATAGTACAGTACTGAATTAAAACTAGGAAGATAATATTATAATAAGACGCAACACATTTCAACATTTTGAACGGTTGTTCAAAAACGAAAACGTTCCTTTAATCCTCGACTGTCACGAAGCTTTCATCTGAATCATGAACTCGACATTAATCAATCCACAGAAAGTAAACTGAGTTAATCTCAAAAGAAAATAAATTACGTGCACGTCCATACAGTTGTAGTAGAATAATAAATTATTTCCCACGATGCTTTACAAAAAATTCTGTACACTTCCTCTATAGCATACGAGTACAGTACTGACAGTAATCAATGTACAGTAACAAAATATGATTTTCAGAAAAAAACGTTGCTGGAGAGGAACTGCACGTAAGTTGAAATTATGTCTGTCAGGAGAAAGAAGAAATTGCTTTCAACGGAAAATAGTATATTACTCAACACAAGTTCTTGGTAAACGAACATTACGATATACACACACTCATTGCCAATCAACAATCTGCGGATAAATATTCTATGAACGTTTTCAACAGAATATTTCAACAAGTACCGTGCCGAGACGCAGAAACAGTAATAGAAACTCACCCCAGCTCGATGAGCCCGTTGCCAAAGCGTCGTCGAAGGTATACCGAAGTGTGCCGAGGCCCTCGTCAAAGACATAGTCTTCTGCCTCAGGGCATCCAAAGCTTGCTCTAGATCCTGTTCCGTCCAATTCTTCATGGAAGCCGCGGACGTCTGATGTTGTCCAGGGCTTGGACTCCCCATGACACACTCTGCAATAAATACACCAGCATTTATTTTCCGCCCATGTTCCAAGAAAATTACACAAGCAGCCACATTACCTCCAGAGGTTGAAACAAGACCCAAGAGTTCAGGTCCCACTGCAAACTGTGAGGAATCACTCTCAGCATTCTGAATAAAAGCATGTGGTGTCAGTCACAGAAATGTTCTTCCATTTTTGTCAACAACGAAAAGAAAGGACAAACCTCATCTTTCATTACAGCGTGATGCTGAAGGTGGGATCCCGAGTGGTGGTGATGTATTTGGCCGTCATTCAAATTAGTTTGCATTGGTTGCGGAGTTGCTGCCATCGGATAACCAAGACTCACTGGTGTTGTAGAGGCTTGGTAGGTAACCTTTGAAAGTTACGGAAAAAAATAGTACGTAAAAAAAAAAGATCCTCACGGTTCTTTTTCAGAGATTCCGAACTTCGAAAACCGAGAAAAATCAGAAATAACTGATTTGCTCTGACTCATGCTTAACAAGTTCCACAAGGGCAGCGTCTTTTCCTTTCAAAATACAGCTATTCCAGATTTTTAAAAACTCATCGAAATTAATGTTTGGCAACACTATATTTGAGGTCAGATTTACATCATGCGCCAAAAAATCGAGTTGTGATACTTGACGATGGTCTGTCTTCTAATTTAATCAGCATCATTTATTTCAGCTTTTTCTCTTTCACAATGGATAACTTATTGCTTAATTTCAGGAACAATCGACAGTGCCAGGCATTTGACTAATTTGCAAAGGGAATTCGAAGCACAACTAAATGATGCGCATGATTCTGAAATTTTGTCAGCATTCCGAGCATCATGAAGATTTCTCATTAAAACGAAAGATTGAATTGGGTTTCGCCTAGAACTCTTTCCAAGCCTCATTCAACATAAATACTGTACTGTTTTCAAAAACATCGAGACCAGAGATAAAAATGCAATAGTGTATACAGTATACTGCTTTGAATACCGTACTTTGATTCATCTAAATCCAGAAATACACTCATCGCTTCGGCATCTACACGCAAAAAATTTAATTTTGAAATCAAAGTCTCTTCAAGATCACTCGGGATCAAGGAAAAAATGTTTGAACAGAACACTTCTACAAAATTTACAAACACCAATCAAAAACGCCGAACCCAACGACTTTTAACTGACCAGGAACAAATGGTCGTCAATTTCACACGATGATTTTCGAGTCGTCCATGGGGTACCGAAAGTTTTAAAAAACACGACCGCAGCTCACCTGTTGCTGTTGGTATTGATGCTGATGCTGCCCATAGTCAGGATGCTCGCCTTCTTGAGGCATCATCATGACCATGTTGTCTCCTGGTTGCTGCATAGGCATGCCTGGAGAAAGCATGTCGATTCCCTGGGACTGAGGCTGCATCCCGTGCTGTCCTACAGGTTTAAGCACAAAATACTGATTCTCTTGGCCTTCGGACGTCTGGTGATGTCCGAGCTGCTGGTGATGCTGAGCCGATGAATTCATGACTCCCCCAGGCGACGGATGCATTATCACCTGACAGAACAACGCAACAATTTTGAAACCTCGTGTCAAGCCGCGAATGATCATCCTCTAGCAACCCAACATGCCCAAAATGTAAATGCTCCATCTCAGAAAACAAACATACAGTGGATAAACTCCAGGTGTTATTCCTTCCAATAGAAAAAATGGATTTCCGCCAACATCGCTAGGAATCAGGGATCCACATGTCTTGGATTAAATTTGCTTTACGGCACGTCGATAAATTTTAAATGCAGAATTACTACGACCTCTCTGTCTCGTTTCAGTTACAAACTTAGTTGATGAGCGTCGGAATGCGTCAGTCGCAGTAAGCAACATTGAAGTCAAGGAATTCTCAGAATGTTTCGATCACAATTCCTGACAATCGGACAGAGCAGAGACGAAAAGTAACGAGAAAAAAAAAATGCTCGAAACACTATAGAACGAAAACTTTCCTTCAATCATTGGATGTCAAGCAGCTTTCATCTGAACCATGAACCCGACACTGATCATTTCACGGAAAGTAAACTGACTTAATCTCAAAATAAAATAAATTACGTGCAAGTCCAACTCAAAAACAGTTACACTCGTAGTAGAATCATAAATTTTTCCTCAAGTTTTTCAGCGAAATCCAAAACCAAAGCCACAATATTCGACTGAAGCCCTGAATTCTTTCACGTAGATTTTCTGAAAAAAAAAAAAACGATCAGGTTCCTGAGAGCACGATCACCGTCAGTGCCTACTGTTGATAACTATTCGCGGAAGTCGATGTTACTTTCACGCAGTAGAACTGCAGATCGGTTAAGGATATAACGATGTGCTATCCACTACACACAAGTTCACCCGCGAGCTTACGTTTTCGCGCTTCACAATGTGTTCGTCGTTTCCTTCGGTTTTCACAGCCGAAAGACCAACACCACCGGACATTCCAGCTACCCTGTTCGGACCATTACCAACTCCCCTCCCGCCTCCACGACCGAAATTCCGTCTCGTCAGATTTTCTAGATGTCTTCTTCGATACTTGAAAGGATGGCTCAGTCGACTGTGAAGAAGCGATGATAAAAATATAAATACTGTATTTTCAGAATGTGAAGAGAATTGCGTAAGCATACCTGTGCCGTAGGGCTGGACGATACGAATGTAGGTGCCTGTTGCGACCACGTGCAGCAGTTACACCGCCTTTCTCAGTTACCTCACAGAGACCCTTGATCTGTAACGCATCTGCGACTTTAAGAAGATCAGGAAGCTGTTCCTGAGCTACATCAATCTCTCCGCGGTAAACGAATTCAATGATCGACTTCATTTCTGACATGCGAACCTGATGTAACAAATTTTCAACTCTTCGTCAGAATAAATCTCAGAATGAATTCTAAAAAACTCAAAATACCTCGGCTGGGAGAATAATGATGGGGTGCTTGCAAGGATTTTGAGATAACAGCTGCTGAAAATACGGTGAGCAGGCAGATAAAACCATCTTGTGCGCTTTGATTTGGGACCTACCAACGAAAGCATAAATCGATTCATCACCGAATGTATCCAAGCACAGCAGAATTCTTCCAGTTAGATCCTGTACTAGGCAAACACAACGACTCACCCATCGCAAGCAAGCGTAACATCAACAAAAGTTTCGCTTCTGAGAAGATGTTCGAAAACAGATGTGATGTTCATCTGGAAATTGTTCCATCGCAGACAAAAATGCTGCTGACCGGCCCGCCCGCGATGACCGGAATGATGCGATTGATGGTGCAATGGCTGGTGCTGGTGATGAGTTTGTACGGCAGCATGATGTTCTTCGGACGGTTGCTGCGCGGCAACGTTGTGGTGATGGTGCATCAAATGTGGAACAGGAGGCGGCTGTTGCGCTTGCTGCGCGGCAACGTGATGAAGGGTGGGTGGAGTTTGAGGAACGCTCACCGGAATCCCCGGAGCAATGTGGTGCTCCATCGTAGGATAGCACGGTACTCAGGTACACAAAATTAAGAAAAGAAGCCTCTCTATTCCGTCATCCGCGAACGAATCACATCTCACTCCGCCGAAAACCTGGATGAAATGATTCGCAAACAATGTAAGAACTACTGCATTGCAAAATCTACGACTGAACTTCAGCGGCTTTAGCAAACCTAAAACCGAACACGATAAGAGCATTCCACTCAAAACATCTGCTGCACACACCAGGCCATAAATCAATTATGACATTCCTGCAAATCTATTTTCCCTCACTCAGTAACCGACTTTATCGTGCAATGGATAGAATGAGCGAATAAATCAGCAAGGGCGTTATTTGCATTTCGAGAATTACCACGGCGCGCAATCCAACCTTAAATGAACCCTAATTATCTCGTATAAATTGATCATAATGAGTGAGGCAGTATCGAAACGTGCTATCATAGCGCGCAGACATGCTGGGTTTCATCAGCGTCGCATACACACGTTCACAGCACTTCCTCCATGCTTTGCAATTAGCGACATCTATCAAATGGCGCAATAACGTGCTTCGTTATTCGAGGCATCGTGGTCTCACAATGACAAAGGCGCGTCTCCATCATGAAGCAAGCCCATTTATTCAACAGGAGTCCAGGAATTAACATGCAGCAAGTGATCATAAAACGAACACGTGGCCAATTCGAAATGGTCCGGTTTGCTGCTCGGTCTCCAGTCTATCCCGTAAGCCAAGCTTTTGTGCGTGGAATACCGATCCACCAACTTCATGCACTCAGCGGATTTAACATCAACGACGCAGAATCCGCCGTGCATCGCAGCAATACCGATGAGATCTTTTCTTCCGGGATGCCAACGGATTCTCCAAACGCCGCCATCGCATGACAAGGCGTCTACTTCTCGCCGCCACGAACGTTTGTCAAAAATATACATCTTCTCATCGTAGCTGAAGGAAATAATGACAAATCACGGTTCAAGGACTATGCTACGAATAGAAGAACCTGAGGGAATATTTTCTTGTTGACGATGCAACTGCCATTTTTCGAATAATTTACATGCACACCAACTCAGAGGAGCCAGGAAATCAATATAACAACGAACTAGTATAATTCAACTGAAGATTTTATGATTTTTATCAGCGTAATATGAGTTCATGAAGAAGTTTAAAATAGCTTGACCAAATCTTGGTACATCAGCAAATAATAACAGCATTTAGAATAATACTTCCGACGATTGAATTCATGGCATTCTTTTTGGCGAACCTAACAATACGCGGTCATCTCGGATTGCAAGAGTGCCATTCATGAATCCCGATCATTCAGCCAAAAGCAAATTAAGAATCAATTGTGTCGGCGTCCTTTTCGGAAAAGCGTTTTTTTCTTTTCAGGTTTTAGATTACCGAAAAATTAAATTAGGAAATTTAATCACCTTCCACAGAGAACTAAGTTCTCATAGTCAGGATGAGTGGCAATTGCTGTTACTCCGCCTTGAGCTCGTTTTACCGTTGCCACTGCGTCGCTCGCACTTTTTGGACTGCTTCTCACGTCGAAGCAACGCAAAACGCAATCGTCTCCACCTGAAAAAAATTCATTTTTTACTGAGATACATCACTTGTGGTGGACTCTCACTAGAACAAACTTGTCTATAACAATTTTCTCTGTACAACGAATTCTGTTCTGGTCCCACGGGGATCTCGTCCCATGTTATAGGGGTTATCTACAACGACATTCTCTCCACGGCGACTTTATTTCTGGTGCACTGAATTTCGTTGTAGAGAGAGTCCCTGGTATTCATAGTGTCGCCTCAAAATTCCTTCTATTTTCCAAATCATAGAGAACGTCAGCGGTTTCTTGGCCTCGCTTTCCTTTCAAATGTTTCAAATTTGTCCCGTCACCCAAAACAGCGAAATTCCCTATAAATGCGCCTCAAAATGAAGATACGGCCTATAGACAAGTTAATTCTGTAACGGTGTTCGTCCAGTTCGAAGGACCACGTGGTCGAGAAATGTGATAGCAATTTCAAAAGGAAAATTAACCCACCAGAATAGATAATACTTTCGGAATTTACGTCCCAATGAGCGATCCAGGCTTCGTACTCATGAGCACCGAAAGACGCAGTTTCTTCGAGACTTCCCCCAAGCGAGTCGTAAGTAGTTACTGCTCCTTTGCTCGTGGAAACGACCAGTTTGCAGTCTCGTGTCGCATCCACATAGAGTGCCAAACCGTCGACTTTTGCTGACGACTTCGTCACCTTTTCAAAAGAATCACTGCCATCTTTGCTATTGAGCCGATAAAGAAGTACGTCTCCTTCGGCATCCGCGGTACACAACACCTGATCTGTGGAGATTCGTGCATTTAAGGTTTTCCGTCTTATTCCAATTTCAACATGAGTAAGCAAAAATTGCAAAAGTCGTCAGGGTAGGGTCAAATAAAATATACAGTACTCGTATAATAAACAAGTCGCAAAATGAATTTTTCGGACAACGGACTAGGGATTCTTGCTTCGAACATTGAACCCGGCCACAGATGAAGAGACTGCGTTATAATTGCACCAACTTCCAAATAGATAAATTAATCTTGAAATTCTGGATCTATTTGAGCATTATCCCGCTTTTCAGAACGCGTTTTTGCCGTTTTTCCCGATACTAGAAATTATACGTCTATTCAATTTGAAGTTTGCGAAGAATTTGCGATGGAAATATTCCAAGGGATCGGCTTATCCACGTCATTCAGTTTTGCATTACAATACAGTCCTTGGATTCTTGGGCAGTCCGGAAACAATTCAGCATTTCTATAAAGCTCTCCTTCAATCGGCTTGTTTATAAACATTTCGGATAATGAACTTCCGAGAAGAACGGATGCAGACCATTAATCGAGATACCATCGTAATCCGTAAAACTTACGGATCATTCATTCAACAAAACTCTAATCCGGGAGTACTGACGAAATTAATGAATAAACCTCTGTACAACAGTACGAACGACCGAACACATACCACATGTAGACGGAATCCACGTGAAGTGCAGAATTCCAGGAACGTCCTCTACCCTAGCAGTAGCACGAATTCCTTTCCCATCCACATCCCGTCTCAAGCAGATTAGTCCACCTTTCCGTAAACCGACATCTTCGCCGACGTTCTCGCACAATTGGTAAGTTCCGCAAACCAACACTTCGGAATCCGCATTACTCGGACACCACGCAACGACATCCGCGTAAAGTTCAGTGTCGAACTCTCCCAACAACTCCCACGTCATTCCCCACGAACATGCGACGAAAAAAAAAAGAATATTACTAAATGTCTGCGTGACTGAATGGCATACATTTTGATTCAACTCGAGTTTCGGGACCAGAACATGAAATAGTTCCACGAAAGAGACGCAAGTTCCACGAGATATGGAAAACACCGAGTCTTCGCCAATGAGATTCTTAACCCCAGAAAATTCGAAAAATTCATTTTTTTCACGATTACAAAATAATTGCATGAAAAATCAAAGGAAAACTGCAAGAGAGAATCGCAAACTTGCTGTGTTGTCAATAGAATGTCTGCCATCATCAGTTTCCGCTACCTTCAGCTTCTGTCGTGTCTTATCAACAAATATGAGATAAAATGTAACGTCGAAACAAAACTGCAATCCATCGATAAAACGACAAAGATGAATCAATTTGTACTTGAATGACAAACCAAGACGGCTTCTAAAATAGGTTTCCTCAACGATTATCATGATTTGTTAAGGCAGGTCCTCTCAAGTAATGGTCCCAAGCATCTTTAGTGGTGCACAGGTACTTCGCAGATGGTCTCACATACGGTACTACATTCTCATCGTCTACAGGGATAAGAAAATATATTGAAGCTATGTGCAAATTTAATGGAGTTTAGATAAGTGCTTTTTTGCAAGGGTTTATGTGACAGAGGCCTTCCCATTCACTTCATGATCAGTCTCTCAGCCCTAAAAAATTCTCCAACATATTTTTGGGTTCCCATGAGACCGAAACTTCCAAGTATAGTATTTACCCGGAGTTGTGCCCTTCAAAGTCCGCGTCTGTTCTTTTCACGCATTAACACTTGATAATAAATGTCATTCAATTTCTGTAGAGCCCCTGGAACGCACCTTGTTCAGGGATCCTTGGATTACAGATGGAGAACCTCTCTCCTGTATATTTTGATGAGCAACAAATAAAATCCTGGGACTCACAGTCTGACAAGTCATGCAATCGAAACTTGTACACCTGTTGTTGGCGGAACACAGATGAAAAACTAGAAGGTGGTTGACAAAAACAGCCACGTTTTGAACACGGTGAAGTATACAAGGTCAATTCACGATGAACAAATTCCACTCGTACTTCATAATCTAAAAGCGTTGATGCGGTATTATAAAGTACCTATAACAACGACTGTGAGAGCTACTGAGTCAATCCCTAAACTGTACCACACAAAAGCAAATGACCGAACAAGTAATGAACTCGCAGAAAACGGGAACTGGAATATTCAAAATACAGCAGAATACAGAGTTTTTCAATCACGAAAAAAATAAAAAGAAATCTCACACGCATCCACAATAAGAACTTTCATAAATACACATCACTGCCTGGCGCTGCGTTCAGTTTCAATCAAACATTCACGAACGAGAATGCGGGCATTCGTAATGCCTCGCTTGAGCCTTTCCGCCGCATTCTTGCTGCCAGCATACGAAGGGCGAATGTCTTTGCTAATTTCTTCGATCACTTGCAGGAGTTGAGCGTATTTGGATTGCGGTGGTTGACCTGCTCTCGCTATGTTCGTCGGAACGAAGCTCATTCCTTGAGCAGCCAGCATGGCCATGCTGTAATTCGCCATCGCGTCGGAGTCCAGCATCATTTGCTGCATGTAACGCGCCTGACTGTATTCCGAGTCCATGATGAACAGCGATCACAAAAGAAACACTTCAAAGTCCTTGGGAATAAAAAAAAAAGCTACGAAGTTCAGAAAAAAAACAACCGGGACACGCGAAGTAGAAACATATTTGGTATTCCCTTAACACGTGACCTTCAGGTTCGAAATCTAACCCTTCCGTGCTGAACAATAGAACATCGCTTATGCAAAGGGGCCGATTTCCCTGGAAAGTTTTGGATCGTGATACAACTCGACTTAATGGTTATACTGTAATCAATTAGACGAAGGCAATCTGCAAAATAATAAAGATGTGTACTTGAAAAAAAAAGGGAGAACAACATCCCTGAGGCGCATTTACCAGAGAAGCACACATATTGAGTCAGAAATACGGGAGGTACCTCGCAATTCGACCCTAATCCGTTGCCAAACTAGGATGGAATTGCAAGACTTTCTAAAACATCAAGGGCAAACAGCAAAAAAAAAAAAAAAAACACTAGAAAAGGGGCTAAATCAGGTTGAATTTCGGGAAAGAGGTCGAATTACGAGTCGGCCTCCAAGCAAATTCGATTGTCGAATTGTTGGACGGTCGAATTGCGAGGTACCACCTGCACCGTACACTGATTTCTACGAAGAAAATTTGGGAAAAATCCCAGAGAAGACAATTCTAATTCGTATTTTTGTTCGACGCGCACCGAATATTTCTTCGCGCCAAGAATCGCAAAAATCATGTCTTTATCCCCCTCAAGATTACTTCAACACCCACACTAATTAATGATTTATTCAAACACGCCTTCTAGGTCCTAGAAAAAACTTCTACTTCCAAAGTTAATCGTGGAGCACGAAAAAATTCAACGAAGATGACTAGGAGGATTTTTCATAGGACAATTTGGTATGCAAATAATCGAAATAAATTCAAGATTTAAGTTGGCGTATCATAAGACAGTCTCATTCTAAATGAGAAGATCTACTGTTGAACTTCATAAATCACGCTTACATGGTCCGGATCCTCCAAAATAGAAAAAAAAAAACTGTACCATTGAACCATTTTGTACCATTCTGGCCGAAATGGGACAGCTAGAAAATCTATCGATTTCAATTGATTCCCTTGTCTAGGACCACGAATGCGCCAGATACGTTGGGTGAACAAATTTCACGAAAGGGGTAAAATTAACGAAAACATGAATACAATTAGTGCATCCCATCTCTAATGAGGCCAGGCTATCAATTCGAGGTTTCTGAGCAACTTTCTGAAAAACCCCTCGTACTTCTCTCGCTCTGCCATGAAAAAGCTGTTATCAACACCATCCACAGGAAGAGACGAAATGGGCAAGGTATAAGTGGCATGAAGATTTAGGTCATTTAGCGAAGCCTTTTCTCTCAATTCCGGTGAACAGAAAAAAAGGAGGGTAGCACAATTCGCCAAGTCACGTATCAAAACAGCACCAAATATTTTCCAGCCGATTAAACTTACAACAACGTGAATCTATACCCAATGTTCCCTGAAAAACACCGGCAACTTTCATTCAATGATATCCAACCAACAGTCTCCGAAATGAACCCGGTGAACGGCGAGAAAATACAGTACTTCACAGCACCACTTGGTTCAATTGCACTTCTCGTCTACTGAGCACTACGCTAGGGATAAAAAATTCCTCAGCCCAAGATAATCGCTGCAAAAAAAAAAATTTTTCCGACGGGATTTGACGATTTCTCCAATCGACTTTTCAAATCGATGGAGTCGGTAACTGAAGTTCTTCGAGCACGTGAAAACGATTTTTCGTTTTGTTTTGACGAGAGCTTCCCGATTTCAAGTATCTGTCAACGCGTAAACTCGACATTGAAATTCAACTTTTGACACCGGCTTCATCAAAATGTTTTGTAAATCTGCACGAAGGGTACCGCAGGAGAACGCCGACGAAACTTGTGAATCCAATCGGAAAAGGCTAAAATACACGAATAGATATCCATCTTAAATACAGCCCACCGGTACCAAAACTGGATTCTCCATCGGCACCAAAAACTGGCGCAATTTTTCGTCTCTTGCTCCGCCACAGCCCGAACACAACACCGACTCATGGACACAAATGATGCCATTTTTCTTGAAGTTCCAAGTTTGTGTTCTATTCCTCTCAGAAGATCGTTCGTCTTGAAAATCAGCAGCATTTCTCGAGGGACGCGACTGAGGACCTACGAAGTTTTTAAAACTTGGTTGAGAAGAAACTCGACGGAAAATTATGAGGATGAGAGTTTTTCGTTTCCAATATGACGGTAAAACGAAGGAAACACACAGTAAGCTAAGTTTTTCTAAAATGATAAAAAGCTGTCGACATCAGCCATTCCAGATAGCATAGCTACGATTGTGTTCCTCAACTGAAACTCTTCCCTCCTAAACCCAAAAACCACATTTCCATTTACACATTCATCATAGGTTACGTAAGTGAGGATAGTTCTGGTCACGAAATAATTTGGGTTAACTTGCGTTTCTAAGGCCAACTGCAACATGGTCAAGTTATTTGAATTAATCTTGAGTTAGAAAAGAAGTTTAGCAACGCAAATTTAGAGTAGGTTATTCAAGGGTAAGATTCGGTCGACTTAGATTGTTTTAACGCATTCGAGTTCAATTACCTTAACCTTCGATTACGGAGTTCATTTAGATGATGAATTTGAATAAGTGTTTTTAGAAATTACCGAAACTGAACACGTTTCAAGAGGGGTGAAGACAGCTCCTAAACAAAAGGATCATTAAAAAAAAAGAATAAAATACATGAAATTAAATTTCAAGTTTTTCCCTACGCCAAATAATTTGATATTCTTGTCAAAACAAATAGCACTCATTCAGAGCTGGTAAAAACATTCACAGCAGTCTCATGTCTCCGCCTTTCTCGCGTGAGAAAGTCGTATTGAAAACACCCCCGTTTGGTTACACAACAATTAAGATGACGCGGGACTGCAAATCGATGGGCTTCAGAAATGTATCGTAAAACAGTGAATAAAAACAACACGATGCACAATATCGTAATTCATGATTTGCAAAACTCACAGCGGAAATTTGCGGGAGATATTTCCCAGCGTCGGCTCTTATCTCATTTTCTTCGGCTTTCGATTTCCCGGCTTTATCAATCCCTGAAGTGATGGAAGCCCACGATCGACCCGTAACCATACAAGCGAAGAGCTCCGCCAAATCGCCCACTTGTAATTCCTTCGAGTGCTTCTTTATGCCGGGAATATCGCGGTCCAGTACGGACATCCACAAATGACAGTATGATAATCTGAATCGCGATCTCAACGTCTGATACAAACCGTGATCCAACAGCGTGATGATGGGATCGTTCGGATTCTTCGGGTTCGGGGATACGAGCAGATTTCCCGGGTGCGGATCGCAATGAACGAAGCTGAAAAATCGAATTTTAGATTATTCTTACTACAATTCCCAAATTTCTCCCTTCGTGGTGTTCAAATATGTACAGAGCCAATATACTTTCATGAATTTTTTCACGTACAGTACTGTACTTAGGCCATTCGCAGGACACAGTTTTGGATATTTCCGGGATCAGAGTGGAATTTTACACATACATGGAAGGGGGTCCAAAAATTTACAGCGAAAAGAAATTAAATGAGTTTTAACCAAAATCAACAGAATTCCGCGCGTAAACGATAATCACAGCCAGGAAACCTTTTATTTTACACACATGAAAATGAATACAAAATTTTGTAGATGCAAAATGTAAATGCGGGTTAGATGCAATTCGGGTTAGGATTCTCAAAAATTAACAAACTTTATTAAAAATAAAAAATGTGCCACCACGTTGGCTACTTGGACCACTACAATCGGCTTGCTGAAATGTAAGGGGCCACAAAGCTTACTTGATCCAGAAATGAGTTGAAAAAAATTTACGTGTATCAATTTTCTTCTCGAGCACACGAACACCTCTCTTGTCTCTCGATCCAACTAATAATGAAGACTAATTCCAGTAAATATTTCTTGCTGCGAATAATTTTTTACGAATCGATCTCGACATACGTGATGGATCCATCACGCCGTACACCCAAGTTTTGAAACCCAAAAAAGGACGACTTCGCAATGACGCTGCAAGTTTTTGGACACGGTGAAGAAAGTTGCACTAACAAAATTATGCATATGATATAAATAAATAAATTTATTTCATATAAATCATAAATAAACAGAGTTTTGCTGGAATTCAAACTATGCAAACCTCGATTTGGACAACAAAAAGCTTTCAAATACAGTATTTTCCTCTAAAATTTTGCATCGAAGCTGAATCGATTACAGGCTTGATACACTGGAATGCATATAACTCGAGGAGTGATTCAGACTCAATTACATACGATTGCAGTTACAATTAAAATGACTCACCCTTCCTCAAAAATCATTGCTGAATAAAGTTCCCCTAATCGCTCAGTAACTAATGCCGGAGGGATTTGATGCTTGTTCAAATTCTCCAAGTCAGTCACAGATTCCCCTGGACAAAAATCCATGACTAAAACGCGTGGCGTCGTCCATTGCCATCTGACTTTCGGTACGCGAAGCCATTTGAGATGTGAGAACATTTTCCTGACTTTCGACATGTTCCTAGCTTCATGAGTGAAATCCAGTTCTTTGGGTAAATTTTCTCGCGCAGATTCAGCCAACCAGGAGAACTGAAAGTCTGGATAAAAGTATTTGTCGACCATCCACAGCAAAACTTCCATTGTCCTCATGTCAACAATACTTCTGTCTTTCACATGCGGGTGCTGAATCTTCACAGCAACCGTTTCACCAGATTCCTGAGAAGAACATTTCCCTTCCGTTTTAGAAAATAAATGCCCAATACTAACTGCTTCTAGTTCTATGCATGTTTTTACCCGTTTCATAGCGTTTTTTGATCAGCTAAAATGAAATTACGATGAATTCAAAAACGTAACTGCGCAAAGATAAATTCGTGATCCAAAAATAATAATTTCCTTTTTTGCAAATGACATGAAAAATTGTTCGTTTGTGTCAGACACAAGATCTATTCGATTTTTAACTGAGTTAACTCAAGTTCCACCCATTTCTGGGTTAATTGCTAAAATAGCATACTTGACAGCTGATAGAAGTTTCAAAGGAATTTTTCATGAAAATTTTCATCTACATTTTTTCATCCTGAATAAATCGATTCTGAACCATCTCAAATGGTCCAGCGCGAATTGTGATGCACCTACATCATAGAAAATTTTTTCGAACTTCCCAAATATGGACTAATTCACAGCATAGTAACTTTTCAGAAAGTTGCAATCGCTATAATCTTGTTCAACAATATCAACTAATCTCAAAACGAACTTTCACAAAAATAAAAAAAGATCATCTAAAAATACCAACAGGCAACCCATTTTTTCCTTCAAATCAATCTTGATTTACGCATACCTTGAGGACGGCTTTATGAACCTGGGCCAGACTTGCGGCTCCCAATGGTTCTTCAGATATTTCACTGAACACATTCTCTGGCTCCGTTTGCAAATCCTCCCGGACCACTTGCAGCAAATTTTTAAGTTTTGATTTCGGCGCATCAGAATGCAGAGTCTTCATTCTGGACACATACTCCTCTGGAAGAAGGTAATCAAGGGCTCCGATATGCTGACCACATTTGATGAAAGCTCCCCCGTTCCGACAGCACAATTCAAACAGTTTTTGAGCAGAGCGTTTGTGAATCTGGGAAATATTTTAGACATGGCTTCAAACAAGCATTCATCAAGCATGCCATTTTCTAAACATTTGTACATTAATAAATAAAAAATATTTTCATGCATAATTGAGACTATAAATAGAAAGTAAAAACTGTAAAATAATTTTAAAATTTCTCCGATCAACTCATGAACACATGAACAAAGGACGTTCTTTGAAGTTCGGACTTAGCTTATCTCGAACATCGGTTTTGAGAATTTTTAGATGCAGTTCATCACACCAAATAACTTTAAATTAAGTACTGGGAGTATAATGCGTGACTTGTAAGAATTGATATTGAGACGCACGAAATAAACACATACAAAACATTCATGGTGGAACCCAGACGTGCCTCAGCTTGTTCAAGCACAGTAGTAAAAATAACTTGGAAGTGGGGAATTTGAAAATGCAGGACTTCAGAAGTATTTTACGATTGTGGATTCACCAGTTGAAACAATTTTCAAATTACGGGAGGATAAAATTGAGAACCATTGAAGACTTTGTCCCAATTGAAAAAAGGGAAGGTTTCTCCCAACAAATCAGCTTTTCCGAACTGCTCAACTCATTTAGGTGATTATTTAACTCTATTCTTACCTCAGAACGAAGATTGGCATAGTCTTCAGAGTTCGCATCAAGCTGGCCAGTATACAAATTCCGTCGATAATCCATCGCTATGCTAGCCACAACGATTCCAGCACGTCCGAATCTTGAGATTCCCGTCATCGCGATGTCCCAATCGTTCTTGTACAGAACGTAAAGACACCCTGGGATGCCAACACTCGCCGCCAGTTTCAAGTAACGCCATCTTTTCATCCTGAACCACTCAATAATTATTTAAAAAATGATGATTTCGCAGCAAGGAAAAAAACTCGACTTTTTACTCAAAGTATACTTCGTAATCTCAACTATTCCGAACGACTAGGTTAAAATTTTTAACAAATGAACAAATACAAAGAAAAAAACCGGGTCATCAGAATGCGACGATTGCACAAAACCTGAGACGCACCGCAGCCCCCAAAAATCCACACCACAAAATAATGGAAGGCACCGTGATACATCAGGTAGCGGGAATCACAGTGAAATGAGTTGTCATGTACAGCCAACACGGTTTCACGAAGAACTATACGATTGTCGCTTGAACCAGCACAAAATGTTCACCCACGCAAATTGACAAACCGCCACATAAACAACTCTCGCGGACGGGGGCATCAGCAAAAAGTTAATCGAAGTCATGGGGATCCAATACACGCAGCTGGTCAAGTAGGTTGGCCAAAGTTTGGCCCTGACTTCTGCGAGTGGATCATCCTTGCCCTCCAGCAAGCTCATAACTAAAACATGATAAAAACATTCCAGAGATCCAAAAAGACACCAAATGGAACAAAACTTACTGATGTAAAAATTGCAGATATTGAAGGGAGTACACAATGCTTGATCCAGAAATACTTTCTTCACAAGCGTGATGCCAGCGTTGATCGGATACCTAGCATCAAGCCATTTATACCTAAAAATAGGAAAAATATGTCAGGCGAAATCAAGTTAACAATCTGCGAATCACGTACCAGTAATAGAGTATAATCGGAAAAACGGCTGATCCAATTAATGCGTAGCGGCCCAAAGAAGCATAGTCATAATCGGGCTTCAGCTCACCTTCCTTCAGCTAAATCAGGATTCAAAGAAAAGCGATCCACGATTAAGTAAATATTTGAGAATAGTATCACGTCGAGAAAATCAAGAGATCACGAAGAATCGATACTAAATCAAACGCTAAAATAAGTATCTTATTAAAAATACTAAAGTATACTATAGTATACTACTAAATACTAAACTAAAAATACTCACGAACACAGTTCGTCGTAGAGTCTGTTGTGAACACTCAGCACCACAGTACAGTGTGCCATACACCAAACAATTTACAACCAACGGCCGTCGTTTGGCGAACTCCTTGCCGACCCGAAAGAACTTGGAAAGCATACTGAAACAATGATCTTTCGTTCGATTCAGAGGAAGGTAGCCTCGGCCAGAGCCGCCAAACCAGGCTTGTAAAACGCTGAAAAAATATAATAAAACATAAATTTCCACTCAGACCCGCTGACGGAGAAAATACATAATGTACACTTCGCTGATATTTGGCGCTTCGACGTATGAAAAAAAAAAATAAAAAAAACCCGGAGTCAGTAATTAGGATTACACCTCCACGATTTTCCTTTCACAAAATATGACAAGACACCCACCAGAATGGTTAGCGGAGAATCCAGTGGAATTCAATTCTAACCCAGCTTCTTAAAGGAAACCCGACTCTCAGATAAATTACCAATTCAATTCATGACCCTCAGCATGCGTTTCCATGTAGATCACCATCATACATTTTCAAGTCCAACGTCATAGAGCCGAAACTCAGTCACAATGACAGAAACGCAATAACAGAACTTTCCCCGGAGGTGGATGATACATTGCCCAGTTGAAAATTTGGATAATAAAGCGTTCGAGTACTGTATAATGATAACCTATTGTCCAAGGTCAACATATCTTGAAACAAAAATAAAGATGCAGTGTATCTCACCTCACAATATAGATTGTGGCAGATGATTTCTGGTAACGCTCCATTACTCTGCCTAGGAACCAGAAAGAAGAGATTATGCTCTTGATGACCGGTGTATTCGATCGGCACTGTCGCACAACCTGAAATATACGTAACCAGCGATTTGATATCCATGTAAAGTGATGGGAACTTCCGCGCTGAAGATCTCACTGATAAGGAGTGCACACAGAACAGCGCTTCAGAAAATCCCGCGAAATCATTCCCGTTGACTTCTGAATTCAAATATTATACGCGACGGATGATGAAATTCATGACTATATAAAACATAGGAACTCGCCTCTCTTATTCCACCAGTTCAGTCTTACACTTATACACACAAAAACATGCGCACTGCGTCGAGGAATGCATGAAAATAAACCAAGAACTGAACAGATTTTCTTTAGCCATTCTTTCAATTTGAGGGGAAAAAAGACCTTGCTGCTATACTCAGAAATGTCGTTGACCCTGAGGAAAACATTTAAAACTATAAATATAACCTACACCAATCGTTATTGAGAAAAAATCAAATGCAACTACTGTATATATACTGTATGAAAACCAGCCCTTTTCCCGGTTTTATTCGCGGAGCAAGCTTGAAATGTGTATGGAACTCGGAAAATCGTTTGTTTCAGCCCATTTCTCGCGAACAAATCAAAGGTCATCGCAAGAAACCGAAAGTGATCAACCGTCCAAAGGATTGCTGGAATCCCATATAAATACAATTGAGATTTTCAAGGGCAAAAGTTTGCGAACAAAGTTTCTCCAATTCTTTTCCTGGTGAGACGTCCTAACTATACGGTGTAAATGTTTATGGCACAGTCTCTTCTGTCATTTTCACTTTCGAAGAGATTCATCTTCAAGTGGCTGATATACACGGCCAGATCAAAGTAATTTCTTGTGGCCAGATCACAGTAATTTCCTGCGGCCAGATCACATTTATTTCCTGTTATCTCAGTACCTCATTCCTAGACCACACTACCATCCAGACAAATCTTCAAGACGAGTTCATAATCACAACAACCTACCAGAAACTGAATTCTATTTTTCTGCATTCTGGAGGTAGTTAGGTAAAGTTAGGTAAGGTCAGGTTATGTTAATAGAAAAATATTTGTAACTAACATAACCTGACCTAACCGCCTCCCAAAATCAGTTTCTGCTTTCTTTGGATTTCTGCGGTTAGGTGAAGTTAGGTTAGGTCAAATTGGTCAGAGGGAAGGTACAGAGATAACAGGAAAGTAGGTACTGGGATAACAGGAAAGTAGGTACTGGGATAACAGGAAAGTACCCAGATCACTATCATTATAACGACGCTTCGAAAAAAAAACAGTGCTCAACATACAGAGCCAAAGATTCTATTACAAACCTGGAGCCCATAACAGGTGCAATGATGACATAATTGATGACACTGCTGCTCGTGGTACATAGCGCTATTTCTCTCATTTCGAATTGTTCATGGGCGAGTACAGGACAGGCATCATCATCATGCATGGAGCAGTTGTAAGTCTACTCCCACAGCGAACAAAGGGTTGACGTGAATTTATCTTCAAAAAGGATGACTAAAGGAAAAATAAAAATATTACTGTTTCTGGCATATTTTGACAAACTTTGAAATATTGTACGTCATTTTTCTGACTGTTAATTTTTACATGGTGTAATAAGCATATAATGCAGATTGAAAATTTTCAATTTCGACCTATAAACCTAAACCTGCCAACATTCCCATAATATCCCAGGTTCTGGTAATTGCTTACTAGGGCTTAGGCAGTTAGTTATTGGCCAGAGGGAAAAGGCAGTCCAAAATAATACTGTTTTAACTATTTCAAGCACAGCACTGTGTTTCCTGATCATGAATTATAAAATTTGATCAAATGGTGAATCAATATACTGCACTTTGTTCAACTGCATTTAAATATACTGTAGTTGAAGAGTGGGATTCTGAATAAGTTGAATCATAATCATTACTTTGACCTGTATTGACATAAAAATCAATTAGCTGAACAACAAAATGCATAAAGCTCTTGTTCAAATCCTAGCATGGTTGAGCCTTGCTAACTCAAATTTCGGTTCAGACAGAAATTTGAGGGAAAAAACAATCTAGATTTTTTCAACTTGAAGACTTCCCCCCCCCCCCTCAAACTTATATTTTTTAATTGTTCTTGATGATTCCATTGGACTATCATTTTGTGGCTATCCCTGGGAACAACAAAAGGAATAGAAAAAATAATTTGATACACTCATGGATTTTCCAAGAAAGCGATCAACTAATTGAACAAATGCACCTTTCCTTCAAAGCTCAGTATACTAACAATCCATTAACTCAGTAGTCTGACATTTTAGCATTATTCAAGAAAAATGCCAGCTTCCCTTAGCCAAAAACTTCCCGAGTCACATTTTTTAGGACCCTCTGAGTTCAACTCATAGAAATGAAGGTGGGACTAAATGATTGTATGACTTACCCAAATTCAACAATGGAATATCCAAAAAACGTTTCGGAATCCCAATTTTCACAGCAACCTTCACACCACTCTCCTCCCTGCTTCAAATTTTTCCACAGACGTAAAGTATCAAACCTTCTGCGTCTTTTGAGCATAATATACTCTCAAGTTCAGGTATATTTACATCAATGCACAGTATTTTGTCACTTTTTCATTCCTTCTGCTTCATTGACAGCATAAAATGCGTTTGATGATTTCATGGCCTGTAATAACCGGAAAACATAGTGAAGGCTAAGGGAAGACGTGAACTACATGAATTCTGCTCAGGAGTCCATTCACGTATGCAACAATAAGAACTGCAAACGATCATCTTGCGCACAAAATTCGACCGTCATCTTTAATTAACCCCTGCATACATAAGCCTCATATTCAAACGTTCGAGGTTACACAGCGTATTTCTACATCAGAAGTAGAGCAGTACCATATTTCATTTCATATACAATGCACACCTTATATCTCAAAATTGAGAGGGAAAAAAGGTGTCATAGGTGGGGATACAATTTTCAGATATGCTTTTGATTTGAATTTTTGGACAAATTATGAGAGGGAAAGTTCTTCTGTTTGAAAATTGATTGAATTTAGGCTGAATTCTAATGATTATTTCTCATCATTAAGATTTTTTCTGTCACTAAATATTGGGCGCGCATCTTCCTTGGATACAAGATTTCATCAAAATCCGAGCATTTTGAGGGGTTGAGTAAATTCGGTACAGTATTCAAGTAAGAGTAAGGTGAGAACATTTTGGAGATGTCTGTGAATAGCACCATGGATCATACACTAACCACATCAATCCTTATATTTTACCGTAATTACAAACTTCGGATAAAATAGCATCACTCGGTTTCTAACATCACTTTACTCACCGTTTCCAGAAGATAAAACGGATGAAAATTTCTTCAACTAGCTGGTTGTCAGAAAACGATTCCTCGGGTCTCGTTCCTCCATCCACTGTTTTTCAAACAAGATTTGCATGATCAACTATCATGGTTATGTACACCGCAACACCTTCATGCACTGGACTAGCCTCAGAGCGAATATAAATATTCGTCTTTTCTCGCGATTTCGCGGTGACACGACAAATAACGACATAAATTCAAGCAAAATCTATTAAAACTAAAAAATAAATAAAAACGTAAAAAAATGATACCTCTTCTTTTTCATGCTGAACAAAATGCGAAACGAGCTACTGTATATATAAACGAAACTAGACAATTTCAGAACAAAATGTTTTATTCATTTTTCGTACTTCGATTGTAGAAAAGGGGGAAAACATAAATCTCATTTCTTTTCTTTCTCGCAAATCCTCCACGGTTTCCTTTTTCTTTTTCAAAGTGGCGAAATCGATGCAATCCCTCTCGTTCACTCCTCCTCGCGCTCGGCGCGTGGGATTATGCTACAATAAAGCTGAATCCTTCAAAATAAAAAGGCGGGGGGAACCCGGGGGTGGATGACGACGACGACGACGAGAAAACCAAGCAGACAAGCTAAGCGCGACCGGAAAACTCACTTCCGCACGCGCCGGAAGACAGCATCGGTCAGAAACCAATCGAGCTGGGATCCAAGAAGGGGTCTCCACGAAGTCCTTCCAACTCCCGAACTAGCAGAAAAGAAAACCACATCCTGCCGATCTGATGCGAAAGACAAGAGGACTTAGCAAAAAGCCAAAGAAAGAAAACAACGGCTATCACAGAGAGCCGAGCAGGAAGAATAAAAAGAATCGATGATTAGCCCAATCGAAGCGAAACGTGGTCTCGAAATAAAATAAAAAAGTTTCGACCTATGTATAATATATGCAGTCCCCTTTTTTCTCCGCCGTCCATTCGACACAAAAGAAAAAACTGTACGAATCCAAGCCACAACAAAATCCCACAAAAAGAGAGCAATAGGGCAGGTTTTTTCCTCTGCACAAAACAACGAAGTCGATGCGAGGGATACAAGACAAATCCTCCAGAAGAGACGAAGAAAAAAGAGAAAAAAAAACCTTCTGGGACTGTTGGGCGACAGAATGCAAACTCAATCGGCTTTATTCTTTAAAAATCACCTCTACACCCATTCTTTTTTATCGTTTGAAATCTTTCAACTGCCCAGATGCGACTTCGAAGTGATCCCGCACTTTTGCCTTTCTTCCTCTCCGCGAACCCATACTTTTCAAATATTCCTTCTCGTGAGTCCTGTTACTTCATAATCCCCATGTAAGAAAAAGGGCAGGGGAGGAAAAGAAAGTTCCCCGCTGGCGACGAAAAAAAAAACAGCGTCCGGATGCGATTGCTACATTGATTCACATCAGACAGCACTTCGTCTTCTTCTTCTTCTTCACCTGAATTGGGGAGAAACGAAAAACATACGTTAGGTCCACTTTTCCATTTCATTTAAATTTCAATTCACGTTTTCTCTAGTTGAAATTCGTCAAAATTTGATTTTTTCATTGAAAACGCGATCGGCGAAATCAGAAGGACCAGATAATATTGTGCATTTCAATTTCCATACTTATGAAAACAGCAACGCATTTAACAAAAGAAAAGGCGAAATAGCTCTTCACTGAAATCTTATGAAAGATCAAGACGCGTCGCATACTCACAAATGAAACGACAGCTTCTGCCAAATTTCAATCTTTCCAGCAGAAGAATAAGTCTTGAATTCAAATGAAAAAGTTCGTATTCTTTCAATTGCTTCCTGGCCAACATTTTGAAACGAAAGGGCGCGTATTTCGTCAACGAAATTGTAAAGCTCTTTTGGAAAAGTTAATCTAACACTTAGGCTGAGCCGTCAAGGGTTGATTTAAAAAAAAGAAGACCGCACAGTTTCCAGACAAATTACGATACAGAACTAATTTGTTCCTTCACATCATCAAAATTACTAAACCGAATGTGCAATACCTGGACATTATGAACTTCACCACCATTAAAATGTGACATTCTCTCATAAATAATAGATCCGCTATTAAAATATTTATTTCATTATTTTTGATAGGCCGGAATGTGTCGAATGTATGTGTGCGGCTGGATTTGTGACCGTGAACACTGACAAATGAAGCTTTTAAATCGATCAATAGGTACTCAATTTTTCCAACTAGATGATCTGGATCATTACAACCCAAGAAGCTTTACTTCATTTGTTCATCAATGACGAATTAAGTCTAGAAAACAACCCCGGCATTTCACATAAATTCAAGTGATTTTGACAAGGTACATTACATGTACTGTACTTGCTTATTGACAGAATTGGAAATTTCTCAAAACCTAGCGCTGATGATTTCTTCAAGAACAGGTTATACTGTACTTTCAAGAAAACGTGGTATAGACACAAAACACCAGAAATACGAGAACCCAAATTAACCTCGAGTTAAGAAGTCATAATTCGACACGACAGTTCACTCAAACGCAGGAGAGTTTGTCAGTCTAGTACGTTATTTTCCTCTGGATGAACGTCGCGGCGGGAACACCGCCAGAGCTTGTGGAGTGCTTGTGGGAGAAAGCAGAACCGGCTCGTAAGGTTTATGCGTTTGCGTAACTAAAAGTCCGCCATGGCCCGACCCTCTTCGGGCTTCACCGGCTCTTGCTTCATCTTCCCCAATTCCTTGATCGTGTTTGGATCACATCGCAAGTCCTGAAAAAGCGAGAAATACAGTCAAGAACGAAAGCATCCGACAAGAAAGCGATTACATTTTACAGAATGCTTTAGGTGCAGTATTATGTATCCAAAATACAAGAAAAACTCGTTCAATCAATCTACATTATTTAATAAATCTGCCGTTTCTTGGGGAAATTGCGAGAAGAGTATTTCTCATGATCTGAAAATGATGAGAAACGAATACTGTAACGCCTCAATCAACTGACTGACTCTTCTTGAGATCTTTTACCTCGTTGAACTTTTCTCAGGACACGTCCAACCGTGAAATCTGTTCATTTTTTCCGTCATACGCTAGGGCTAGGCCATTAAAGCAGAGCGTTGAAAACATGCGAAATCGGTCTGTCTAGTTATTATAAAAATTGGTTCATTGATCCAGGTTTCAAGTTCCAGCGAAGGGTGCGCTGGCGTAAATTTGTTCTCCACAGAACCGTGTACTGATACATGCGTAGGAGGGAATTCGAGCGAAAATAATTACACAGGAAAAGATGGAGTAACCAGCAGAAAGATCGCGTCCATTTCCAAGCAAATATTAAAAAAGAAAGTAAAATTTTGGCACGCATGCATTTCTGCATGAATCCCATATTATGCAATGAACAAAAGCCGTCGCATTTTTTGTATGCTTCGCTCCTCGCGTACTGTACTGCACTTGGAATGGTTTCTAATCTTTCAATTTTATGCAAAACGTGCTCACTGACAGCATGATTACCCATGTTGAATAACTTGACTAATACGTTTTGTCCCATGACAGTAACTGCTCGTCGCACAACCGACAGTCTTCATGGACGTACAGTAACTCATTCAAACTGAAGCCATTCAATGACGGCGGTTGACAGTCATTTCTCTTTTTTTTTTAAACCGAAGATTTTCTAATGCTATGGAATTCTCAAGGGAACGCTTTGAAACCAACGATGTGCACAATCGGTCAAGAATGACTGACACACAACTTCGAAGTGACTCATCGTCAGAAAGATCACTAGCTAAACCAAATGGAAGGAAGCAAGCAAGTTTTTTGGATTCAAGATAGACCTTGAGCCAACGCAATTTTAGATATACTGTACACTATCTCTTCCATTTAGATTGAAAGTCATGAGCACGATGAAAATAATACCAATTTTGCATTCGACGAAGAATCACCGAGGTGAAAAATCCCTCACCTTTTTGTTGCCCACAAGAATAATCGGCACATTGGGGCAAAAATGCTTAACTTCCGGGGTCCATTTTTCAGGAATATTCTCCAGGGAATCCGGTGAGTCGACTGAGAAGCACATGAGTATGACATCCGTGTCTGGATACGACAAAGGACGGAGTCGATCGTAGTCCTCCTGACCTGCCGTATCCCACAACGCTAGTTCCACCTGAAATTTTTAAAAATAAAAACGTTGCTGGTCAGAATACACAAAGGGTAGTTAAAATGAACTGCACGGTAAGGGATTTGTAGGAAGACTACAAGCCTACAAACGTATACTTCCTCGTTCATTACGATGAAGTAAAGCCTCGTTTAAATGAGCGTAAATGTCAAGTACTGTACAGTTAAAAATGATACCTATTTAACGCCAAAAAATCTCATGCTTCATCTGTTACAGCCCTCACTCCCGGATGTAATGTACTTAATAGAATTGCAACAGTACAGTACTACAATATTACGGATAAAATTTTAAATAAATATAAATTTAATAAACGTTTAAACTTTTCTCACTTCAGTTCCACGCAGAACACGTAACCATCTCTAAATACAACGGGAGTGTGGAACCCGATTGTTGAATCGAATGAGATTTTTCGAACGAATGATCATAAATTACATTATAGAGGCATCAAATTCTTTAACCATAAATTATACAGTGTCATCATTTCGTCAACACCCTCATAAATCTTGATCAGTCGGAGATACAAGGGGGTTCAACTTGAAATCCTCAAGGGTAGATACAGCCTTTCCTTCCGCCGACAGAAATGACATTTGAACGATGCTGATGAATAATCCATTTGAATAGAACAAAAATGAACTGATTCACTGTATTTTGCACAAAAATCCAAACTAGATTCAATTATGGTACTCAAATTTTTCAAAACAAACAAAAAACAGCGCACTTCAACCCCAGATAATTTTTGGACGACCCTCATAAACAAGCGGGAACGCTAAGGAAGTGGCTTTTTTCCGCTGACGAGAAATACATTTGAACGATGCTGATGAAATATCCATTTAAATAAAACAAGGCTGAATTGACTAATGTATATTTTTCAATCCTACATTCAATTATGGTACATTATTTTAAAAAAACGAGAACTTCGCATTTCTCCCCTAGGTAATTTTCAGACGACCTTGATAAACAAACGGAAAAGTCGAAGAAATTCTCTTCCAGGCCGAAACCGTTTGCGGAAGAATCGTGTTCCTTCCTCCCTTGCACTCTCAACACGGCAATGTCTCCGCGCCAACCAACGACCCAATTTTCGCAGTCTGAACCCTATGAGCTCGAATAAACAACGTACGAAGACCTCGTTCCACACTCCTCCCCCTCCCCCAAACACTCGCCTCCGCATCCCCATAGAGTCCACTTCTTCTCTCGTACCGGGGCTTCTTTCAGCCGCACCCAGAATCGCTCCCTCATCACGGGCGTGAGAAGCTCCTTCACAAACCGCGGATGACCAACGCGTGAAACCGGGGGGGGGGGGGGGGCAGCCGCGCCTTCGGATAGGTCTTCGTACGTTGTTTATTCGAGCTCATAGGGTTCAGACTGCGAAAATTGGGTCGTTGGTTGGCGCGCATTCGTAGCAGTTCCAACATCTCAATTTATTCTTCCATCACTAGGGTTTGTCTCGTGATGGTATAAAATTACACGGTTTACATTATGAGCACCATTAGGATAACTTTGAACACTTATACAGTACTGTAAAACTAAAACCCTGAAGTTTGGAAACTGAGGCATCTAGAAGCTTACTTGAAAATATACTACAGGTAGACTACAAAAATCTGGTGTGCAACGATTTTCTATATACATTACAAATACTTTTTTCTGGTGTTTTACAACGAATTTTCATCTGGTGGATCGATTTTCTTTGTACAGAGAGAGTCCACCTGAGTAACAGATTTTTTGGTCCCATGAGGTCTATCAGCCTTGATGAACCGAACAAGAACTTTAGTTAGACCCTTCATCATGCACTCTGCTGCAAAGAGAAACGGGAATTCCTAAGAATCCTAAGCAATGACCGTACTGGACAAAGCGAAACTGAAGTTTTTGCTAAAATCAAACAATGTGAAATACTGTATTCTTGCTAATACATTCAAGTAAACTGTATTACGAATACCGACAAGCGGAGAGGGCAAACGAAACCCGGTCGAAATTAAGAGGCCCATACATTGTATAGGATAACGAAGTCTACCACGAACTACGGATTTCAAATTCCGGAGAATGGACCCAAGGGGAGAAATGTCATCATTGACGAATTTCAAATTCCCAAGAATGGACCCAAGGGGAGAAATGCTATCATTAAATTTAAATCGGAATATCTCTTGGGCACCTACATGAAATACAATATATGTTTCAGCATCTCCTCGAAGACAAACACGGTTCCAAGAACCCGGTCAGACCAAGTTCTCGCCGGGCACGTCAGAAAAAAAAAACATGGGAATAATTTATGAGACAGACATCAACTCGACTTTCAGTTCTCCCAGGCACCGACCGCACCTTCGGGGAGCAGGAATGCGAGATCACGGCCTGGAATTTCTCTACCATCTTCCACTTCCTCCTCGACTCATCAAAACTCACGAGCGGCACGCGCAAATAAACAACAGACCGGAACCTAGCAAACCGATCCCAGAAGAAAAAAAAAATCCAGAAAATGGTACTGATAAGCAGTAATTCTAAGCGTCAGGTCTCAAATAATATTTAAAATCATGAACAAAAAAAAAGTTACGTGCGAGACTGCTTGCACTTCTTCATAAAACAACAAAATTCGAATTGAATAAGAAGGAGAACTGACCTGCTTATTATCGACTTCTATGTCTGCGACGTAGTTTTCGAAGACGGTAGGCACATAAACCTCTGGGAACTGATCTTTACTGAAAACGATCAGAAGGCAGGTTTTACCGCAGGCACCGTCTCCGACAATCACAAGCTTCTTGCGAATGGCAGCCATCGTTCCTCAAATTCGATCGAGCGAACCAATAACGAAGACAACCACGCAACTGCTGAAAGAAACGCGTCGCTCACTGTTCCGCGAGCCTCTATACGTCGCGTTCCAGATTTCTGCAACAAATAAGGTATTCCATCAGCTGCGGAAATGTTCCATCGAAGGATAGCAGCACATCACCTCCGAACTCTAAATAACGTAACGAAAAGACTTCGCCCACCAAACTCGCGGAACGGAAAGAGCGCGCAGCCAACCGAAGCAACACAAGCAAGATCCAGCATGAATGAAATTCCCAAAAATCGACTAAATTCCTAAGTCGAAGCCAGGAACACATCACTCGCGCGCATGCAACCGGTACGGGTGGAACAAGGAGTTCGCATGAATTCCAAGAAATGGTGCGATAAGTTTGGCCTTTCCACATCGTCCGAGATGAGTCATGCACACAGCCATGTAGATGGATATCATTCGACGACATAGATACAGTACAATCACCGAAGTATAGGCTATGAAAAATAACACATCTGTATTGAACTTGGGTACTACAGGGTGCTCGGCCAATATGTAGGAAACTCATCAGAAAAATAATCTATGAACAAATTGAAAATACGAATGCTCCGCATTGCTTCAAATTTCACAGGAATCGGAAGAGTACCTTTAAACAGAAACCAAAGGTACACCCCCACCACACCGGAACACACAAAATCACGATGAATAGAGCCTTAGAAAACCATGTTTTTTCATTGCCGTGGTTGCTTCATTTCACCCTCTCCAGGAAGAAACAAGAATTACGGAAATCCTTTACCACTAATTCGGAAGAAACAAGCGTGCCGCATAGTAGACAGTTGGCAACAAAACACTCCGTGGCATCAAAGGTGATCACTTTTATTAACCTGAGAGTACGACGATAATGGACCTATCTGATCGTCACTGCTACTGGCACCCGGCTTCATAGTGAACTGCGCATTCAACATCACACTATCAAAATCCGCTCCTGAAGTGTACAAACCTGATCAGTTCATCATTCGAATCAGGAATCTTGCGTGAAAAGTTTGATGATGCAAATTGCGCCTTCAACCCACAGAAACGCTCAACACTCCAGAAATCTCCTTCACTTCACAAGGAAGCAACGGATTCCCACGAGTTAGGGAGTCCGCCATCTTAAGATCGACGCCGCGGTTGGTATCTTCGCAACTTTTTCCATGTCGTCGAACAACCGCGCGAGAGGGCGCTGTTGCTCTTACCACTCACCCTCGACAACAACACATTCAATGGCGCCTATTATAATCGCATTACAGTACAATACTGTACTCGTATAATCATACTGTAATTGGTACTGCCTTTCAATTCTCAAGCTCTTTCCTCTCCAGTAGATTCAAAATCCTCATCGGATCATTGAGAGAGCATGCTTATGCTCAGTAACGCCACACAGAGGCATATTTAGACTTCTAAATCAAAGAATTACCCTTTTATAGGTAATGAACATTGCAGTCTACATAGAGAAAACCACACGAACACAGCAATAACACAAGGAAGTTCATTTAGAAAGTACTGTATTAAAATTGCTTCTCACAAACTAAATCCAGCTCACAAACTTTTCAGCAAATGAAAACTTCACTTGAATGGATTGTGTATGTCCATGTTAGCCACGGGTCAACTGCGGTGTACTGGTGGACTCCCTCTACCAGGATCATGTCTAAAATAATTTTCTCCTTACATCAGTGTATCTTGGTCCGGTTGGGTTCCATCTGGCCTATGCTATCAAGAGTTCTCTAAAAAAAGTATTTTTCTGGACTCTTGAATTTTGTGGCAGAGTGAGCCCACCTGTAAAACAAATATCGAGTCACAACTGCAGACCATGAATAAAAATCAAATCTTCGACAATCAATCTGCATGCTCGCTTCTGTATTTCCTCCTGAAACTTGAAATTGACAAGTGCGCAAAGAAAATCAAGAACATACAACGCAAAACCCAAGATGGCAGCAACGAAAAACGAACAGAATGTATCCGTAAGTCAAAGTATATCCTACGAAACTGCGGCATTCAAAACACATTCAATCCATCCATCGAAATTGAATGACTACATAAAGTAGTCCAACTCGTACCGCACGAACTGGTTCTTCTCGTCGTTCGCAAGTCTCGGATACGCTGCTACGAGTGAGTCTTGGCTTCCAACGTACAATGTGTTGTAGATCTTCCAGTAAACTTCGCGGACTTTTCGTGCGGGATGAAACAATCCCTGAAAAAAATAAAATAAAACATTGAACGACGACTACGTTTGCAACATTGCCGACAGATGTGAAACTGACCTGTAGAACATACTGGAGCATTCGCACGGGACCGAGCGATACTCGCATGGCATCCGCGCAGTCGAAGAATGCCTGTACCAAGTGCGGGCTCGTTTCGAAAACATTCGGCCATACATAATTCAACAAGTGAGTCAGTGCATCTTCGCAACCGAAGCCGTGAACTCCGAGGGCCATGTGTTTGATGGCTGCAATCGCAGTTTGTCTGTGCACCAAATCTCTGTAGAAAAAAAAGAGACGTAAATGATAATTTATAATGTGAATCATGATTCTTCGACACGTTTCTGAAAACTGTTACACAACAGCTCCAATAAATTCGATCGTACGTTGAAAATCAATCCCAATCCTGACCTATTTCAGCGCACTGAAATCCTCGAGTAACTCTCTTATTGCTATCCGTTCCTATCCAAGATACAGTTTCGAGACATAAACTTGAACAAGAAGCGCAGAACGTAAAATGAATCATAAATGCATTAAAATGCGTAGTGTGGAAATGAAGATAAATACAGCATGTCTAAAAATTACTTTTGCAGTGGAAACGGTCCTAGTTTTCATGAACTGCCCACTCGGGGCCCGAACTCAGATCTGAACAGGCCACGCACTGCATTTCTGCAAAATCAACTGCAAATTTTTCAGGTCGGAAAAATTAACCGTTTTCATGTAAGCATTACTCGAGCCTTTCCCACAACACATTTTTCAAGACAACCAATACGTCCATCTCGTAACTGGTTAAATTTCAACAAGTGAATTGTTGTGCCGCGTCTCACCTGTCCATCAAGGCGTCTTCCAAAAGCGGAGAAACCGCGTAGATGTAATCCTTGCCCATTTCACCAATATACTCGAACATGAACGAGAGCGACTTCAACACTCCGTTCTGTACGTTCAATTCGGGTACGCGGTATTCGTTCATCAAACCCGGCAACACCGTGAACGGCGAGCATGTTTCCGAGACGATAGCAATAGCCACGGTCGTGCAAACACGGTTTTGCCTCTCCTGCACTCGCAAATTGTTCAGCAAAGTAGCCAACACGTCGTGTGGACTAGAAACCNGTTCATCAAACCCGGCAACACCGTGAACGGCGAGCATGTTTCCGAGACGATAGCAATAGCCACGGTCGTGCAAACACGGTTTTGCCTCTCCTGCACTCGCAAATTGTTCAGCAAAGTAGCCAACACGTCGTGTGGACTAGAAACCGAAGAAAGAATGAATAAAACCCGCGTCATTATCGGGCATTCTTGTCATCAAACTGGGCACACTCATTGGACACCAATTCAAAAACTTCTTGACAAGTTTTTAAATACTGTACAATCAATTTTCATGATCGAAAGGTTACAGTAACTTCTTCCTGCGTTCTCAAATATTTTAAAGTACTGTTCGCACATTTCATTCTTCGGAAGAGATGGGGTGATCGCTCATATCTTACGAATGCTCCTCCTGCATAAGTGCTGACGGCAGTTGAAAATTATTTAATTTTTATCCACAAAAAGTATATTTTCCCATAAATGCCAGACCTTTCTCATGAAAAAGTCAACATCACCACCAAACTTAACGTATTCAATTTCCGTAGGCAAAAAATTGGTTAGCCCGCAGAAAATAAAATTTGGCCAATAATCATACTCAAAACAGTAATCGCGTTCAGTTCTCGGCTGTGAAATAGATTTAAATGGTTCCATGATGACAAGGGTTTTGGACAAAAATTCATGGAATGGAGAGAAAACCTAAAAAAAAGAAGAGTTAACCCGTTTGGTGATGATGCTACAACAAAATTTGTATCTGCATGTTTTTCCAGATACTTCGTCTTCCTATGCAGGACGAAACGTGAAAAACGAACCAGGTTTCCACTTGGCAACTAACTCAACCCTAAGACAATGCAGATAATTCAGGGGAAATCTCCCTGTATTTACTCGAGTACCACGCGCGACATACGCGGATATGCACATTTTCCAGATATTTAGGGGTGTCATTATACTTGATTATTTTGGACCAAGTTTAAGAAAAAAGTTATTTTACTGAAAAAATTCACAAATCAGTCGAATCTATGATCAATTATGTCGAAATTCGAATTTCGGTGTTCGTATCTTCGAAATATTAGTTTTAGAGTCACTAAAAAGTGGGGTGCGCGTCTTGCTTGGGGATAGAAATAAAAAAAAAATGTCCAACTGAAAATCCCTCGTGAGCGTCTTATTCGAGGGCGCGTGGTATTCAAGTAAGTACGGTATTCAATGGCAACGAGCAGACATTATTTGGGGACATGGGGCGTTGAAACTCTCAAAGTTTTTCTTTCTTTACAAGCAGATTTAAGAGATACACCGTGAGGAATGAACGACGGAAGAATCCAAGTTAACTTACCCAATGGCTTTGGCAATATAACCAAAAGTATTGACTGCAGCTCGGCGAATAGCCTTCTTGTGAGCTTTCAGCAACTCAAGCAACTCGAAACAAATCCTCATCCATTCTCTCGCCGATACAAACTCGGCTCCTCTATCAGCTATCCTGCCGACCAAGTCAATGCAGTTCTCTTGTACCTACAAGGTTAAAATAAACCATTTTAGTCGAACGTAGTCAATAACAAACTGAATCATCACTAACTAACCTTTTCGTGTCTGTTTTTCAAAATCGGGGTCAAACGTGGCAACAAATCCTTGATCGGTGGGGTCATCTTGTGCATGCCGATGACATTTACAATCGCCTTCAGCGCGGCGAGAATAGATCCCAACACTTCGGGATACTCTTCTCCAAGGTACTCGTACAACACCACGCCAAGGTAGCCCATCAGCTTTTCCTCTTGACACGTCTTCATAACTACGGCAATACGCGTGATCAAATCGGCCGCCTGCTGGCGAACTTTGGCGGATTTGTTGTTCAATCGCCACAAAATCGTTCCGCAAATTTGCGGCAAGAAAGGTTTGACTCTCTTGCCGAGTGCGTTTACGATGGCGCCGAAACCATTCAGCATGACCACGTCCTTCAATGAGAAAAAATGTGTTCATGAGACCATAAATAAGAATGTTTTTCTTTCAACACTGCCTTCTTCCTGGAGAGAAATGCAACAATCGCCTAAGCCAGATCTGATTTGAATTGAGTCAATAAACCCTACAATGATTTAGACAAACCCCATCTAATTAAAACACAATACAATGTAAAGTAGAATCTTTTTACCATAAACCTCGTCATAACAAATAATTCATTACAACGAGTTCGTTTCTGTGGCCCCTGTCCAATAGCCACATTGCTCTTTTAATGTCATTTCAAATAATTTTTGGTTAAACATAAGATTTTCCAAGGTTCTGAACGCTTCTTCGTAACGAGATTCTAATGCAGTTTGATCAAACTTGTCCGAAATGATGCGCAACCAACTTCGAGCGACACCTATACAACGGCAGATAGAATCACGGTTTGGATGCCAAGCTCTTGAGCAGGAATAAATCGGCAAGAGATATCATTTTTCCAGTCCCCTGAACATTTTCAAGAAGAAAACCGACAGACATCCATGAACTTCGTCCAGTAAAATAAGATTAAATGAATCGTGAAGCTTTTTACGCCAAAATTTCAACGATTCAGACTTCGTGAAGTAAAAGTTTCACGCTCAAAACGAAGCGCAACATACTCGTGATCAAAGCAGACTCGCTATTTCTCTCTCCGCTTTCTTCCGGAGATTGGAAGACTCAAGTTTTACATGAAAATTCATCAGATTAATTGATATCGATGAATTCGCATTCGGTAATGTCTGACTGTCGGTAATCGATAGAAAACGTCTTATACGAACCTCGGTCGTTTGTTCTTGGAAAGCGTACAAAATCCCATCAATCAGCTGTTCCTCCAGCCGACTGTCGATATCCGCAGCTCCCAGGTTGGTCAACACCTTTTCCAGCGTCTCCATCACCATCTTTCTGTACTGCTCGTTCTCGTCCTTCAAGTCGTCCACAATTCTGGTCACGATCTCACAGGCCCCGACTTTGTTGGCGATCTCAACAGTCGTGTCAACGAGTTGACGGTAATTACGTCTGTCCAATGCCATGCGCTGATTCCAAAAGTGCTTGAAGAATGGCGGCAAGATTTCGTCTTTAATGAACTGCGGCTCCACACCGTCTGTGGCGCAACACTGCTTCACGACTTTCAAGACGATCTTCTTCATTTCCTCGTCGGGGGACTGGAATTCTCGGATCAAGATGATCATGACTTCACGTGTGTAGTAATTCGCGTACTCGGCGTCCATCAACGGAATAAGGTAACCGATGGCTTTCAAAAACGCGGCCAAGCCCTGAAAAAAAAAATTAAAACGTAAGTGCTTAGTCGTACAATTTTTAAATAAGAAAATTAGGAATTCTACGCGACAACTTGATAATCGAAATTCGAAACTTTTTCAAAAATACAAAACGCGAGAAACTGCACATTAATGTCAGCACAGATCAGTGGTCTTCCATGTTGACATTCGAAAATTTGCAGGGGTGATCAAAAAATGTATGCGTGCGTACAATCTTGTAATGTATAATAAAATATATGATATTCAGTCATGATTTGTGCGAATTATATAAAAATTGGGTGCCAGTTCTATTTGGGCTATCTTCAATCGCAATGATTATTTTTTTCATTTTAAAAGATAGCTTATTGTTCAGGAAAAACTTCTTTTAAATTTTTTACCAACGGAAAATACAATTTTAACCAATGAAAATTCGTACAGTATCTTGTCATACTTCCGCGTAATTGAATACGAACGCTGTCATAATAAAATTTCAAGGGATTAGATTCTGGCAATATTCAATTCAATGATCAAGTCGAGTTTTTCATCTCGGAGCGGTGAAAAACTCGAGCAGAAATACGAATATTAGTCAGAAATTGAAATTTCACAGACCTTTCCGCGATGCATACGAATGCCCTTCCACAACGGTTTCAGCACGGAGTCAAAGCTTTCGATACCGTACGGAGTCGAGGCTTCAGCTAACGCGGCCAAGGCCAATGCAGTGATGGTTCTGACTTTTTGCTGCTCGTCAACGAGACCTGTCAAGAAAAAGTAGGGAATGTCATTGCTATAACCATGAACGAAAATACTGGACTGTACAGTGCCATTTTTGCGACGTAATGCCGTACAGTGTTCTGCCAATACGATTTGTAAATTTACGAAGAAATTCCCACGAAATACCCCTATTTACTCGAGTACCACGAGCAACCCCAGTTTTAGAGAGTCAAAATTAAAAATTTTCAAAATAAAATAGATAGGAATTAAAATTTCGACCTTAAATGTTGTGACATTAATAGTCAATTTTCCATAATTTTCATTTTTCGATCTTTCTCATGAAATTTTTTGAAAATTCCCTGCTGAAATCAAGCATTATGCGCACCAAAGCTCTAAAATCACTTTGAAAAGTTATCCCCACCTATGACATAAACCAAACCCTCTTTAAAAAAAAAGTGCGCGTGGTACTCGAATATATACGGTAAATATTGCTTGATGATAGGATTAAAATTCTCGGAACTTCGAAAAGCCACGGATGTTGACGAATAAAAATCTGAATTCATAAATCAATCGAATACAGTATTCTACCATGCTCAATGATTTCCACCAATGACTTGAGATGCGGCAAAATGGCGCAGCCCATGAGGATAGCAATCTGCTGACAGATTTTAATGCCCGTGTGTCTGGCCTGCCAAGACTTCTTGCTCTTGCAAACGGCCTTCAGAAACGGCAACAACGACGGGATTCCCAAAGCTGAAGCGACGACGGCGAATGCCCTAGCAGTCGTGTTTCGAACGTATTCGTCAATGTTGTCAATGTCCGGCCTCATTGTAGAAATCATAGTGGCCAAACCGGCGGCTTTCGCGAGATTGGAAATAATTTCTCGTCCTTCCACTCGGGCATAGTAATCTTCGTCGATCAACAATGGTTCGATCACTACAAGAATCTGGAATCAAATGCGATAAAAAAAAATCCTTTCGTGATGAAAACGCCGAACATAGAAGGGGGAATTATTTTCTTTAGTTTGATCACACTAACTGAATTTTGCATAGTGGTACAGGAAGTGCGCATTTTTAATGAAATAAAAAATATCGAGCCATGAAGTTTTCATTGAATGGTCAGAACTCAGAAGCGTCCTAAGCGTCATCCACCTTATCGAACCAAAGTACAGTACTGTACACTACGCTACTTCTATTCAATTCTAGTCACCATGTTCAAAAATGTCATAAACCCCCACACAAGGACTTACAGTACTGTACAAGGATTTATTCTATAACAGCGATCTTTTTCTGGTCCCCATGGACCTTCCAAGCTCTTCATCGCCAGTATTTTCTGTACAGCGAACCAAAGTACTGTACAGTATTTTCTGAGCACGTAAATTGAGCTATAAAGTAAACTTGAATAAAAAGAAACGAAGCAACACGGCTTTCGTAAATTTTCAAAAACTCAACGCACAGGATATTCTAAAATCAACAAAAATTACTTAATGGGAGGGGAAAAAATACCGCAGATTTCAATCGATAATTTTCCTTTGCAAGGGCCTTCAGAAAAAAACAGTACGAACCTTGTGTACGTACGGACGAACAAGATCGTCCAACTTGTATAAAATCCGGTCAATCACTTTGACCAGCAAGTGTCGCTCTTGGTCCTCCAGCGTCGGTGACATCAACAACGGAAGGATTTGATTAAAAAGTGCACCGGCTCCGAATTCCCTCGCTTTGTCCGTTATCTGTCTAAGAGCGGCTTTCCGCATGGGAGGAGTTCCGTTTTTGATCTTCAGCAACAGCTTCAAAATTTTCCTTTCAAGCTGTTCTTGCGGAGGCAACGAGTCCTCGTCAATGTCCACCTTGAGGGACAAAAAAAAAGTCACGAATATTCCACAGAAAACCCTAAAATATGGGAATACATTCAAGAATTTTCTGGAATCCGAATTTTTAAAATTTCGCATTTAAAAAATGTTCATTAATAAGAATAGCTGAAAAATGTGTGTTCAAACTGACAATTTTCACATTAAGTTTGTAGACTTGAAAAAAAATCCCTGATAAAGAAGAGATAGGAATCTTCCCAGAAAATTATCTCCTCAAGTGAAGGTTTCTCGTCAAATTCACCAACCCGAAAATATCCAGAATTAACCCTTCAAGCCTTATCAATGAAACAAGTACAGTATTCACATTTCTACTAGATACAGCTCGTGATTAAACTGTATAGCCTGAATTTAATTTGATACGTCTGAAATACCTTGAACTATAAGGTGAACAATCAACAACATTAAATCCCTCAGGCTTTTAATCCATTTTTTATCCGGAAAACCATCGATGCACAGAAGAACATTAATACGATGCAGATTCCAAGTAATCCATTAGCTGAATGCTTGACCCGAAGATACTCACCAGAAGCTTATCAAAATACTGCGCGTCTTCAGGCTTCAGCAAAGGCAAGTTTCCTGATTTCGGCTGCAAGTCCACGAATGCATTTTTTGTCTTGTCCTCGGTCTGCATGAAGAAACCACTCTGGCCCGTCATGGGTGTTGGCGTCGCAGTCAACTTCCTCGCCGGCGTCCGGATCGGCACGTAGCCCGCAGGCGGCGGCAACACCTTGTATCCCGGCGGGAACATAGCTTCCAGATCGTCATCCGTCAACGGACGATTCCTCTCGTCAATCTCCTTCTCCCATCGCCAGGCTTGAAGTTGTTCCGGCGTCATAGCCATCAACTGATTCGGCCCCGGAGTCGCCATGGCCATGGCTTTTGGCCCAGTCGGCGTCACGCCGCTCGGTGTCATCATCGATGGCGTCGCCGGGGTCATGGGCGTCGACGGAGTGCCCATCCCGCTCGGCGTCGCTGCCGACGGAGTTTCGTCCCACCGAGATCGTCGCTTGCTCGCAGACGGAGTTGGTGTCTCCTGAATAAGGTCGGCGGGCCCGTGACGATCCGTGCCCGGGGTTTCGGCCCATCCGCTGCCGTGACCCGGGGTTTCCCCGCGGTCGGTTTTCGGGGTCTCGTCCCAGCGATTACGTCGTGCAGAGGCTGAGGTTTTGTCGTGTCCGGGTGTTGCGTGACCCGGCGTGGCGTCCCACATGCGGGTGGACGCCGATGGAGTGGCGCCCGGCGTTTCGCTGCCTTTGTGGCCGGGCGTGGCGCCCCAATGGTCGTGGGCTGGCGTCTGGAAGAGGCATGAAGTAAACAAAAGCGATTATAGTGGATCTGTCGTTGCGCTTTGAATTGCTAAACGAAGCTCGTAACACTTGGTACTAACCAGTTATATCAAGTCATAACGTTACTGTATTACACTTATGCAGACATACTCCTCAATAAATACATGGATTATTTTGTCTTCTTTCCAATACTGAGGCTACGGAAATTCGACAGATTCATAACACATTCTTCTGTGAAAACTTCAATTAAAATACAGTACTTTAACTCGTAGAAATAAAAATGTTTAAAAAAAAGTTACGTCAAGACGGTTCCTAAAAAAATTTGCAAGTAAGTTCGTAGTATATCATCCACAAAACTTTGCATAAGTCTTGCTGAAGATTTATAGACTTCAAAACATCGGACAATTTACTAAGCGTTTGAAAAAAAAGGCAATGTTTGATTACGATGTCGTCAGACGCAAAGAAGTTCAGACTTACTTCGGATTCCCAATTCGCTTTCTTGGCTTTCGCAGCTGCTGCTTCTTCGGCGGCTGATGTTTGATCCCATCGGCCTTTTCGCTTAGGCGCAGTACGAACTTGAGAAATCTCAACATTTTCATCAGCAACATGCAATGTGCCATCCTTAGCCTTATCTTGGATTTTCCGCCGCAGCTACGCAAAAAATTGAACAAAGGTTTTATAAAATGTCATTACAAAGGTTTCGGCGAAAAAGCGTGAGGCTCGCCAACATAAAAACGATTTCGGAAAATTCGAAATCACTTCCCATATCGTAAATATTGATAGGCCCATGATTTCATTCAATTTAAATTTAACGAGTTCATTAATTTCTTCTCGAACGTATATCGACTCATCTGTATAATATTTGAAAGGCATTCAGGCCCGTAAGTTCTGAAATCCATGTCTGATATCCAATCATGATGGTCATTGAAATGGGAATGCAGAAATTTTAAAATTAAATGTGTACGAGGTCATTTGATGCTCAAAGTTTACTTGAAAATTGTGACGTCTGAAGCAGAAAACCAGTTCGTGCACACGAATAATATACTGCAATACCAAAAACAGTACTGAATTTCTAAAAAAAATAAACACTGTACGCAATTTAGAACCATTTGATGAAAGTACCGGATCGCAGAAGAAAGCTTTGAAGTGGAAAATTGAAGAATACGGTACCTCATGCTCTTCGTGCTTGAGTTGCTGCTCGCGCAAAATATGTGCGTAAGTGCGAGAATTCACGTCCGGCGTTTTCCCACCTGAAAAATATCCAACAAGAACCAGGCGACAGGGAGAGGGGCAGAGAAAAAAAGATAGTTGAAGAGCGATGGAAAGAGTAGATTTAAAACAAAAAAACAAAACCAGGGAAAAAATTCCATTAGTTCCAAAACATTCTCCGAACTTTTTTTTATTTTCGAGAAATAAGAAAAAAAATCTTCTCTTCGCGCTCATACGTACGTGTCACCAGCTGGGCTCCCACCAAACGCAACAACTAATCCATCAGGAAAATCTGCAAGTGGGCGAAGACGTTTACGTCACCCAGATTCTTCAAACATGTTTTTTTCCTCTTACTTTGAACCTACGCTTCTTTTTCTTCAACCTCACTTACCTCACGCAGCAAACTCGATCCGAGCATTATAAATTTACGAGAAAAGTCTCTCAAACCAAGAAAAAACATGGAAAGTAAAAAAAAAAAACGGACTAGTCTATTCCGAGTTTGCTATGATCCAGTCTTGCGTCTCGAGAGCCTGGAGCGTCGGCAAGGACCTCGGGAAAAGAGATTTTCGGGGGATTAGAACTGGCGGCAAACAACAATGGAAAAGCTAAGGGTTCCGTTCCGCGACAAGACGAAGAAAAAGCTTTCAAGTCGTCAAGAGACTCACCGTCGGCAAAGGGGTCGACTCGTTCAGGGGAGATAACCTGCTGAAGGCGTCGAACGCGATATTCGTCTTCGCGCGACGCAATCGTTGGTCGTTTGTGGGCTGCAAATGGATCGTAGTCCTTGTCCGCCTAAAATAAAAATAAAAAAGATGAATTAGAAACAGTTCATCGAAGAATGCACGGGAAAAATTTGATTTAGTTATTCCATGAAGACCCTCAGACCCAGGTCCCGAAAAAACCTACGAGATGAAACAAAATCGTTTTTTCCTGAGATAAGTGTGCTTAGATTAAGTTTGTTCCTGTACAGTCATCAGCAAACGGACAGGGAACAAAATCTTTCATTTGTGTCCATTAGATGCCACTGGTGTATGTTTTCTGCGTGTCTTGACTGAAAGAAGGGTTGACAGAAAAAAAAATAGAGACGAACACCGGCAAAAAAAAAGGAATAAATCAATCTCAAGTTCCAACCCAAAACGAAATTCGGATCACAGCATCAGACGCCGATGAAATGCAACACCACGAAGTTCCAGAAAAGTATGTTACGTGCTCTGATCATTCAACTGATGATCAGTTTTTCGACACAATCAACAGGTTCTCCAAAAAGTTACAGCGCACTGTCGGAATAACCTTTTCGCGCGGTTTAAATATTGGGGCTAACGTATGCGAAAGCGCATTGGAACTGTTGTTGAACAGATGAGAAGGTTCACCCAAATTGCTTGTTGAAGGAAAATGCAAAATTCTTCATCATTAGACGAGAAAAACCATAAACCGAATCATTTCTGGCACGCCATAGGAAAAATCTTCAAGCGCATAGAAGAGGATTCCAGACCGATACATGATCGAATGATAAAAAAAGTGAAATGAATCGTGATTACACGTAACAATCACCGATGAAACAGCTCGACATCATAATTCACCGAAGAAGAAAGTTTGTCATACGATTGCAAATGTTTCCATGTACACCCTGTATATTTACTTGTTCCAACACTATCAAAACTTTTGAGATTCCTAAATGCAGGACGGAACACGATTTCCTTATCTACAGCACTTCAATAAGGTTTCTCACTTCTCAAAATAGGTCAGTATATACAAGAACTTCCAACTGCGCTTTCTTGGCGATTATTTTGAATCAAATTTCTCCACAAAAGGAAAAAAATTTTTTTTTTTAAATCAGATTTTTCTTTTCTAATACAGAAGAGTATTTGAATCGAGAAGAGTACGTACGTCATCGATGAGGAAAACCCAAGTTACCAACCTGTGGAATGTCGTTGAGAATGGATGCCGGCGCTGTATACCCCGGACGCTGGGCTTGCGTGACAGCACCTGCATCCACGTCATCATCCTGAAATCAGAAGAAAGGAAATGTCGACTCGTTCAGGGGAGATAACCTGCTGAAGGCGTCGAACGCGATATTCGTCTTCGCGCGACGCAATCGTTGGTCGTTTGTGGGCTGCAAATGGATCGTAGTCCTTGTCCGCCTAAAATAAAAATGATGAATTAGAAACAGTTCATCGAAGAATGCACGCGAAAAATTCGGTTTTAGTTATTCCATGAAGACCCTCAGACCGAGGTCCCGAAAAAACCTACGAGATGAAACAAAATCGTTCTTCCCTGAGATAAGTGTGCTTAGATCAAGTTTTTTCCTGTGTTAGCAAAGAGACAGCGAACAAAATCTTTCATTTTTGTCCATTAGATGCCACTGGTGTATGTTTTCTGCGTGTCTTGACTGAAAGAAGGGTTGACAGTAAAAAAAAATAGAAACGAACGCCGGCATAAAAAAAGGAATAAATCAATCTCAAGTTCCAACCCAAAACGAAATTCGGATCACAGCATCAGTCGCTGATGAAATGCAATACCACGAAGTTCCAGAAAAAATATGTTACGTGCTCTGATCATAAACCGAATCATTTTTGGCACGCCATAGGAAAAATCTTCAAGTGCATAGAAGAGGATTCCCGACCGATACATCATCGAATGATAAAAAAAATTGAAATGAATCGTGATTACACGTAACAATGAACGATGAAACAGCTCGACATCATAATTCACCGACCAAGAAAATTTGTCATACGATTTCAAATGTTTCCATGTACACCCTGTATATTTACCTGTTCCAACACTATCAAAACTTTTGAGATTCCTAAATGCAGGACGGAACACGATTTCCTTATCTACAGCACTCCAATAAGGTCGCTCACTTCTCAAAATAGGTGAGTATATACAAAAACTTCCAACTGAGCTTGAATAATTTTTTCTTGGCGATTATTTTGAATCAAAGCAGATTTCTCCACATGAGGAAAAAAAATATTCAAAAAAATTAGATTTTTCTTTTCTAATACAGAAAGTATTTAAATCGAGAAGAGTACGTACGTCATCGATGAAGAAAACCCAAGTTACCAACCTGTGGAATGTCGTTGAGAATGGATGCCGGCGCTGTATACCCCGGACGCTGGGCTTGCGTGACAGCACCTGCATCCACGTCATCATCCTGAAATCAGAAGAAAGGAAATTTTTCATTCTCAAAAGAACAACTGATTGAGCAGTACTCACGTCCTGATCCTCATTAGCAGCAATTGACGTAACGTAGCCCTCGTAGCGCCCACGACCTGCATCGTAAATTTCGCTGTCGAAATATCCAGCTTCGCCGAGAGCTACCCGTTCGTCGACTCCGTTCTCATCGCGGAGAGTTTTCTTCTTCGACTGGATGTCCTTGATCTGCGCCTCAATATCTATTAAGGCAGAATAATTTTATATTAGATATATACTCTACAGTAAAATTGAAAGCTTGAACGTTTTTCATTCCATACGAAGAATATTTCCCGGAACGTCGGGCAGGTGTAAGCTGACCCAGCCACCCAAACATAGGTCCAAAATACGCCATCAAACCGTACAATTTAGAACCAAACCAAAAAGAATTTGAGAGATTTCAACCTTGTTGCTGATGACCTAACTGGACGTCGACTTGACAAAACAAGATTAATGCGACAAAAATGCAAAGAAGTAAGGAACTCCAGGCAAAAAAAAAAGAAGGAACATTCGTGTTGGGATGTCTCTCGACTTAATGAACAAACGTCAACATCCCTCAGAAGGACGTGCGACGGTTTTACGACGTGTTTTGTACCATTCACACCTGCCGTTTTGCTTTTCCTTTCAAGGTAGCATCGATAATCAAGGCAGAAGAGTACTAGAATTGACATTTCGGGGTATCAAAGGGATAATCCAGACCTCTTTCCTTTTGTGGACGGTAATTTTAAATTCTGGGTGTGAGGAAAATATCGATGCTCAGGACCCAAGAGTGAAATACTGTATGAATGATATTTCACTTGCTGCAGTTCATTCTTTGAAAACTAAAAATAAATTAGGTCACGCTTACTCATCTGATTTACAGCCCATTTCAAATGGAATATACATGCTCCAATAAATAACGCGGAGAGGAGGAACACTCACCTTCGTGCGTCGTTGGTACAGACATTCTCGTTGACGTAGAAATTCACTCAACGCGAACAACTAGAATACAACGAATGCAATTCCGTCAGACCGAACTCGAATTCCACAAAAGCAGAAATTCTAAAAGAACTCTGAAAATGAAAACCGAAAATCCAAAAATTAGTACAGTGATTGATTCCAAATCCGACTGAAGCCCAGCAACAGCGCGCCACGATCGCACAAAAGTAATAAAATTGTTATTTTCCTTTTCCCATCAAACATACAAAATCGGCTCACAGTCTTCGCGGATTCAACTGCTCTCATAACTGCTATATGGTCGAAAGGATCAAAAATCTAAACGGCAGCACCACAAGAAATTGAGCAACACTACAAGCCAGACTTCTAAGGAACCAAAGAGAGCTCAAAAAAGGTATCCAGAACTCGCATGATCAAGAAATGCCCATAAGATCATCATTCTTTTCAAGGCACAAGAAGAAGCATCACTCCAGCATTGCTTTCGTCTTCAGGCTTTACCCGCCTAGTTCCTCTCAGGTCCGAAAAAGGACCATCGTCATCAGACCTGCAAAGAATACGCCACATTTGAAGGCATAATAAAGGATAGTCCCGAATACCTCGAAAAAACAATCGCATGCAGGGTTAAAAAAAGTCATTGCGAAGTAAGAAGAAAAATGCTGTAAATGTTTCGAAATCCGGTAATAACAGCACGCATCCATTAATGCATCGAAATTGATGGTCAGAAAATTTTAGAAGAATTGTTGAGCCTCGAAAATGCAAAACGAATCATGGCTTTAAAAACTCTGAAAAACTTTCCGCGTTACTGTAACAAAGCTCTTGACAACCCAGATATAAACAATGGATTAAGGATGATTCAGGGTAAAATTAAAAAGGCACTGTATTGTTATCCCCAGTGATATCTATTCACGATAGAACGATTCGTCATTGTTTCGGGCAACGAGGGAGAAACAAATCATCCGGATTCTCGCCACAGAATAACTTTTCAGACACCCTTCAAGGAATTCGAATCCATCTTCTCCGATCTCACATCGCCCATAAGATTTCATCGAAGACAAAATATTTCGGGTAAACGTACAAAAAATGTCTCCACTAACCCAGCGTGTATGCAAAAATGAGTTTTTGCACGACGGACAGATGAAGGTAATCCGGGATTATGAAACTCCGCCGCTCTTCCGAGTTAACGCATGATTCGTCAGGCACTGTCGGTAGTAACAAGGACACTACGCAAACGACAGCGACTAAAATCGCAAGTACATTGTACTTTTCCTCTTGAACTCCTTCTTGTTTCCCACCTTCGACAAAATTCAACCAATCTTGAATCAGAAAAATCCGGCGAATCAAATTCCCAATTTAATCCTGACCCTTCTGCGAAAACATCACTAAATTTCGAGAAAAGACTCTGAAGTTTGTGGGTCGTCTTTGAAAGAATTACTCAATTCGAAGAGGTTTTTCGTATGAACAACAGCAGCTGATACCATAGAAATTTGGAATTGCAAGATACTTTAGGAAATTTGGAAGTGCAAAGAGATTTCACACATTTGGAAGTGTGATCGTTCCTCAGGCGAATAATTCATTATTCAGCCAAGGAAACTTTTTTCAATAACCTGAACTGTGTGAAGTGTTTAAAGACCATCTTTGTCCAGAATTTATCAAAAAATACTCATTGAACTTCGAACCCGAAAATCCCATCAATGCAGAATAATTTAATATTCAGTGAATCTGAGGCATGAGGACACGGTAATACAGTACTGTGCAGAATTATATTCATTATTCAAACACAATAAGAGCATTGCTATTCATCTCTTCATCCGAAAGTAACATTTATCTTTCGAGATCGAATGATCATCAATTGGCTTTCAATTCAGGCTTCATTTCCAAGAAATGGTATTTTCGTTGAAAATGAGAAAATAAATATTCATTGAGCACAAGCCTTACCTCGAGAAGAACCAGGATTGCTCAGCTGCGGAACGGGACGTCCACCTCCACCAGCAGCTTGCTTTCCTCCTTCAAGCTGCTTATACTGTGCAGAACTAACCGAGTCATCTTGGGAATCTCCGGCTTGAAGGGTCGCACTTATTTCTTTCTTTCCAAAATTCTGGAAAAAAAATAATAATAAGAAGGCGAAAAATACACCAATACGAAAAAAACCGTCAACGCGCAAATCAACTCTGTCGAGTTTTATTCACAATTAATGGTATCCGAGTGAACCATTTTCGAAAAATGCTCCCCTCATCCCTCGTCCAATCAGGATATTTGAAATTGTAACTGATTTTTTTTAATACACAGATACTACAGGAAAAAGTACGTAGAAAAAATTACCTCATAAAAAATATCGCACATACATTCCCTTTGGAATTCGTACCACTTGGTTACTTTAAGGTGCAGAACTCCATTTACTCGTAAGGGCATATAGCGTAATTCACTTGATTGTAAGTATTAAATCAACCACAGATCTAAGAACTTCTCACTTTCAGGGAATCTCTCCGGCATGGAAGCATCCGCTCAATATTTCGTTCCACGGGGCAGAACGAATAAATAATGCTACATCATGCCACAAGGCGAAAAATACGGGCGAAATAATGCCTCGATTTAAAAGCACATGAAAAACTCACGTGTCTGTTCCCATGCTCGTGCACAAAAATCCGGAAACGATCCGCTTTGTTAAGATTTGCGTGACACACGGCTCTGTGTCGTATCACAATATCAACACAACATTTCGCCTTGATGACACCTTCGGCATCCAAAACTGAGTACTTGTCCGGCGCAGTACACAACACTGTTTATTCAAAATACGCTTCAATCATCACATCATCACAGAGAATATCTTTAGAAAGAACGGCACTGACCTTTGAACTTGACAGTGAACTCGTATGGGTTGTACAACGTGAGAACGCGCTTATGTGAACCCGGGTCATCGGAAAAGAATTCTAAGCTTCCTGGAAACACAAACACAGGAAGGATGCCTGTCTCGGCTTGCATCCCACTTCATTCAACTCCCATCTTGAGTCTCTGGAAGAGTATAACACCAAGAATTCATGTCCCTGAAGAACATATTTCAAGCACAAACTAAATAAGGCTCCGATAGAAATATATATTGACATCCACGCGTTTTAAACGATTATAAATTGTGAATCCTAAGCGCTAGGTTCCCATTCAAGTGCTAGAAGCAAATTATGTGGAATACGGATTAGTGGTTGTCGCTCTTCAAGGTAATCACAGGAGTGGAGGACGATTTTTTTCACCCAGCGATTGCCCGTCAAGCGAGAAAAGCCTAAGAGAATACACAATCAACAGCTCCAGTATCAATCAGGCATTGTAGAACGTCGGATGCTGAAAGAGAGAAAAAAGTAACGATATATCAATACCCTCTAAAAAATGCACTCCACAATCCACGCAAAGCGAATATTAAATTGCATATCTAAAAACTAAATATTACGAAAAAATGCGGAAAACATGTAATGTGCATAAAATGCAGCTTTCCGAAAAATATCAGAATTACTCATCTACAAGTACCAAGACAAAAACGAACTTTACGACTTAGATATTCGACGCGTAACGCTTCGAATTGAAACGATTCCAACGAAAGTTATACAGTAATAATTTTCAGGCAATGAATACGGCAAGAACCGCGAATATGTGTGATCGTCCAGGAAAAATTAAATTTCAAATTGAATAGAATATCTTCGTTTACAAACTGGATTTGAAGACACGAAGACAAGTTTGAGATTACTCACTTGATTCTCTAACTGTTGCACATCACGGACATCACTCTCGTCATCATCGGAATCCTCTTCTCCAGAGGAGGAATTGGTCCGGTTCTTCAGATCTGCTCAGCATCGCAATAAGTTATTACCCACATTCACATTTTAAAATATGAGGATACCAACCTTTGCTATCGTTCAGAGAGCAATTGGGTCTTCCTTTGCTCGAATTCTTGTTAAGCTCATCGTAGCAAGCATGGCAAACACGCAAAGGTTTAGAATCTATACTCGGAAGCAAGAACTTTTTGTTCGAGCAGGCTCCACAAACGACGGATCCACACTTTCGGCAATGATGGCGACGATTGATAACCGTAAATTGACTTTTCTTGCAAAGCATGCAACACGGCGCATCGGAATCTGGTACCCAAGGAGCTGCATGTTGCTCAGGCGGTTTCTTGCCACCTAAAGATAAACGAAAAACGTGTCATTAAATCCGAATCCGTGCATAACGGGAAGGGCATGCTCGCCATCAAATCGCAATACGTCGGAGAACAGGTATTTTTTTGTTTCAAAACATGGGAACAACTTAGTTTTTATAACGCCTGAGCCAACGAATATTCCATCAATGATAAATATTATCTCACTTTTCTTCAAAAGCTCTGCGATACAATTGCGTATGTGTCGCATCCATTCCTCCTTTTCCTCTAACGTCGCTGCGCTAACGGCGAATGATTTCGAGGCCGTGCAGATCAGCCACCGGTTTTGGAAACCTAAAAATCCAATGCATTAAGAGGATTCATGAAAACCCTTGAAAAAGGCTTATTGAAACTCACTGGCATCATCGGGTTGGTTCTCGAGTTTGACTTCTTCGAGCGGTATAATGTGTTGGCGAATGTACTAAAGGTATGAGTATCATCAAAACACAAGGCCAACTGGAAAATAATTCAAATATCGTACCTTCTTTTTTGGAATGAGAATATCTCCATAAACTAGAATATCGTTGAAGAGGAAGAACTGCCTCGGCTTAGCTTTCTTGCGGCAAACCTTGGTCAAAATTCCTTCACCGACCAGAATTCTCCCTCGAATGCCCAGCGACTGCCCCGAGCTTCCGAAGCAGCTCTCAACTGTCTGTATCCGCCGCGCATTCAGCTCGGAATCGACTGGAGAAATTCGAACTCAAAAAAAGGAACTTCACAACCACATCAAGACATACCCAGGTGCTCCACCATAACTGTCCAACAGGTGTTGAAACACAAACACGGGAAAAGCACAGGACTTCACACTGACACCTCGCGCTGGTGAGCTTCCCTGAACAGATTACATTATCATTAATGCATCAATAAAGTTTATAGCACAACTTTAAAGTTCAGTATACACTCCATAGATCGAAAATCTGAACTACTGGTGGCCAATCCAAACATAACTGCGCCAGGTTATTTCGCAATGCGCAAAATATTTCAACAGTAGCTTTCCACAATCCTCCAAAGCAGTGCTTCAGACAAAAGCGAGTGGGAAGCCCCACGGCGAAACCAGAAGAAATAGCACCCCGTAGGGAACGCAGGTAGGCGAATTGAACAGAGTAACACTGTCACATATCCGCAGATTTTGCTTTAAGCCAGGTGTTTCTGCGATTAAATTTATGAAATAAACTTAAATTCATGTGGAAACCAATTTAATAAAATCGAAAAGAACTTGAATTGAGGGATCAATGGTGCCTCGAATAAAATTTGCGTAAAAAGTATTGAAATTCAAGCAAGAATTGCACCTTGCCACGCTAGCAACAGAACCAATCCTGTATATGCTCCACTTGGGATTTATACATATAGAAGAGCATCATAAATTCAGTTGAGTTACTCTTAATTTCTTTAAATTGGCATAACTTATCACTAACCTATATTTTCTGAAACAAAATACTCATTTAACCCCAGAAGTCTGCTGTGTATATAAATTATAATCGCTGAAATGCCCAACTGCTCCGAACTTCCATTGTGTTTGTGCCATCCATCATCCACTTCGTTTCTTTTGTGATGTACAGTACGTTTCGAAGCATGGAAAAAATTGAATCTTGCATGTATGGTGAATAAAATAATGTACTAGCTTAGATTGCAGTCAACAAATATATCAAGTTCTCTTGAATTCCCTAATGCATCCAACGCATTTTTAACTTTGGGATGCATCAGGTTTGGAATCTTGAATGAACCTGTTGATTAGATTTTTTAAGAAACATTGAATTCTAGTATATAAGTGGCTATGATGACAATATACACGTACGTGTACTGCATGCCCACGCAGATGTAAATGCACAAATTTTCCATTGGACATTATACAAGAGCAAATTCTGGATGGATGCATGTTGGGTGGATCATTTGTGCAAGTATGTAGCTGAGATGGTCAACACAATACTGTACTGAGCTTCTGAATGATCTAATCCAGGGGAGGCCAAGCTACATCCCACAGGTCAGATCTGGCCTGCTGAGGCTTTTCTTCTGGCCTACAGAGACAGCAAGAAAAATCACCACCCAAAAATGTAAAGCCTTAAACATACAAAATGTAAAATTTTCCGCTCATCTCCAGTTAAGATTTTCATGAGGAATTTGATTATAGCTTAACAAAATTTCAAGATGCTTCCTTCTAACAAGTGAGACCAATACATAGCATGCAAATATATCTGGCGTAAATGGTTCTGCTTTACAGATTAAAGGGCAGGATTTTTTAAAATCTTGAAATTTAAATTTTACCCAAGCATTTTCTGTTGTTTTGAATTTATTACATCCCTTGATAGGGAAAATATATACAGGAGCTCAATTTTCTTTAAATGGCATGAAAAAAGTAGATTATCACATAAAAATTAAAATCTGAGCTTAACTGGCTCTGTAACATAAACTTAATAAAAAATTCTGCAACTCTTGAAGCAATGCCAGAAACAAATCCTGATTTTAGCTATCCCAAAAGGTCATGGAACATTTCATTTGCTGGAAGTTTGCATTAATACATCTTTGAATATAGACTCATTCTTTAAATTTCACAAGAAATGTTATGCATTATGTAAAATCATTAGAGACCATATCTTCAAAATTAGTTCATCACTTTCTGAAACACAGGAACTTATCTTTGTTTCAGGATAAATTATTCATCAACATTCAACTCCCTCAGAAGTTTCCGCTGTTCTTGAACTCCACATGACTCTTTCTGAACAATTATGCCAATCAATATTTATAATTAAAAAAAAATCAATCATGTTGCAATGCACACAAGTTGAACTATACTGTACAGCAGAAATGCAGAAAAAAGGTTTGCAGATGAAAAACCTATTCATTGACAGTTCTGAATTCCTTCAACTTGATGATAAACAAATACTGTATAACAGCTTCAACCATCTCAGAAATGCATTAATAATACAATGCACATTTGGTTTTTTCATTGTGGCCTGCATAAATCAGTTTCAATTTGGCCCTTGGCCACTTCTGAGTTGGGCACCACTGATCTAATCAATGGGACTCTCTGCTTATGTGTGCTTGGTGTATAATACTGTACCTGTACACAAAGGACCCACTGAAAACATTTCAAAGTATGGTAATTTAAGAAAAATCACGGAATCAGCCAGACATGTATTTTTTCATTGTCGAGAAGATCACAAAAGGATTTTCTTTACATGCACTCGTAAAATCAAGCCATGTCCGATGATGGAAGTTCCCAAATTACCACTTCGTTTCCCAGACCGCTCACTGAATCCACTGGACGGCTGAAACCTACAACATGCACTTTACCTGTCTCCAATGCTCTCAACTGTTGTATAAGAAAACGCTATGAAAAAAAAAGCCTGCTTCCTACGAAAAAAGACTGATCCAATGCCCTAAAACACACGGATTTGTTCGATTTTGTTTCAATATCGGACATATGGAAAATGAGCTGGATTCTGGGAGAGCCGGACATCAGCGAGAAGTTCCGCAGTTTCTCACGTGAACAATGACATCAACCTGTTGGCATACGCCATCGGCTTCACGTCAGGATGCGGCTGGAAAATCACACCAAATTTACTCGCCTGTAACAATATTCAAAATTTCGAAAAAATTAAACTCACCACTGCGTCGTATGAAACAAACGATGGATTAAGATCCCTGCCGTTCATAGTGATGAAGGCACCTTTGTTACCCATGGTATCACTATGCCGAGAGAAAAAAAATAAGTCTCTCAATCATGAATTATTGTTGATCAACTGACACGGTAAAAGCGGTGACTCACCAGTAATTTGGAGCTGAAAATATGGTGATACATTTGCCATCGTGCGCGACTTCGTAGCCTTCGGGCTTCACTTCATGACTTCTAATGACATAAGACAAATCGTTGTGTCTCAAAAAGTTATCAGTCACATCGGGCCCGAACTGGATTCCAACTCCACGTTTACTAGGTGCTCTTCCTCTCTCGGGTTGCGGGTCTGACCACAGCAGCTCACACATCAAACCTGAGACATAGAAAAAAAGTCAGTAAAAATCTCTGAATTCCCACGTTTGCACAAAACATAAGCTCAACCCTTGCACTCTGTTGAGACTTCGACACAGGGATGCCCTGACATGCGAACACTTGAAACTCGAAAAATCTGTGACATTCGGAAAATGTCTGAGATAAGGACACTTTCCAAAATGTAGAGAAAATGGAAAAACTTTATTTTTCGAAATTCGATTCCTCTTGACAGAATTGAGCTCTTTATATTAAAAAATAAAATTTAAATGAAGTTCATTATAAATTTACTCAAGTTTATAATAAAAACAGGTTTATTTTGTGCTTCTCTTCTTGGAGTACTGTATTATCCATCATTTGCGCGCAGTTTAGCAACACTAGTACCTTTTCTTTGCTTCTCAAGTTCCTTACTGATGCCAAAAGATCAGATTATGTGTGGTTTTTTTTGCACAATTGTTTTTTTGCATCTTGAAGTTGAGAAAAATAATGTTTATTCTACATTTGGAGGACTTACTCCTAAATTTTGATGAACGGGATAACCAATTAAATATGTTCGCATTGAAGTCTACTGGAGAACGTGATCCGAAATGCGGACAATCCAACATAAGGACAAAGCTCACGCGCCAATTACGTCCGCATCTCAGTGCCCCATTTATATTAGATACAAAGAAAATGGATAGGATATGCACGACTGTTCCTGTGATTTACTTTCAAACTTTTGGACCTTCTAACCAGGGTTGTTGATCGCAAGTAAAAATATAATTGCCCAATCGCAATTGCAGTCCAGCAAGAAAATTACTGTATTCCCCATTCAAAATTGCAAGGCAATAATGTTTTAAATCCCCAAATTCCCAATCACAAGGGTAATTGCAACTCTTTCAAGATTTCCATCTTGGCTTTTTACATTTATTGTAATATTCCATGATTAATCTCAAATTATCACCAAAAAGTCAATCCAGTGAAAGGATGAGGATATTAGCAAATAAATTCTAATCAAAACAATACTTTTCCATCATATGGAAGCCATCTTTACTCATTCCATTTGGATTCTCACCAGACAAAAAATATCTGCCTTGGAAAAGGATTAAAGGAACCTAAGATTATTAATATAGCTAAATAGCCTTTCTATATGGTATTATTCAATGATTGAATGCCCAAACCCTTTCATCCAAGTGAAATTACAATTGAAAAAACGATAAGCTTCTTTCTGCGTCAACCTGTCTGAAGTTCACAACAAAAAATGAGAATATTCTCTTCCATCTAGCGTCATACACAGTTAATGAAAAAAGTTAACAGTTTATCATTTTTCATTGAATATTGATCATGGTTTAAATCAATTTGCCCAAGAAAAATGCACACACTTCAGTGGTTATTTGGTTCTGGTTGTGATATCAGTTTTACCCCAATTGCAAGTAGAATTTCAAGCCTGCAAAAAATAATGCCCAATCGCAATGAGTAAAAACATTGTTGCCCAATCAAAATTGCGAGACCTGTGAGTTGTGATTGGGCTAAGTTGTGGCGCAATTAACAACCCTGCTTCAAACCCAAGAAAAAGAGTAAAACAGAGAATTTTCTCGACGTGCAAGTGCCTTCACAGAAGAAATCGATGAGTAAGAAACCTCTCACCTTCTTCTGGTGGCTGTCGATTCCTATCCACTTTCCTGATGTCATCCAAAGTAACATCATCTTTCGAGAAAAGGCCTCCATGCATAACTAGGACCTTATCATTGAGCAAATGGCACAACGGGAGATAGTTGTAGACTTCCGTGAACAGATGTGCCATCTGATCCGAGTATTTCGCCTTAACTTCTCCTTCAAAGCCGTACATCTGATTCATTGTCTCCGTTTCGTGGTTCCCACGGGCAAGAAAAAAATGATCTGGCAACAGCAACTTGAACCCAAACAGCGTGAAAATACATTCCACCGAGAACGAACCGCGGTCGACGAAATCCCCGTTGAACAGCTGTTGAGAAGAAAGTCATCAGTAGAGAAATACCAAAAAATATGAACCAAGAACCACTGAAGATGTATTGGTCATTTTAAGAAGTTAAAATGGAATTTTGAAGAAAATTCCGGGACGGAAGCCTTTTTCACTCGAGTGTCTTCACATTACAGACACATAAAATGGACATTTTATAATTTCGCCAAAATCTATTCTACACACTAATAAAACGTGCGATGAAAAATAATCTCAAGATACGTGTTTGACCAATTTACTAAACTTCGAACACAATTTTGAAGTCTAAATTTTAGATGTGAAATGTTGGTGCGTAGTGAGAAAGTTATGAAAAATTATTATGATGAGAAATTCAAAGAAAATGTCTCATTCACACGCGGATGACATGGCAGGAAATTTCTTCACTTCTTCGGGCTCCAATATCCCACAAAAGAGTATCATATAGTGAGTTACCGTAACGGTATAGGGATTAGGAGACTGTACAAAATTAAAAAGTCATAACAGCACGTGACATTTACCAACATACGAGTACTTCTTCATTTCAATAAACGAAGAGAAAGATGTTTCCTAGACTTCAAATTTCCACTACACAATACAGTACCTTCTTGAACCCAATTATTTCCACATATAAATCTTCAGAATTTTACACAAAACGGACTTTCAAAATACAGTATTTCAAAAACTTACGTAAGGATTCGTCTCCGACGGCAACCCGTTCAGCGAGAAAATGTTGACGAGATCGTAGAATTGCCCGTGAATATCACCACAAACCGTGAACTTGGATTCGGGTGGAATATTCACAGACACCAGCGAAGGTTGTTTTTCGAAATACGCCTTGATGTCCAGCAAAATCTGGTAAGCGTACTTGCGATGCAACTTCTCCCGTCGTTTGAACGTTTCCAACAAGTCGACTAAAAACTCTTTCGTGACTAACTTGTCGTCTTTCAATCTTGGACCCGTATAAGATGTTTCCACATCTGAGGAATAATCATAATTTTCTGGAATTAGGGCAGGGGCGCACAGAAAATAATTTTTTTTAAACTTTCCGAGTGCTTTTCACCTGAAAACCCAATGCTACTTTCCGGAATGTCAAGCAGATGTCACTTAAAAGCCTCCGCTGACCAGAGGGCATGTCTCAAAGCTTTAAAAAATTATTCAACTCACATACCATGATGCAATAGAAAAAATACAACGTAACTTCACGTGATCAGATGTTTTAACCGTCTCAACTCACGGAGCCAATTAAGAAAATCCATTTCTTTGGCGGAGCACTTCCGAAAATTATTTTTCAGGATCTTTACATTGATTCAAGTACAGACGTACACAGCTAGCATTGGATATTATTTGTAGGTTATGTTCATTTTAAAATTCTTTGCATACACTACCTGCATCCCAATTAAATTCGTTACTCTCTGTTTTACTTCATTTAATTTTTCAAGTAGCCGCCGAGGTCCTGAGAATTGCTCGCGGAACAGCTGTTGGAAACAACTCACATAAAAAAAAAAAAATGCAACAGGATTCAGGCGAAAGCCATCAAGAAGCAAGGAACTAACAGGACGGCGGGCGTTCAAGTGACATAAGCGGAAATGAATCAAAATACTAAGGACAGATTTTTTCTAACTCACCGATTTCATCGACGCTGATAGTGCTTGACACACAGACCTTGACTTCGTCGACCGCAATCGCCTTTTCAAAAGCTAATCGTTGAACAATTTTCTTGCACTCTTGATGCTTCAGCTTCGCGTCCGCATCGTTAGGCCTAACTTTTACCACCTACGAAATAAAATTGTCTTTTAGGATTCGGTCAACCACAATTATCAATGATCTAATGAAAACAAAAATAGATTAAATAAAATAGACGAATCGTCACTGAACTGCTTCGAGATCCCGCAGAGCGAGTTTGAATTTCGTTAGACCCATGTAAGCCGCTGCCCTGCGGTAGTAGCCCTTGATGTACGACGGATCTAACGTGATGGCTGAAGTGGCGTCTTGTAAGGCTGCACCAAACATTTCGGTGCGTAAATAAGCGAAGCTTCTGTTGCCGAAATAGGGTGCAACATTGGGGTCCATCTCGATGGCTTTTGAGTAAGAATCTATAGCCAACTTGTACTCTTTCTCTGTAAAGAAAAAAAAAAACCATTGAACACTTGATGATCTAAGGGCAGGAATATGATTCCTTTTGCTGCACGGATTTCATTATCGGCCAATAATGTGCACTTCTCGAGTTTCCACATTTTGCGAGGTTGTCGTGAAAATTTAATGGAATGAACGAAGACTCGTTGCTTTAAAAAAAAAGCAAGATAAAAGCAATTCATCATTCATCTACCGATTTCATGTTCAATACTTTGCATAAAAATTATTTTTTTCCCGCGATTATTCTACTGATCAAACATAGCTAATCCACAGAACTTCAAATCATTAATTTTCAATGACCATAAGAAATGGAAGAGATTCATGCTATGGAATACAAGTATGGTCACCAAAAAGAACTGACGATTCACTTATATGACAAAAATACACTACAGCACAATATTAAATTTAGAGAATAACAAAGGCAAATGTAAACTGCATCCTGAATTTTTTCCCACTAGACATACTTTATTTGAGCAATCTACAAGTACAGTGAGACCCCCACATGCAGACACCTCAACCTGTGGACAATTTGACATAGGAACACTTATTTTCCCATAAAAAAATTAATAAAAAAGGCCAGACATGAGGACACTGACTCAACATAGGAACATTTTGTGATTAAATTGCTAATACATTTCAGGCCAAATTTCAAGAAACACATATTTCCAACTAAGAAAAATTCTTGGGCATTTCTCTCATCAATTTCCCATCCATTTAGCTGATTGCAAAAATTACCTTCAGCATAGAGGGACTTCCTTCTCTCTTTTTCACTTGAATGTTATTTTTACCAAGAATGCCAACATTTCTATGTACTGTGCAGAGGTATCAATATTCAATTCCCCAAATGTCCATATTGTGTTGAAATATGTTGATTGAATCAGTTTAAAATGGGAGACAATTTTTATTTTCATGGAATTATGGTAAGAATTTTGTACATAAAACACCAATTAAATATTACATAATGTAAGTCCAAGGGAAAATGAGACTCAACTTAGGGACACTCATGATGCACCAATTACGTCAGCATCTTGAGGTCTCACTGTAGACACTTCGAATTCCTGAATTTTTTTTTGTGATGCCAGACGGAAGCTATGCATTTTCTTGAACGCTGTATCAGAACAAAGATACGCATTTTCCTCTTAAAGGCTGTATCAATACGTAGCAACGCAAATTCCTAGTGTCAGGTTTCATCAGGTTTAGATACTGTCAAACCTCTCTTAGTCGAATTTCAAGGGACCTGCAAAAAAAATTGACTCAGGGAGGTCAGGAATTTTATAGGTTGGAACTGCAATACAAAGCCCTTTTCTCTGGAGAACTTGGAAAAAATTTAAATGGAGATATTCTAAAGCTTGAATGGCTTCTTGAATGAGTTGAAGGCTGCTGAACTTGGAGGCAGAGGTTTATTTTAGTAACTAAGTCTTTCACTTCCTTTAAAACACATACATTTCTGTTTTTATTGCTTTTTTTTTCTTTATTTTTTCATGAAAATAATGGCCAACAGGCCAAAGAAAATTCAACTTACAGTGGTTTGAGGGGAAAAGCCTTTGACTTAGGGAGGTTTTTATGTATTGTTTGTAAGGGGATTATGAGGGGATCTGAAAAAAATTTGACTTAGGGAGGTTTGAGTTATTGAGGTTCACCTGTACTACATATTGGTTGTGCATTCAACTCATGGTTTGGCTAGCACAGAGTTGAACTAGTCAGGGTTGCATTCCTTTATTAATGCAATGGTCAACTAATTATAGTTGAACCTCAGTAACTCAAACCTGCTCAAGTCAAATACCTCCATAAGTCAAATATTTTTCTAATGCCTGTCCAAATTTCATTGAAAAAATTGCATTAAAACCCTCCCAAACTCAAAGGGTTTCCCTCTCAAATTTCCATAACTTGAATTCTCAGGAAGCTTCTTGGTTATTATTTTATTATTATACAGGAAGAGAAAAGCAATAAAAATGTAACTTTGTATTTTGAAAGGAAATTAAATATCAATTGGGCAAATGAATCCCTGCCTCCAATTTCAGCATCCTGCCAACTGTTTCAAGAGGCAGTTCAAGTCCAAGAATACCAACAATTACAACTTTCTGCAATTCTTCTTTCTTTCCCCAAAAATTATCAAATTTTTTGCTGGCCCCTCAAAATTTGACTAAACTAGGTTTAACTGTAATTTTGTAGGTTTTGGTTTCCATTGGATTCATGAAGTACAAATAGACATCTCTACAACGCATTTCTCTGTATAACGATTCTTTTGTGGTCCCACAGGGTTTTCTACCCATGTTGCGAAGGCCCTCCACATAAATTTTTTTGGGTGTATAGTTTTTGTTGTTTTAGGGGTATGGTAAGGTAAGGTTTCAGCGTTGGCACATGGAAGACAAAAACGAAGAACAGACAGAGGCAGATACAACACGAAAATGCCAAAAATGTATATTCAATCGCAGTAAGTCACGACAATGACTCGGGTTGATCACACATGAAAACGTGAAAATCGTCTCCAAATTCTCAAAATACGTTTGAACTTACTTCCAAAGTGCTTGTTTGCCTCATCCTTGAACTTTTCTGCTTCCGCATTGCCAACATCCTTCGTCACCGGAACAGCACCCTTTCCCTCTGGAGGCGCATCTTTCATAGTTGAGTCCATCACGCATAAACAATACAAAAAAAATCAAGCCTGAAACCAAATCCGAGAGAAATTCGTAAATCAAGTTTCAAGAGCAAAATCAAACGTGGAATTAAATCACGAAACTCCCGAAGCAATATTTTGTTTGTACTCAGCCAAACGAAAACCGTGCCGCGTAAATACAATGTGCACTAAAAAAATTAATCACATCCAGTTATTCCTCAAGCTTTGTTAAAAAAAAAGAAACGAAAAAAAGCCCATGAACCGTTCGGACGATGCAAGCAGATGTAAAATTGAACAACGACGAAAAAACAGCTTCTTACAAAATCGTGCCAGCGACACAATCGAATACTACTGGCATCGGCCACGTTTTTGAGTTTTTCCCGAGCATTGTCACATGAAAAAATAGATCACAACGAATGCCTCCGGACTTCCATGGAGACTCCACCGAATCTCTCTCTCTCTCACTAAAAAAAGGGACTCACTTCTCCACGATTCCATTCGAAACGTACACTTACATATTTTTGGTTTGCGCTTGTGCGAAGGAGTTTTCAACACAGTGTAAAATAAATACCGTAACCAAACACTCGGAGATTTCCGCATACCCAAGGCACAAAAAAAAAAAACCTTGGTGATTCACAAAACGGGAAAAGGTCAATGCGACAGTCTGACTTGAATACTGGGAATGAACGATATCGTGCATAGTACTGTATATACATGAATGGTAAACTTAAAATTCAACGTGGTGATGGTCTTCGATCTCTTAGCCGATTGCTACGCAACAGTACATGACTTGTGGTGGTTCAGCTGAGCACCAGCAAAGGATTCTCCAGAAGCAGAAACGAAAGCTCTCATTTTGATTCCCACACCAACTCAGTTGATAAGTACATATCTTCACTTGGCGATCGACCTGAATGAAAAAATGATACTGTATTAAAATCATCAGAAAATTTCAAAAACTTAAAAAATGAGTGAATAAATAAAAAGTTAACCGACGACGTTCATTGAACTCAATTTCTTACAGGTGATATATATATATTCTGAATAAATATTGACAGCCGGCTTACTTGCAAGAGAGAACAGGAGGTTCATCAAGGTTTTCACAGGAAACCGAAAAAATCCACTCGAGGTCCACGATGGCATCACCGACGCTTTTCGGCCCGAAAGCCGATTCGCAAAGAACCCACCGGGGTTTCCATCCTCCGTGCAATCGATAATCTAGAAGTGCCCATTTCCTCCAATTCGGGTTTGGCACTCTCGCTGAAAATTAAATGACGAAAAATTTGATGTAAGAGGCACTTGAAGATGATCGTTTAAAAAATCTTTCAATTGACAACGTCAAGAATCATTTGACGTGAAACGTCTCGTGTTCTGAGCGTTCCAGTTTCAGGAAATAATATCAGTCATCGCGGCAACCTCTCAACAATAAAAATGAAAAAAAAAAAAACGCTGAAATGCATCTCATGGAATTTTCTCAAAATAAGCAAGAATAAGTTGTTAGATATATAAAACCAGGAACATCGCGTCCTGTTCGAAAATAATTCTTAAAATACGAATGTACTTCTTCTTTCATAGGGGTTCGCAGGGATCCCGGGAAAAATAAATTAATCCTCATGCAGCGCTAAATGATAACACATATACTGAAAAAATAAATCGCAAGACCATCTTTATTTAATCTCGTTCCAATGAAAAAAAAAAATTACAGCAATATTTTCAGCCCAAATCCGATTCCAAGCCAAGAGGTTCAGGGATATGATGGTTTTAGAAAAACCTCGATGACACAATTTTACGATTGGCGCACCGAAAAAAAGAGTTAAGGTTTGTTTGAAGGAATTCAATACAGTATTGTGACATGAAATAGGCGTGTTACCGATTTTACGCGATCAGAAAAAAAAGGAAACTCGGGTTCCAGAGCAGACTCGTTAAGTTCTAAAATTGTCATTAGTACTGAGGTGCGAAGCTGAAAGTTTAAAAAAAGTAAATTTCGATTAGCACTCACCGTTGTGGTTTTTAATCCACACTTCAGAAGCTCTGTGCAACATCTTCTTGCACGTTTCTAATCTTGTCTAATGAGAACAACACGTCTCGTTCCACGACTCTCCGCTCGAAATCTGAACGATAATACAAGTCAGCAACGAAATAACCAGCATCGACATGTCGTGCTGACTCACCTCTATGTGATTCATTCACTTGCCTCAAGATTCACATCGCACAAAACAAAGATATGAAAATAAAACTAGCTACTCGCACTCCTCTGAAAAAAAAAGCCATGGCACATTTCAATTTCAACAACAGAGAGAACATAATAAAAATGAAACGTGCACTTGGAAAATACTGCCTTGACACCGGGAGGACAAACAAGTCAAATTTTCTTCATTTAAAAACATTTCACTGACACTTGCGGCACCAGTTTTTTTTTATTTTAACCAGGCAATTATTGACAAGAGCGATGTCATGAAACTGGCGCAAAATGGACTCATGGACGCAACACCACGAGATCGGACATTAACGTGTGGGTTTACCGTAAAACACTGTTCAAAACTTCTCATCAAGGGGATTGAAAAAAAAAAGTTTAAAACGCTTGGAAACTTCAACGCGTAAGAGGATAAATGGACGCTCAAGCTCAAAGGCATGTTTTTCACGTCTGAATAACGAGTGTTTCGACAAATGCGATGAGGCTTTAATTTTTTACTTGGGCAGAATCTTCGATTGCGAAGGTGATTTAAAATAATTTGTTTGCTTCATGCAAATTGAAACACCCAAGTGGAGTGCGTGAGGGGTGAAGTGGATCAAGTTATACACAGATTTTTTTCATTCCATAAGAATAGACCCGTTCTCATCCTCAATTATTTCCGAAACATAAAGAGAACACATGCTTTTCTTCGTTGAAGTTTACGATTCCGAAAATGCCTTTTCCTACCGAAGATTCCTCACTTTTACAGTATTTGTCCTGGACGAATAGCAGTAGGGGGCGAAAAATTTATTTTCAATTAAAGATTCCTTCCTCTACACACCAAGGACGCCTTGATCATTTTCTTCCGGCATGCTGCAAGACACTTTCTCAACGCTTATTTCCACGAGTAAAATCATGTTTCCGGTGAAAATCATATTTCCGTTTCCGCGAAGCGTTCTAGATCATCGCGATTTCCGCGACATCAACATTCATATCGAGTCATTCACGACGGAGACGAGTTTCAGTTCTGATGAAACACGTCAAACGGGTTCCCGGATGTAACAAGATACCACATAGCATTATCACGCAAATAGGATCAGTTTTTACATTATTTGGGTCTCCACGTACAGTACATTCATATCCATATAGAAAAAGAACGCTAGGTTGACGGGCTGAAGTCTGCTGAAAGCGGTTGAAATTTAAACATGATGAAGAAAGGTCCATAAAAAACGATCACGCGCGTAAGGCCATAATTCCGAGAAAATTTAATCCATGAAAATTCACGCGGTGAATTCGTCTTTCAATCTTATGCAAAAGGGAAACTTCTGATAGACGAAATGGTACGCGGACCCATGAACCATTTTGAAAAGCTTTGAATTGAAAAATCCCGACGATCGCATCGTCATAGATTTATTGAAATGACGATGATCATTCTATAATAGGAGACTCAAGACAACCGTCGAGATGGTTGAACGAATCACGTTTCTTTTCAAGCTCATCAATCACGTCCTATTACGCGAGATCGCATCAATAGCTTCAGGCCTTCTTTTCGACGACGATCGCGATTTCGTCAGCTTCCAGCGTTTAATATCGGAGCGTAGAAACCAAATGCCCAATTTACGATTATAGACTTAATTCATCAACAAAACACAAATTTCTTTCCCAGCTTTAATCTGAAGCTCGGTCATTCGGAGACTGTTTGAAAGTTTTTAGATTCAGCCCTCCGAATGGAATGCCCAGCAATAGCTGTTCAATTTCATCACAAATGGACTCTTTTCAGACGGGATATCTAGAGTCTGATTCGGTTGAATAACCGAGTGATAAATTCAAAGCGACAATAGGTTCTCATTCTAATTTTGAACACTGTCTTTCCTTATTCATCTCGGGCTATTTCTGAGCGATCAATTATTTCAGCATCACTGCGAGAAGCATAACTGAAAGCAACATAAAAAAATCAATAACAGGAGGTTTGAAAATATCACTAAAGTAGAGTCTCGGTATTTTCCTTCAAATGTTCGCATATCTATAGAATACCCTTATTTACTTCGTCTGTTCCCCGACACAAATATTCTTCGCAGGCAGATGTCGCCTAGATTTAGTTTCACTGCAACACATAGTCCGGATAGAATAAGAATTGTTATTCAACCTTTCCAGAGGGCATGAATTGATCGATCATCAGATGATACGGTAAAATCTCGGTATAACGAATCTCGTTGTAACGAGATTTTACTGTAAAACGCTTTTGACGCCATGATGACTGAACATAACCTAACCAAAGTTCAGTTAGATTTTGTCTTTTCTTTGGTTCTGAGCAACTTCCCAATCGTTTCTTAGCACCAGATTATTTCCCGATTCGAAAGATTTTCATTTTCCTGTTTCACGCAGTGATGCCAAATCGATTGCAGAAAGTAGCTAACGAAGAACAAGAGAAGCAAACAGCCCCAACACTGAATATAAATCCGATGATTCCCAAAAAACACCCATTCCTTCTTCGAATACGAAACACCGTAATACGAAAATCAGCACGTATGAACGAAGTCACTTGGATAGGGAGGCGGGGAAAAGTGCCTGTGCAGCACATGGAAAATCATTCAACGTCGCAACGCGAAAAAAAAAAACCTCAACCTTGAAATCGGGTCACCCACTCCCAGGACTAGACATGAACACAAAATCTGAGCAACCGAAACAAATGTTTCTCGGAAAAATGAAGAAATGGTCACTTCCCGATATAATCCGGCCAATAATTCAAATGGTATCTCTGCGCGGAGCCTTCGAAAAGTCTGTCTAACCAGTTGGGCAAGCCGTCGAGCAAGTGTTCCAAGAACAACACGTCACTGTCGTACTGGTCCAGCAGCGGGTTTTCGTTTTCCCCAACACCCGCCCGCTCAACATCCATCTCCCGCTCGGAATCGTCTTCTTCTTCGTCGAATCCAACAAAGGCGTTGTTGGAATTCCCAGTCTGGTCTCGGTGTTTCGCATGGTACATGCAGAAGTATTTGCGATGTCCGTTCAGAGACAGGACGGTGCCAACAACGTTCTTGGGGTTGATGCGCAAATTCCGCTCTTCCAGCTCAGGTATGGCTAGAAGCAGGATTCGCTTGAACCATTCCAGGCCGCGTTCAACGTGGAGAAACGCATACAACAAGCTTTTGTTCTTCCTGAAGCAACCGAGAGAAGAAACGTCCATCATAAATTGCAATACAGTACTTTATACCATCTGGTTGAGGTCCAATGCAGAGTTAACATTTTCTCCATTTACTCTCGTGGTCTGTCATACAACCATCGCAGCAATATACGAGGGTTGTCCCAGATACACGCGACCATTGATATTTTTAGAGATGTGATTGTAAAAAAAAAAAATGTCATAGCCCTTCATGTTCTAAGATTCTGGAAATTTTTTTTCAGATTTTTAAAGAAGTTTTTCCATTTACCGCAAGCTGATCAGCGAAACTTTTCCAATTACAGCCAGAACTCCACCCATGCCACAGGGTGCTAGAAAATTGTCAGGTTTGCTAAACAAATTGAATTTTGTCGTTTTTTTGAACTTTTCTAAATTTTAAATGGGTTGGGAGAACCCCCGTCATTTATTTATATTTCAATACTGTATAACCTCGTTCGTCACGAGTTTATTTCATTATTTACTCTACACTGTACGCGTGAGAATCGATTTCAAATACGTCAGCCAAATTTTACGCCTAATGTGAGCTTCAAAAGGGACTAATTTCATGAAGTAAGTTTTAGATTTTAAGGTAAATTTGAACAACAAAGGCTCGTCCTCGTGCCCGAAGTGGTAACGATTACGTAAAATTTGGAATGGAGGTAACGTAGCTCAATCAAACCATGTAATTACAAAATTACAGAAAAATGACCAGAATCCAACCTGTACGGCCAAACGACGCGGTGGAACTTGGGCAGCAACGTCCGTTTCGAATCGTTGTCCAAGATCAATATGATGGTACGACATCCGGGCTTCAACAGCCTCACGAGTCCATTATAGGTTTCTCCACGAAGTTCGTGAATTTTCAATTGCGGCTCAGTTCGGAGCTTAGCCGCTGATTGGGTCTTCGCAATTTTCTCGTCCTCCAGCTTCACCATATAAGACATGAACCAGCCCACGAAGAGGATGAAAACGATCGTGCCAAGCACCGACACTGCCGGCAAAACGTCCTCTTTCGACGCATTCTCGACGATGGTTTCCCAAATGTTGTGGATCTAAAGAAAAACATCACGAAGCTAACAATCTTGAACGGAAGTTTCCTCGACTCACGCAGAAAGAACAAAAACTTGCTATTTTAAATAACAGAGAATACAAATTAACGCAGCGACAAACATTTTGAGTACCCGATTACATGCGAAAGCTGTATGATTCCCATACTAAGTTGTACGGATTACGCGGAGAGGAAAAAAAAATTAAGGAATGTATTTTTTGAAGAAATGGAGAACCCTTTGGAAAAATAACGGAGAAATTCGGATACTGAAGAGTTCAGGATTCAGCACATGTAGCAATTTTTCACTTGCTTTACACATTTTCGTTTTTTTTTTCACCCGCGAAAGAATTTCCAGGAACATGGAAACACACGTGACTTCGGGTTTCCCACGTTTTATCCCGAAAAAAAAACCACAATACAGTGGGGTCTTTGGTTGCAAACTTAATTGGTTCCTAACCAAAGTTTGTTAACCAAATTACATTTTCCCTTCAGAAGGCACAGGAATAATTTTAATTGGTTCCAGAACCTTGAAAGTGCCCATGAAAATCTTTAAAAATTGCTGTACCTAAAATTGTAATGGGCCTGAAATCTAAGAATTTGTAATGAAAAGATAAAAGAGACAAAGAAGTTTTGATGAAGACAGGAGCCTAAGCAAAATGTCAGAGAGTGTGGGTGGATTCAAAACTTTCTATGCAAAAAATTAATTCAGGCCTCCTAGTCAATTCTTACACATGCACAATTCATTCACTCCGCACTTTTGAGCAACATGTGTCCGTAAACAGAATGAAGAATATGAAGGACTGGTGTACAGTGCTTCATTTTGGTGAAAAATAAGAAAAAGCACATATAAAATGGGAACAATGACATGGAACAAAACCAGATTGAAGGAACTATCAAGAAATAAATTTTCAAAAATGAACAGAAATGTTCGAATGAAATTCATATCATACAAGAATAATTTTATTTCTGTTATTTTAACCACACTCCTGAAGAGCAAGAAATAGCAACAGGGAAATATGTGGTCCCAAGTTCAGACCCAAGAGGTTGCGCATTTTGGGAAGCCCACCTTAAAACCCCAAAGTTTTTAGACAAAGTCATGGTTCGTAATCCAAGGCAGCCAATGCCAAAATAGAAAGTTTGTCAACCAAGAACCCACTGTAAAACAGGTGCTCATCACATGGGACGTATGAAATAAATATGATACCCATCAACTGAATCAAAAAAAAAATCGGAAACAAAATGAATTCAAGCCATAATATAATTCGCATTTTTATAAAACGCGCCTTCAATTTTTCTCCTGGGATATTTCGCGAAAAAAAGGTGCAATTGCTACACAAGTGTATCGGATATTTACCATATTACACCACTCTAGGCCCTGGCGCAAAATAAAATTGACGTGGAATTGGATGGTCCGAACAAGAAGGGGGAAAAAATGAAAATATTCCATACCTTCTCGGCAATCTTCTCGAAAATTCCACGAGCATGTTCATCCAACAGCTGTTGCATAACAGCCTCGTGCATCAACATCTCATCCTCCCGCAACAAACGCTTCGTCGCCTTTTCCAGGGCCTCCTTGCTCTCGTTATTCCCAGGCTCCCAAACCGCGTCAACCCACTCAAACTTCACCTTCCGATCGTCCTGTCGCCACAGAATCACAATGTGCAAGTCTGGCGCAACCGGAGCGTCGTCTCCCATTTTCGTGACAGCTTGCATAAATTCGGGTTGGCGTTCGGGGAACACGTACAAGAATCGGACCCGATCGGAAGATGGAGCTGAACTCGAGGACACGAAGGAGCGGAGAGAATCTCGGTAAATGTCGTGTTCGGGGGAATCAGAAGTCACTAAAATGACGCACAGCCGTTTTCGGTAACGAGACTTTTCTGGTGGGCACACGGCGTCAAATACCGCCTGTGAGCTCAATCTGTAAAAAAAAAAAAAAAAAAAAAAAACCGAGAAAAAGTTAGCCTCAGCGCCAAAAATTCTTTTCTACGACGGTACTGTTGAAGATGGAAAGAAAAGAGAACAACAACTACAGCACTGGTCTTTCACGAGGCGGCAAAAAGATGAAAAATTACATAACAATTCAAGCAAGTACAATACGCTCAAGTAACAACGAGAATATCAACAGGCGCTTCATATCCCAAGAGAAAACATTAATTCTTTTTGGTCATAATTGAATTAAAACGCCTCTTCTTTAAATTTTGGTTACTGCCTGCAATACCGTTCAACTGTGGGTTCTGATGTTTACCGCATTTACGTGAACATACAATTTTACAGTAATTCCAACACTCCTCAATCAATAAGTTTTTCAAAATTGAAAAAGGCTTGCATGCGAATCCAAGATAAACCTACTATATACGAGGGTTCTAACGAAAGTTCTCGGAATAGGAATTAAAATGGTGCACAATTGAGCTAAAAAAAATTATTCTCTAGGGAAAACACATTCTTTGGCACACAAAAAATCAACCCTGTTTGACAATTTTTTTTACTGTTTTGCAAAATTCACCCTGGCAGAGTTTTGCTCTCCACTCAAAAGATGAGGTGTCCTTCCTGCAGATTTTTTTTTGTAGCCCAAAGTTTGCAAAAAAATAAAAAAAATTGTCGATTTTTTGGTGCCAAAGGATATGTTCTCCCGAAAGAATACTTTTTTTTCCAGCTTGATTGTGCGCCCTTTTAATTCCTATCCCGAGAACTTTTGTTAGAACCCTCGTACAGTACAATCAACAGCATTCAAAAAGTTTCGCTAAAACTTCATCAATATTTCCTTAAAAGCAATGACCAGCAACGGTGTCCAGTAAAATTTGATTATTCCCGAGTTATCACCATTCGAAAAATTGTTATTATTGTCTTGGTAAAAATAGCTCATCAATAAATGAAACCACCAATTAAAAAAATCAAGAGAGGCCTACCCAGTAACGAGCTTGGAATTTCGAACGAGCTGAATTTTTTCTGTACAGTCATTAAATCAGATCATGACCAACTATAACTGGTATAGCTAACTATAAATGGTGGAAAGGTATAAAAAACAGTGAAAAAATGGATCACTGATGGGTTCACATATTTATCCCACGCAACAGACACATATCTCTACATGCGAATGAAGTGAAAATAAATGTTGATACGACAAATTATTTTTTTTCTGAGTCAAGATAAGAGAAAAGTGATCCTATACAGTATTAGCGAAAATACGGTAGTTCCTCAAGGACATGTTCTTCCGAAGATGTAATCCGGGATTTAAAAAATTCCGAATCTTGTCTCGATTTTATGAAAAAAATCACTTGCCTGGGTAGAATCAGAAACTTGTGATTGTTCAAGACTTCTTTCAGAGCAGTCACAGGGATTTCCTGCATGCTTATCGAGGCAATCGGCCGCTTTGAATTCTCGTTGAAGACGAGCACGGCATCCATCCTGGGTCGCACGAAGAAGTCCGCCTTTTGCAACAACCGCTCCGCTTCCTCGCTACCCGAACGCACGTATCCAAACTTGAACCAATTGTTCATGGCCAAACAAGTCACTAGATATCTCAATCGCACTTTATCACTTTGACCAACGATCACAGCACGAGGCTTATTATCAGTTCTCCACCCATCCAGGAATTCGTCGAGACTCTCCGAGGTTAGAGAAGTATACACGTTGCTCGGGATTTTCGATCGGACGAACTTCGCTATTGACATGGAGCTGATGAGATTTTCCCGGTATTTCCACGTCCTGCCATCCACAACGAATAGGATCGACGCTTCATTGACACCCAGTTGCTTCACCAGCTCAGTTTCGAATCCAACATGCATTGCTGCCACTTCAATGCCGGAGAATGTCATGTCTTCTTCAACTTTGCGCCATATTGGCTCGATTTGTTGGCAAACGCGGCACCAATCAGAAAAGAAAATGATCAGCGTCGGTTTTGTTCGGCTGTTCGGAAGGATGCTGTTGAAGTACTGCTTCCCCGAAACAGTCATTTTTTTGTAGAAGTCCATCTCAGGTTTACCGAAGTGGAAGTTGAACTTCGGTCCGTTGTGGAATTGAGACATGATATCATCAAAGAAGTCAAATCTTCCGAATTGTGAATAGTCCGGTTGTTTACTGAAAAAAACAACAACAATAGTTATGGTAAGATCCTAGTTCACTCAGCTTTCAATGGCAAATCCTAAATGACTCATCATTGAAAATGTGTCACACAAGACTCATGAATGTCATTGCTTCGGTTTAATTTCATACGGAAACCAGTCGTCTCCCCTAATAATTTTTTTCTCGTTTTCCTGCTTACAGACGTCACCTTGCTTTTTTACTTTTGATAATTTCAAGTTAGGCTGGGCTAGGTCACATTTGGTAATTAATTCGGAAGCATTCCAGACATTCCATAAAATAAGGTACACCAATTTTTTTTAAAACTATCATGCATTTAATTACAAAGTGATCATCACCTTCGCCATCAAAAATTTTAATGCGTTCGTTGAATATCGCAAGAAAAAAAACTTATCACGCATTTTCATACAATCGTTTTAAAATGAAATGATTCAAGACACTAGAATACGCTGAAGCACATCAAAGGTTTATTAAAAATATTCTCAGTGGATATTAGTAGAAACTTAACTACTTTATACTTTACCAACACACAATCGGGCAAAATTCGAGATCCTAAAAATAACTCAAAGTAATGGAATAACTCAAAGTAATGGAATACCTGAAATTTGGCTGATCCTCGTAGATCCCGAAGTCATCGAATTTCTTTCGCCTCTCCGGATCCGACAGAATGTCGTAAGCCTTGTTTAACTCGATGAATTTCGCTTGCGCTTCAGGATCGCTGCTTTTATCTGGATGCCATTTCTTCGCCAATTGCTTGTAGCTCCGGCGAACTTCCGACATATCAGCACGACGATTCACTCCGAGCACGTGGTAAGGATCAAACCGTTCCGAACACGACACCACAACGAAAACGGCGACGCCGATAAATGACGCTAATAGGCGCATGATGATGATGATATGCTCGGAGATTCAATGCTGTTGAAAGGATCTTACGCGTCTCCAGCTCAAGTCTTTAAATATGTTTGGAATTCGAATGCAAGACTGGAAGCTCTCACGGCATCTAAGAAAGAATGCCAAATGAAAATTAAGACTTTCTTCAAAAATCCAGAAAGCATCGAAGTCAATAAAAAAAGACAACAGTTTCGTCATTTATAGAATGTTCGTGGCCAAACCCAGCAACCCATTTTACATACGTAAAAAAAAAGAAAGCTTTCAAATCAACCGATTATCGACAGAAGTGCGGAATGTCAACGCTCCTTGATGAGGCTGATTCTCTTAGCGTCGCGAAGAAACTGTCGATGTCGGCTCGGCTGACGATCCTGTTGTTTTCCGCGAATGGACGAAGGAAATCCTTGAATTTCGACGACATCTCGGAATAAGCTTCAAAAGCAAAAATTTCATATTAGTTCTCGAAAAAAAATAAATAAATGGCAATGAAAATACGATAAAAAAGTTCTGCTTAAGCTCAAAACTTTTGACGAACATTTTCAGAAAATAACAAGGTAAGATTTATACAGTAAACGGATTTATCTTCAAATATAAAATAAAATCCGGCCTTCTCGACGCTTACAAAACTTTCACGTAAAAATTGGTGTAACGGCTTCCGTCGGAAATCACAGCTCTGAAACTTAGGCCAATAGCATTTTTATAAACGTTTTTCGATTACTCAGCTTTACACTATACGTTTTGAAATGTTCCCACTGATATTCACACAGCAGCGGCATAATTTCAATGGTAAGATACATTCCGAAATAATTTTTCAAAAATCGTGGAAAAAATTCATATTCTTTTTAATTTAATTTCTCTACTCCCCGACGTAAATTTCCTCAAACTGCGAGTTTGTTGATTGATCAGCAATTATCTCACACAGCAACACCACTCCCAATTTTCAAAATTTGAAGGGAAAAAATATTGGAAAAATGCAAGAAATGACGCACCATGAACAGCTTCAACTTGCGCCGTGCGATCCAAAGTCGATAAAGCCTTCATGATTTGGGACGTGGATGAAACTTCAGAACGGCCTTCTCCTTTGTCCTTCCCTTTCTCAACATATGCATCCATCGTATCCTCAGCGTCCAACAGAAATCCTAAACCGTCTTTCTCGAACAGGGCCTAAAATCGATTCAATCATTAGAAAATATCGGAATGTTGTACAAGGGTTAAGTGATAGGAACACGATCCAAATAATGTACTAACAACGCAAGATTCACAACTGCAAAGCTCATCCCTCCAGTTTTTGACCCAAAATGCTGACGCCTTGGCATTTAGCACAGTCTGAGTGATTGCGGAACTCGGAGGAAGTTTGCAAATAGTTTTCGAATCATCTGGAACTTGCACTGAACTCGACGGGGCATCCTCATCATCCGGCTTTGCCCCCTCAGCTTTTTGCAAAACTTCCTCTTCTGACTCTTTCGAACGTTTCACTGATGGGGCTTCCAATGCATCCGAAACTAAGGACAAGCAACAAATACATAAATAAGGCATATTTTTTTTTAAAGAAGTGCAGGGCTTTCCCATTCATTCGCGGAGCTATTGCTCCAAACAATAATGAATGTCCAGTACGTTCGAGAATTTCAACTTGGACATCCGAGAATCCAGGATTTTTTCACTTTTCATTTCTTGGTGTCGTCTACAGGATTACGAGCTGATGTTCTTTTAAGTTTGCGTGCGACACGAGGGCTTTTGGAAAAGCTTTGGGGTCGTCCACAATCGCCATCAGCAGCAGACAAGAATTAGTGAATGTACTCAAGATTTCTTGACATTTGGATGCGATAAAAAAGAAAATGTAAAAGTGAGAAACCTGATTAATACCAAAATTCTACTCGCAAACGCCACAACAGTTCGAATCTGGAAATCCAGTAATATTTACGCCGATGATGGAGCAGCGCAAACATTATTAAACCACGGCAGCATAGATTCTATCACGATACTGACGGTTTATAGGAAAATAAAAAATAAAAAAATGAACCATTGACTAGCCGCAATATTAAAAAAGTCCGAAAATACAAAACTCACGCTTTCTTTTGTTTACGTTGTGATCCGTATCTTCAGCAACGCTTTCCTGAAATTTGAAAATCCACGTCAGTAACGAAATACTCAGGAATCACAAAAGATAAATTCACCTGAATGCTATGAGCTTCGCTGTTATTTTCTACTTTCGGTTCCGCACTGGCAGAATCGGAAAGATCTTCTGAATTCATCTTTTTCGCTGAAAATATAACTTCGAATAGATCATTTATTCCGAAAAGAGGGGAAAATTTGAGATGTACGAACCACACAGTTGTTCGTAGTAGCGCAGGAGTATTGGATGCTTGCTTAAGCACATAAAGCAAGTAAGGTGATAAGAATTGGACTGCTCAGGAGGTGCGACAGGTCCAAGATGCTGCAAAAAATGCTTCAATCGTTAATGGATATCATCACGATCAAAAAGTCTTCATACTCTCAAAAGCTGCGTAATTACCTGATGTTCAAAGAAATATGAATGTTGTTTTCACGAAAATAAGAACACAAATTAAAGAATATAGAAATAAACTAAGGTATTTTGACTCATTATCATGCACTCATCTTTTGCCGTATCTTCTCTGTTCAGCAGTTATGGCCATTTTTCTTCCAAATTACTGTACAGGTACTGTACTCTGATTGTAATTACCTGAGACTCATAACGAGGACGTTCCAAGAATTTTATCAGTATGTTGAATTTAATTTTTTTGAACACCCTATTTATGTACACACTGCATTATCAAAAACCAAAATGTAAAAACTCATTTCTTTATTCGCTAAGCATGCACGAGCTGGGCAACTTCAAAACTCGATAAAAATTAAAGGCACATACTCGAGTACCACGCGCACCTTTTCCCTGAAATTTAAAAGGAAAAACGGGAAGTGCGAGCATAAAGACATTTTTTTAATTTTAGAAATTCAGGAATGATTACTTGATTCCAATGGGGAATCTGGATCAAGTTCAAGAGAAAAACTTACTTCAATAGAAAAAATTGAAAATCAGTCAAATTCGTGCTCAATTTATATCTAAATTCAACTTAGGGTTTTCTCATCTTTGATATACTGTATTTAGGTTTTTTAGTTACTGAAAATGGGGTGCGCGTCTTATTCGGGAATAAGATTATCCAGTATAGAAATTCGCAACCAAAAACCCTCGGTGCGCGTCTTACTCGAGGACGAGCGGCACTCGAGTAAATACGGTACTTATACCTCCACCAATTCAACTAGGGAGACACAAGACATAAAGCAACCCTCAAAAAACTTCAATCCAGAACTCAATATTCGCTTGAGTGAAACGAAATACTGTACGGCACAATTTAAGAAATTCGACCACTTGTCGATTTCGAAATTCTATTTCCGACGGTCGAAGCGACTGTCAGTCACGGAGTCTGAACAATAGAAAACCACTTACGATGCTATGAAACCAATCCTCGCACACGCAGCACTGAATCATGTCTACATTGTAGAACTCCTCGCAGGGATAAGGTTTGGCGCAGAAGCAATAAACTCCGTCGAAATTCTGATTGTATCCGTTTCGCGCGTTGCTCTCGTCCTTGTCAGGTCGCAGTTTGCAGGGCCTGGAGAACTTGCCATTACCGCAGTCGCAGCGGAAATTTCGTTTCGTATACAACTCGACGAGCTCATGGTCTGCGTGGCAAGAGTACGAGCAAGCTAGGCATATTCCTGCTCGAACCTTGTCCTTGGTGCAAGTCAGGCATGCGTAGAGTGCCTGTCGTTTCACGAAACCCTATGCAGAAGAAAAACAGGTGAAACACTCCCGAATTATTCAATCTTCATAATCCGAATTTCGAGCATTCCGAAGAACAGGACAACTGACTTAGCATTTCTTGCGGAATGTAAATACAGTAAAGTGAAGAAAAAAAAACTTACAGCCCAGACTACGCTGGTGGTATCTATGAGCAACACGTTCGAAACAAGCGCAAAAACTGTAAATCCCTTCGGAAAAAATAAATAATTTCTGGCAACTCTTAAAGATGCTTCAAAATAATGAAAACCTAAACGCTAGTTCATAACAGTTTTTTAGCTTCAGAAAATGAAATCGTTTTGTGAGGTTACATTCGGTTCTAACTTAAATTGTTTTCTAGAAAAGGTAACTTCGCCAATGAAATGAAAAAAATGAATAATTTCTAGAAATGAAAAAATGAACAATTTCTTGCGCTTCACATTGATATTACCGTATTCTGGATATGATTAGGCTCTCAATATTTCCATTTTCACTTCTTCTCATTTTTCACGTTGTATGGATACGCCGGAACTGCTACGGCACAAGTTCAGAATTTTGAATATCAACCGAAATGGGATCATGTGATCGAAAAATTGCTGTTATCAGGTAAAATTCACGTCAATCTCGAACTCCGGACATCAAAAAGGCTTTTTTCCCTCTTTCACGAGAAATTAAACTCATCAGGTTCCAAATTCAAACTGTCCCCAAGAAGAGTCAGTGTCTTCCGGGTTTCACAAAATTCATAGAAATTTGTTTAGAAGTACAGCACGTCAAAAATTCTCGTTGACGACTTGCATAATTCATCTGTCTCGTCAGAGGAGCATTTCTCGAATGATTCAATTTATTCCAGAACTTATTTTTAGTCTTAAGCACGACATTTTTTCACGGTTCCCGGGTGTATTACGTAACTAAGATACTGAAGCGTAACTGCAAATAAATACAATCGCAATTTACCTCATCATAGGAGCAGTTTTTGTCGTCAGATCCTGCCAAAACCTCGTCAGCATTTTCCGCCATCTCCTGCTCTTCTTCGATGACTTCGTCGAGCGTTATAATCGGATCATCATCATCGGCGTCAGCCTGAACGTCGACTACGTCAGTCGATGAAGACGGCAGCTCTGTACCTTTTTCACTCATTTTTCTTCTAAATAATAGTCTCTGAAAGGGAACACTAAGCCGATGAAGCTAAATGGATTTTCAATGCGACGTGTTGAGACACATGAGAAACAAGCATTGAAAACAATCGAGCAGCCTTTACTTCCGTTTTCGGTTCCATGAAATCAAGTAACGTCGCTCTCCATCCACTGTTCCTTTCTTCAAATACAAACAGAAAAAAAAACTAAAACACTAGTCTTATACACATCCAAACCTCTGACTCGGGTATCGCTTTTTTTCTTCTACCGTCTTCGAAAAACATCCAGAGATTCATCTAGGGAGGAGAGATTCGCGCTCGGCTCGGGATCGAATCAGATCCATTTGTTTCTCGACAGCAGTTTCGTTTTTGTTCGAAGTCTCGTCCAGACCTTTGTTTCGCTTTTGGTTATTCCACGTCATCACAGGTGTTCCTTGCACGCCAGGAGCCCTCTGAGGACGTTCGCATCATGGAAGACATCCATGAGGAAGTTGCGAACTCACTGCTCTTCACATGACCTTTCAGATTTGTCAAAAAAATGTCAACACAGCGAAAATAATCATTTAAAATTAATAAATACAGAATATCTGATCTAAATCAACCGATAGATCCATTAGTCACGTAATGAAGTTCAACATTAAAATTTACAATGGGAATGCGCATAATCCCTCAACTGAAACTACGAATATGATTTGTGCGAAGTTTAATATGAATCTGATTTCCTTCTGATAATTCAAAACCCACGAAATACCGAACTACAGTATTTGATTAAACTTCGTAAAAACGGAAATATCTAAGCCCGAACACAACTATCTTTATTATTCGGACTTCTTCGGAAAATGTAAAGTATTTCCCGGTAAAAACTCAAATTAGTTCATAGCAAAATTTAACGCCTCAGTGTTAACGTTCATGAACATTTTATGAAGTGACGAGGTATGCCACCTCAGCTATCTTTGAGAACACTATAAAATATTCAAAAATTTGATCATAAAATGGAATAATTTTTATAACTTATAATCTTCTGGACATTTTAACAATCGAAAAAATATTTTACTGTAAATACAGAAAAGCTTATTTAAAACTTCTGTTGACCAACAGTTTGCCTGGAGGATATGCAAAGATACTCAGAAATGAAGGTCTAGAAAAATTGAGGAATACTTGGAAGCTGCAGAGCAACATGCAGTGCAAAATGCCAAATTCGTCTACAGAAGGCTGACCTAAGCAAAAGCAATACTTTATCTGCAAAACAGCAACAATCAAGGCTAAACACCTTGAATATGGCCAAAACAGGCAATGCTTGGAGAAAAAAGGAAGAGTATACCAATAAACACTCAGAGAGCATGCACACAACATATGCCATACCAACACTAGAATTTCAAGAGATTTACAAGTTCTGAGGAATCCTTGTTCCATTAAGAAGTTTGAAACTGATGGATTTTTAAATGCCCATTTCTTTCATACAATCAATTTCTGAATTGGCAATAAAATTTTACAGTACAAGAGATTTCTTGAATTATGTGATAAAATACAATTCAACGTGATTTCAAATCAAACAAACTATAATATTTTTCAATTTTGGACTACAGATAGTCAATTCAACAGAATTCACATTATTCGCATTACTAGATGAATAGTTTTAAAATTCTTAACCATTACATTCGCATTATTAGATGAATTGTTTTAAAATTCTTAACCATATGTGGTTATATACCCTGCTTGCAGAAGTAAAGCAATACTAGGGTTGCCCGAAGTCCACGTGGGAAAAACACCTGAATAAATTATCGATGTCCATACAATTTTCAAGAGCATGATGCTTATGGGGTTCAACATAGTTTTTCACATGTTTTGACCGTTGCTGAGTATATTCCATGATAAAAAAGGAAAAAAAAAACCCTCGTGATGACCAGTTCCCTACTCATTTTTCAAAATGCGCTGAAAATTTGCCAAGAAAACTCGAAGAAATTCTTTTTTGCTGTTCTGTGTATCAGATTTTTCATGTTTTGTACAGTAATATTATTTTCAAAAACTTTGGATAAGATTTCTTGCATCACATGAATGAGACAAAACATTTTTGTTTTTGCTGTAGCACAGTGCTCACTTCTTTTCCGTCTCAAAACTGTCCGTGAAGAGATCACAGCAAACATTTTCAGTCTTTAAAATTATATGTTTGGATTGGGCTCATTTGAAATGTGCATAATTAGTTCACAGTGAAAATCAAAACGCAGGGTTATGATGTTGCACCAATTGCAATCCCTGAAAGATTGCTCCTCTGCATATCCTACATTTGACATTTGTTCTGTATGTTATGTTTTAAAATGGTTGACATTTCAAATTATCCGAATCTGAACTTATCATCTGCCTGGTTCAACAAAATTTCTATACACCATTAACTGGGTAAAAAACTTCAATTGTAATGGAAAGTTTTCCCGTCTTTTCACGTAATATACAGGTAGACTCTCCCAACAAGCTAATTCATATGACCAGAAAAAAATTCGTTGCAGAGAGAAATTCGTTGCAGAGAAATCCCCTCAACATAGGGGAAAAAATTCGTTATACACAGAGAATCGTTACACAGATGGACTCTCTCTGCAAAAATCTTGTAGACAGTACAACGATTTTCTCTATAAAAAAAATTTTTATGTGGTCCCATACGGTATATCCTCCATTCTCTACACATGAATTGTTTCTGGTCCCTTGAGTTTTGTTTTAGCGAGAGTCCACCTGTACAGAGAAAGTCTACCTATACTCAGTAATCATCCTAAAATCTTCGAAAAATACATCAAAACCTGAAAACCCAATAAAAAAAAAGCTGAATCTCTTCACTTCAACATTTTATCTTACAAGAAGAACGAGATAAAAAAAGATTAGAAAACAATCTCAGACTATCAAAGATTTGTATAAATCAATGCCGTGTCAGCCAAATGCTCCAGATTACCAAGACGGCACGGGAGAACTTACATTTTCGTTTTTTCACAGGACCCCATAAAACCCTGGCATTCACGAGAAACTGTATCATGCCGAAGGACGGAGCAAACTGTACCTGGTGTAGTCGCCATGCTGGACAGAAGTTGGTGAAAATCATCGAGGGCAGAACCAAGCATATCCAAAGAGGGAGGAACAACGGAATTGGCATGCAGAACAGAAGGGGAGGTACTACTCGGTGCAGTGCTCAACTCGGCTACCGGCTTCACCTGTTCCTGTCGGACCGACTCCTCGCCTTCCCCCTGCGCATTCGTTATATGGATCTTGTCTTTCGAAATCGTTATCCCAAACTTCAAAGCCTGCTGCCCTACTTTCTGCGGGTTCACTTCGAAGCTGATCGGCTGCCCTCTGTCTACGGTCACTTCGGGCCCGGTGATGGGCACGGCGGGTTTCTTGGGTTGAATCTGCGGCTTGTTGGGTGGCACCGGAGGCGGCATTCCGCGCCCCGCCCGGCTCGCCATCGTCGTGGTCACGTGGAACATTACTTTGCCCTGCGAGGTGCTGGAATATACCTTGGAGCCAGGGGACGCGGATACGGCAACCCGACTGCCCCCGGGGGCGGTGACAGCAGGCTGCTTCGCACTGTCTGTCTCGTCGCTCGCAGACGCAAACCGAGACAAGGGTTCCATGGGTTGCGGAGGCGCGCCTGCAGCTGTACTGTATGCCACGCCTCGTAGAGTACCAGCGCTCGACGGTCGAATGACTGACTGTGCAATGCCCGTAGCTGCGAAGATGACGAATGAAGCGTTTCAAACAGATGTGCGCATTTTCGAAATACAGTAGAATCTCGTTACAACGAAGCGCTTGGGACATTAAAAAAACTTCTTTATAAACGAAGATTCGTTGAAAAGAAATTAATATAGGATTGTGGCTTTTGGACTGGGACCAAAAACGAATTCGTTGTAAGCATGAATTCGTGGAATACTGTACAAACATGATACATTAATACAATCAAACCCCGGTAAGACGCCAACATTTGTCTAGAAAGATTTTCTCGGTTTAAAGGGGTTGTCGGTTTATCAAGAAGTGTATTTGAATTTGAATTATTCGAAAATAATTACTGTACTGTACTCGATTTTCCTCCAAAAATAGCAGAAATTCAAATTTTCTAGAGACTTCAGAAATTTTCGGAAGAGCATCACTGTGATACATGGATTCCTCTTTCAGAAGATTAATTTTACTCCATCAAAATAGTGAACATTTCAATCTATTTCGCTTGAAATTTCAACACTTTAGACAGAAATGATAATTCTACCTTAATGATGGCGTACGAACGAAGACGAAACTAATACCAAACAGCAATTTTGTTTCATAATTAATGTTTTTGGACGGTGGTTTGCGTCTTATTAAAGTTTTCTAGGGTATTGATGATATTTTTAATCGAAATTTCGGCAGTTGCCGAGGGCGGCGCTTCATTGGGTGCAAAATGGAGGCTCTTAAATTTTAATCAAGTTTAATTTCCTATAGATTTGAGCAAAAATAAAACCAAAAACAACTCTTCTACCTAAGAGTAAACCCAAACTGAAAATTCCTAATCTAAAATTCCATGAACTCAAGAAAAAAAAAACAAGATCTACAGCTCAAACGAAATATATTCATACTAGACCATTCGCTGTAAGATTGAAAAATGTATCGAATGCTCGACACATTTATCGCTAAAAAAAAGTTTTGCACACTTCGCAAGACTGAAATTAATTAACCTGCGCGAAACGTGTACTGATCGAGAAATGGTTCAAAATACGCAAAGGTGCTTGGAAATGACGATACCTACGCAGCAATCGGACAGGATTTTGAATTCAAACGTCACGTTCGCATAGTATCCCACTTCCAAAAAGAGTTCCCACAAAACTCACCAGGGCCGGAAACTGGAACGCTTGAAACGGAAGCTGTGGGTTGCACTGTTTTTGTAACGCTGCTGGCAACTCCTGATGGATGCTCATCTGGAGCTAACGGGGACACAGGCCGCAACTTCGCGGTAAGCTTCGGCGATGTTCCAGACAACGTTGCTGAAACAGGCATCTCATCATCACTCCATGCCAAATTCACCAATATCAAAAGTTAAAACTATACAAGACTGGAAGTGTGCGACCCTAAGCTTGAGCCGCCACACTCGGCAACTGCCAAAAACAATAGCAAAACAAAGCTTGACATCAATTGTATGGGGATAATTGATCAAGATGCCATCCATCAACATCACTGGCGACACAAAAATGGTCTTTGGGATTGACTGTCTCTTCAAAAAAATTGCCATCATCAATGAAATGAAATACTGTATTTATTGCAAAGGTCCCGGAGCTTGGTCAGATATTTCTCTACAATCGATAATTCGACATGTTTCTTTCCTATATTTCACCTTGATTCTCATAACATGAAAATTTCAAGAAGGATCCAAACCAAATATTGTAGTTAGATGGAATAAATATGAGATGTTTTTTCTTCAGAAATCAAAGACAGTTCTCTTCCCCACAATTCAGTAATCTTTCCAATGAAATGAATAATTTTCAAGAATATTGCACGGTATTGTGCAAGGAATTTTTCACTCATTTATTTCAAAAAATTCAGATTGAAATAAAATGCACTTTGATTTTTAGGAAGATATGTTATTGACATACGTTTTTTTTATATATACAGTACCATTGTATTGACAAAATTACATATAGAAAATAGAGTCGCCAATTCCTCGTTGGAATAAAATGATTACTCCTCAGTTATATAAATAATTTTCAATAAGCCACCGGCCGCTTTACACTTTCAAAAATCTGGCGAAGGGATGTGCACAATGAAGGTTTAACTGTATCAGAAGAGAAAAGCATCTCCATTTAAAATAACAGCCAGGAAAAATTATTCGAGCTCAAATTTCAGATAGAGCTACATTAGATTCAAGGTTTTTGCCAATTCACATTTATAAAAAAAATTACAGGTAAGAAAATCTGGAAAAGTGATTGCAACTCTAGTCTGTCATTGACAACTAACAATTCTGCTTTTCACGTGAAAGAAAATGTTCGCAGTTCAAGGCCACATAAGGGGAAATGCAGGTTTTTGGGAAGGAACCTTGTAATGTTGAGAACGGCAGCTCTTACTTGAAAGAGAACGTTGAGGTATTTGCGGACCCGGAGGAACGACGGCCGGTTTTGATGGAACAGGTGGAGTAGCGACTGGTCGTGGGGAAGTGTGAAGACGGCCTTGATTGCTCTGAACGCCGGCCTGGAACATAGCAACTTGGTGGGCTTCAGCTAACTGTTTGTGCAAATTTTCAGCCTCAGTGCGAGACTTTTCCAGTTCCACTTCAAGATCTTTGCAGCGCTTCTCCTTAATCTCAAGCTGTGCTCGGAACTGACGTTGTTCCATGGAACATTGCGCAGCCATTCTCTCAAGTTCGGCTTCCATGAGTAAAGCTTTTTTACTTTCTTCTTCCAACCCCTCGGCCATGGAATCAACCCGACCCTTTTCTTCAGCAAGAATCTGAAAAAAAAAGCCATGGTCTCGATTCGGTTGTCACAGAAGAAACTAACAACCTCCTTCACTACGAAGAAAATTCACATTACAGTTTCATTACACACAACACGCCAGTCTCATGAGTTCAAGACGCTCACATACGGTTCGCCAGTTCCTAAGCAAGTGATCTTTAGTTCAACTTTACGTCGATTTTCACATGCTACAACTTCAAACAAACCAAGAAAGTGGCCTCACAAAATTAAAGGAATTTTACACCTCTACTCCACGTACTGCATTCTGAAAACGGATTCAGACTTTTTTCGAGCATTGGAATGCGTGTTCACCGATTTTACATAAATTCAAGTAAGCATGGAATATCACTCGAATTCCAGATATTGAAAAATCATAATTTATGTGTTCGACTTTAAGATAAATGATCATCTTAGCAACTCGGGAATGAATTGAATCACTGGAATGTTATCATTCGACCCGTATAGATTTTATTTCAGATGGACACAAAGGTAGCCCAGTCTGACATGGTATAATTATTTTTCTGCACTATGAAAGGATGTACGAATGACCTAGAAAATACATACATCTCGATAAACAGATAAACTGAAATCATACCTGGGCAAGATCTTCGGATCGTCTCCTTTCTTCGATCCACTTCATGATTATTTTATTGCGTTCCGCAACAAGTAAAAGCACAATTTGCTGCTGCCGACTACGTTCTTCCTCCAAGGTTTCTTTCACTTTCTTAAATTCTTTTTCCAACTTCTTTTTAGACAGCAATTCTACATCTAATTCTGCGGCTAACTTCGTACGCTCTTTTTCCAAAGCATAGGTAACATCATCTCCTTGAGCAGTGTCATGCTCATGTTTCCGTCTTTCGTCTTCAAGCTCCGCAATAACTTTCGCATTAATTTTTTCCGCTTGCTTCAGGTGTGCCGTGAGGCGCGCCATCGCTTTCCGCTGCTGGAGGATCAACTGCTCAAGCTTTTCAAGCTGATTATCATACACTGAGCTTTCCTCTTCAACGCTAGAGAGATGGTCACACGACTTCAACACGGCGTATGGGGAATCGCGCTGAAGTGCAGCGAAGGGATCGCACACTGCTCCAAGCCCACGAGAAAGCCTGCCCTGTTGTTGCAACTTCACAACTTGCTTCACTTTCTCCATCTGCCAAAGGTATGCTTGATTGAATGATTGAAAACAAGGCTATTGCGTGATTCGTACCTTCAATGTTGCTATCACAATGTCGCGAGCTTGCAATTCTCCTTCAAAACAGGATAGCAGCTGTAACAGATCCTGCTTGCTGAGCTCCGATTTATTATTCGTTTTCTGCTAATAATTGGAATGAAAATGTTTCAGTTTCACCAGAAGATATTTGTAGACGGCGGTTCTCACTTTCATTGCAGCTGCCGATAAAGTAGAGTCCGTGCCACGACCACTAGATTGTTGTTGATCAGCGGCGCTCATGAGCTTGGATGCCATGGTTAAAGAGATCAATTAAAAAGCAGCGTTGGCGAAGAATGAGAAAATCTGATTGAGCTCGGTCACATCAGCCGTTCAAAAGAATTATCAGGCAAACGAGCACCCAAAACAGCCTGCGGAGAAAATATTGTCACGACAAAATCTCAAAAGCAGATCCTTCGCTCCTGAGTCAGTATCTTGTCAATTATTTAAATAAAACTGGCATGATAATTTCGACAGGATGTTCTAAAATCAGCTACACAAGGAGAAAGTCACGTCGGTGATTGAAGGTCCTGCATATTTGCAGTAAAGCGATCCTACCATAAGATGATCAACGTAGATGTTGGCTACAATTGCTAGCCGAATCCTAGCGCCGAGATAGTTCTCAATACTGAGTTCAGCCATTTACAGATCGACGAGTGCCCGACTCGAGAAGTGGCTGCATAAGTTCTCAACTTTCACGCGGCCAACTCTGGGCATTTATCTTATGAGCACGGGGATCAATAATCTGCAAACCAGGGAAGAGCTCCAGATGAACGACGCACCCGCCGTTCAATTGATCTAACGAAAGCATTTCGAATGAATATTGTATTTAATGTGCTTTTTTGTTATACCAATAAATTGGCTAATATTAACGAAGATTTGTTCAAAGATATTCATGTTTTTTTAAAGGAGAGATTCAATAAAGATTGCCGTCATAACCATTGAAGTTTCCCCGCGCCATCTGTGGAATCGAATTGTTCGTGTCGCGCTTCCGAGGTTCGGTAGTTCAGCGAAAAAAAATTAAACAAAGACCTCGGGTTCGCCGGGAAAACGAACTTGTGGAATTGCGGGGTTGATTAACTGATGAAACGCGTTGTTCGTCGACGCAGTAGTTGTTTATACATTCTATTTTGGAGTTTCTTATATGGAACAAGTGCTATTTTGTTTCGAAAATTGAAAGTCTTCCGGGATGTATTCAAAGCTCTTGATGTTTCCCGAGTGCAGAAAAACGTGCGAGTTATGGCTGTCTATAATGGACTCATGCTGGCTAAGGCTTCCCTTCGACTTGGACTTTGCGGCTTGAGGTATGGCTTTCCATGGATAACCTGTTAGCGTGTCTGTCTGAATGATTCGATTGGTCAGGGCTATTTGCGTTCGTACCATGTCTGGTGGAATTGGGGAAGCCGGTTCTGGTGCTGGAAGAGGAGGCGGCGGTGGTGGTTCCATCAGAGATGCTGGAGGTGCTTTCGGAAAGATGGAAGCTGCGCACGAAGAGCAATACTTCCGAAAACTGGTGAGAGATACCATCGTCTTGCATTTTATTGTTATGCAATTCAGTATTTATGCAGCAAGCTGAGCAAATGAAGAAATTGAAAGACCATTTGGATGACGAGATTGAGCATCACGAGAAGGAAATCAAGCGTCATGAAGAGCTGATTAAAAGGCATAAGGCCAAGAAAAACAAACTGGATTCCTGAGTACAAAACTGCATTGTGTTTTGGTAGCCTGAGGATTCCCGCTGCTTCGTCAGATTCGGAGCGTGAAATAGTTCCTGTGGATTTGTGGATTTAGTGCAATTTTGTGGCCAAGAAACTTCTAATTTTGGCTTGATTTAAATTCATTTATAATCATTTCTTTAAAAACTAGTGAAATGATTCCCTCGCATATTTCAGTATACTGTTTCCTGCAGCCTGTTTGTTAAAGTGTTACTATTATGAAGGAAACTGGTAAGCGGAAAGCTAGTTCTTCCCTTTGTGATGATGATCACATGGATCAATCCAAAGACGGTTCCAATGATTCTAAATTGGCGCCCATATTCTGTGAGTGTTGTACTTCGTACGTCAAACTGTTTGGGAATTGGCTGACTTTTTTTTAACTCGCCGATAGTGAGAATGCAACGAGCAAAAAAGAAACGCGAGGACGACGATTCATCCAAAACCCTCCCGTCTACCAATGATTCAGTCGATCATGTGAAACAAGAGCGATCAAAGAATGAGGATGTGGAGGTGAAATTGGATCAGAGTAAACGAAGTAAAAATGTTGTACCGATTAAGAGCGATTGTGAAGAAACAAAAGTTAACGGAGAACAAGTTTCCCCGGAAGATTACGATCCGAAACATACCAACTACAAACCGATCAAACATGCCTGCTGGAAAAGAGGCGCGAAGCAAGTTATAAAATGGAAATTCGGCATGACACGTTCGTTTAATGAAGGCCAATTAATTTTTTTAGAGTTCCTTATCTGGCACTAGCGAGAACATTGGCTGCGATGGAGGACACGAAAGGTCGCTTGAAAGTCATTGAATATCTGAGCAACTACTTCCGCTCTGTCCTTGTACTCACACCGGAGGATTTACTTCCGTCAGTCTATCTTGTGCTTGGCCAACTTGGCCCCGCCTGGGAAGGTTTGTCATTTTGCATTGAATCTTCTAGTTTTCATCATTTTCCTTATTCAAATGGAATGTTCGGAATCCATATGAAACTCCGAATTTTTGGCTTCCAGTCTTCGAAGCCTCCATTTGACTGAAAGCTCCGATTTTCCCTTTGTATTATTCCTGTATGTTCTATGTCACCTGTTTGTTTCCGCACTCACAGACTTACAGCGTCAAATCGGAAGTAAATTCCGTTTTTTACATCATAATGTGAGTTCACATTGAGACATTTCTCTAATGAGAATGATTTCAGACTACAGTACTCTCAAGTACTTGTGCGAGTAATTTTGGCTACCTTCGACTATCAAAACGCTCGATACAAGCAAAAATGTTTACCGTATACACGCGAATATGATTACCCCTTGTGATTTTTCCGTGACAACAATTAAAAAGTTGTCAATTGGCGAATTTAAGCAGCCAATTACTATCCTGTTGTTCTGACTTTTCAAAAACCTGAAATTTCTGAATTTCCCCGAAAAAGCAAAAATCTTCTCGTAGAACCCTTGGTCTTCCGCTTTAATGGATGACTAATGCATTTCGAATTGCTAAAATTTTACCATTTCTTGATTATTTTCAGCTTCAATAAACTGAAGAATAAACGTGCTCGATTTTTTTATGGGCCCCAAATAGGAAGATATCCTGATTTAGACGCGTACCCACCCGAATTTCATAAACATGCGAAAATCAGAACCCGTCTAGTTTTTGAGCTTCTAAAATGGAAAAAATGGGGTTGCTTATATTCTCGTAAATACTTCAATTCTGATGAATTAAAATTCGGTAATTGTGGTGAATTAAAAATCGGAAACCCATGAATGCAAACATCGACGGCTTGATCAGCAGTCGAGATTGTTATTTTATGCTGGAAAAGGCTGATGAGATTTCAATGCAGTCATTACGGAAACATTTTTGAAGTTCTCGGATCAAATACACTTGGCCATTTCTAAAATGCGAATATTGCTTCGTTTTTTTTAGTATATTTGAAATGCAATCGATGTTTAACTCCATTCTAGGAGCTGAGCTGGGTGTTGGGGAGGGTGCCGCTATCAAATTAGTTGCCGAAGTAACGGGTCGAAGTGCTGCGAAAATTCGCCAGTCCATGGCAGAAATTGGAGACCTAGGTCAAATTGCGGAATCGAGCAAATCTTCTCAGAAAATGATGTTCAAGCCTGCTGCTCTGTCTGTTCGCAATGTCTATGAAGCATTCGTCAGAGTTTCCAAATTGAAAGGAAAGGATGTGAGTCTATTCCTTATTTTCCAGAGCTGAATTTGGTGATAATACGATCATTTTTTACGTTAGGCAGTCAAGAGGAAGTGTGATGATCTGAAAACGGCTTTTGTTGCCAGTCAGAAAGAGGAAACTCGTTTCATTGCTAGAATGTTGCTGGGGAAGATGCGCATTGGTTTTGGTGAAGAGTCCATGTTACAGGCCATTGGACTTGCCGTCACAAAAACTCCCCCTCTTCAGGAAGAATATCCTCCATCTATTATGGATAATTCGAAGAAATTGTCATCTTCAGCATTTGACGAGCTTCTGAAAAGTCAAGTTGCGCGCCTCAAACGAGCCTATTGGTGAGTTGGTTCAAGTGCAGTATTGTAATTCAGTAATGAGGTTGTTTTAATGGTTAATTTTGTAGTATTCCCTCCAAATGAATGACTCCATGGAATCTGTATGTTCTCATTGTTCGAAGTTTCATTGTTATCCGTTTATTCTCCGTTTCATTGGTTACCGTCCTTCATTTCCATTATATATAACCGTTTTTGCTTGCTAAGTCAAATGCAGATTGGCTCTCCCTACAACCGTTTAGTCTACAGCGATTTTGTATGTGAACTAACAATTTTTAGTCCCACAGAGTTCTCCATTTTTTTTATCATCTAACCAGCTTCGTTGTAGAGAAAGTCAACCTGTAAAACAAATGGCTTATGTGCGGATCGAATAGGTTCCATTGTGGTTGATAAGAAGAAGTTCTTTTCGCTCTTCTCATTTAAGCGAAGTAAAGCTGAAATCGTACGTTTTTTTCTCTTATTTTCTGTAATTCTAGTGAATGTCCATCCTACGATCTGATAATTCCATTGGTCTGGCAAAAGGGAATCGATCATATAGAAGAAAACGTGCAGCTCTCACCGGGTGTTCCAGTGAAGCCAATGCTTGCGCATCCAACAAAGGGAATTGAGGAAGTTCTTCAAAGATTTCAGGGACACACGTTTGCTTGTGAATTCAAGTATGACGGAGAACGAGCTCAGGTCAGTTTCCTGCCGAATTCCGCCACATTGTCATGAAGAATCAAAAATTTCTGTACTTTTAGATTCATCTTAGTGATGATGGAACTGTGAACGTATTCAGTAGAAATCAAGAGGATAACACGGGAAAGTATCCTGATATAATAGCGAGATTCAAAGGATCTTTGAAGTCCGATGTAAAATCTTGTATAATGGATTCCGAAGCCGTTGCTTTCGACACGGAGATACAAAGCATACTTCCTTTTCAGGTTCTTTCTACGAGAAAGAAGAAGGTGAGTACTGTACATTACAGCAAAATGTATTTTCATTCACTACCTGCTCTTTCATACATCGTTCTACTTTTTCAGGGAGCGGAGTTGGACAAAATCACGGTTCAAGTTTGCGTGTATGCGTTTGATCTTTTGTTTCTCAATGGCGAATCCTTGGTGAGGTTACCTTTCAAAGAACGCCGCGAGAAGCTTCGGCAGATCGTGGTTGAGAAAGAAGGCGAGTTCGCTTTAGCAACATGCAGGGATACTGGAAATGTTGACGAAATCCAGGAATTCTTGGATGAAGCTGTAAAATGTGAGTACAGTACTGTATTTTTACATTTGTTTCCTATCTCCTGGTTGTCTAGTCAAAAACATCTTTTACTGCTGAATATTTCCGCATCGAATTTTTCAATTTAAGCATGTAAATTCGAGCGTTGTCTCGCATCTACTGCATGTAAATGTCAAAGATTCTCTCAGGAAAGCCATGACTATTCATATAATTTTTGCCGTTTGTTGAATTATAAATGTGGATGATTGATCCAACAACCACTAGCATGTTCAAAAATTATATTTCCCTGTGCCTCGTAGAATTTGGAATTGCCCTTGGAAAATAAAATCGTGACTGCGTTTGTTCAACATTTTCAAAGATAAATCCGTTCTCCCTAGTCAGGGAAGACTGATCAAGATTTTCAGTAAACATTTTAAAATTACTTTAACCCAACGGGTGGATGATTTCATCTTCAGACAATGACATTTAAAGATAGAAGGTTCAATACTAATCAGCTTAAGGTGTTCTTGAATATTTTTCGACGGAGGAGTTGAAGAATCCAAATTAAAGGCTAAATTAATTGCTATCTGTTGAAGTGTAATGTGTTACTAAAACCATTGACCCTAAAATACTATAAAGCTGAAAAATTATTACAACTAGAATGGTTTTAAACTACTGTACTTCGATCATCATTATCCAAGAGCGTGAAATCGATTTTTTGGATTGAACGGAAAGCCGTGGTCTTCTAGTTTAGCGAGATCAATGAGGGAAGGACGAGACAAGAAAAACGATTGAACCAACTTTCGTAGAGTACTGTATTTTTAAATGAATTTTTTGCTTTATTATTTATTATTCTGTATTTTCTCGTAGCAAAGTGTGAGGGGCTCATGATAAAGACGCTGGAGGAGGAAGCTTCATATGAGATTTCTAAACGCTCATTGAAGTGGCTGAAGCTTAAGAAAGACTATTTAGACGGCGTTGGGGATACGCTAGATCTAGTGCCGATTGGAGGGTTTCTCGGCAAAGGAAAACGCACAGGATTCTACGGAGGTTTTCTTCTTGCTGTCTATGATCCGGAGAATGAAGAGTATCAATCTATATGCAAGGTATTTTCAAGTCTAAAAACTAAATTATTGATGTGACGTAATGCATATAATTACATTTCACTGAATATTTTTTATTTCTTTTATTTAGATCGGCACGGGATTTACTGATGAATACTTGGAAAAGCATGCGACATTTTTCAAGGATCACGTGATCCCCTCACCAAAATCGTATTACCGTTACGACTCTTCCGTGGAACCGGATCACTGGTTCGAAGTAGCTCAAGTTTGGGAAGTCAAGTGCGCAGATTTGAGCTTATCTCCGAACCATCAAGCTGCGATTGGTCGAGTGAGTTGTACATTTATTTATTTCAAATTTCTTTTTCTCCGAAGAGGAGGAAGTGAAACGTAGGAAACGGGTGGAAATAATCTTCATTGCTCATCAGGTGGAAGCTGAGCGAGGAATATCTCTTCGTTTCCCGCGTTTTTTAAAAATAAGAGATGACAAGAATCCAGAGGATGCGACGACAGCGTCTCAGGTCTGTTTCAGCGAGGTTTCAATGCAACTGAAATTCAATACTGTTCATGCTTTTCTTTGTGGTGCAGGTTGTGGAAATGTACTTGAACCAAGATGTAGTCAAGAACGGCAAAGTGAAGAACACCGAAGAAGAAATGTTTTATTGAAGAATAACTATTTCTCTGTGGATGTATTCATGAATAAAATTTTTACCTTCCTTATGTTCTTAGTGATGAAAATTCTATATTAGTTTTTCATCTTATTTGTTCCCAAAGTTTCATCGGGTGATCATGAGTTTTTTCTTGTGTTTCATTTCAGGTATGAATAGTTCAGACGCGTGCGTGATCAGTTTTCGCGAACATTGTGTTCAAGTGTTGATTTCTTCTACTAGTCTTTAGTGTCGTCGAAGTTATTTCGTTTTTGTTCTGGCTCATAATCTCCCTCTTTGATTCACGGAAGATGAAATCTTGGAAACATTACTTCCGGGAAATTTCCGTTCGATGTGACTATTTTAAGCATTTGTTTTTATAGATCGTTCAAATCGAAGTACGCGAAGTCCCAAACGTCGAGATTTTCCTATCTGTTACGTAGGTGTTGCTCAAGTCTTTTTAATTGTGTGTATTTATATAACGATGAATTACGTCAGTTCATCTGTGCAGAGTTCTTTCGGTTATTTGTGGCTAGGTTAATGTGCCAGGTAGCACATGAATTCAAAAAGGCAGAATTTGGTGACAAAGTGAGACAAACCAGGATTGCTGAAACATTGTTTTTTTGAACCAGTGCGTGAAATGTGAATTCGAGTTTTACATTTACTTTTATTTTCTCCTTTTTTCCGTCAACAGATCATCGCTATCCCTTTTTCGAATTTTATTTATTTGATCTTGAACGTGATAACACTTCAGACAAGATGGCGGGTGAAGCTGATATGCCGACCTTCAAGCTCGTGTTGGTTGGTGATGGTGGTGTTGGCAAGACTACTTTCGTGAAGCGTCACATCACCGGAGAGTTTGAGAAAAAGTACATTGCGACTCTCGGCGTAGAAGTTCACTCCTTGGTGTTTCACACTCATCGAGGAAAAATTCGTTTCAACGTGTGGGACACTGCGGGTCAAGAGAAGTTCGGCGGACTCCGTGATGGCTACTACATTCAAGGACAATGTGCCGTGATTATGTTCGACGTTACTGCCCGAGTCACTTACAAGAACGTTCCGAATTGGCACCGAGACCTCGTGCGTGTATGCGAAAACATCCCGATCGTCCTGTGCGGAAACAAGGTGGACATCAAGGACAGGAAGGTCAAGGCCAAGAGCATCGTGTTCCATCGGAAGAAGAATCTTCAGTACTATGACCTTAGCGCCAAGTCCAATTATAACATTGAAAAGCCCTTCCTGTGGCTCGCTCGGAAGTTGATTGGAGACCCGAATCTTGAGTTTGTGGCTGCACCTGCTATTGCTCCGCCCGAGATTCAAATGGACCCGGTGTGGCGGCAGAAGATAGAAGACGAACTGAAGGAGGCCCAGAACACTGCTCTACCGGACGATGACGAAGATCTTTAAGCGCAGTGCGATAGGAAATTCGATTTGAAGAATTTTTTCCTCTGCTTCTCGTTTCGTCTCGTTTTCTTTTTTCTTCCCTCAATTCATCTGTGTACGATACGTTAATCCGCTCCCCACAGTATCACATGGCGTAAAAGAGAAACTGTGTCTGTGCTTGAGTCCTTTCATAAAGTTTAGCCGCTGGGCGCTTCGAGAAGGTGTTTTTGCTTAAGATTGGGGATGATGTGATCGCGTCATTCAGCCGAAAGCTTGTTAGTTCGGGGCATGCTGGTTTTTTTATGGTTTTCTTTATTCCTCGAAAGCTGGAAGCTGTCCTGCTCGAAGGCGAGTTTGCAGAGACGGAGCAGAGTAAAGTGAATCCCCTGTTTCGGGGAAAGACACCGATCACCTTGGCGAATTTTCTTTGTCCCATTGCCAAACTCACTTGATTGCCTCCCAGTGAATTTTGAAATCATAAAATATTGCTTTCACCTTTTACTAAGGTTTTCTGTTTGTGTGATGCCGGTTCCCGTTGAAATGGAAGACGATGATGCTGTTGAGAAAGTTGATGTAACGACCGGATTGCTCGACAACCTGCGCAAAATATCCCAAGAGAAAACTTGGATTCGAGCGTCTGCGGATATTGTTCGTCATTTCTGGAGTAAAAGTGCAACAGAGGTTGGTTTTCTTTTTGGTTTCACAGTGGTGTGTAAAGAACTTGTGGAAGAAAGAGGAGTCGTAACTGAAGTGGGTTTCAGTTCTCAAAATTTGTCCTATATTTTTTTTTTCAGGAATGATGAATGGCACTATTTAAGAAATTTCCCAATATTTTTGAAATCGATTTTTCTTGTTTGGAAATTAATTTGATACTTTTTTTTTCAAAGAACCACGGAAGTTTCTGGAATTTTTTCCTATGATCAAAATACTTGAAAGTTACAGTATTTCTGAAAAAAATTTTGGACAGCCTTCCCAAGATGTCAGTACAGTACTGTACTGCATTATCAATATTTTTAGGTAAGGAATCTACGGTATTCCCGGTGATAACATATTTTACGTTTTTTTTTTCAATTTTCTGTACTGTACTTCAAAAGACAATCGATTCATCATCGACTCCATTAAAAGTGACAGAAGTTCTGGCGAGACCATGTAGAAACGAGAAACTTCGTTGAGTATTCAATGACTATTGGGTCAGAAATCGAGTTCGAGTAGACTAAAGATGCCTCAGTCTTTTCTGAGTTCTGAGAATTTCGTCAATATGAAAATATTCTAAGGTGTTGAGAGTGGATACCGAGAAATTTGTTTAATTTAATTTTAAGTTCAAGGTATCCTGAACTTCATTTTATGTAAGTTTTTCGATTACTGTACCCTAAACGAAGGTTATCCACAAAATGTGTACATGGGTCTTGTAATTTTAATACAAAGCAAATACATGATATTCTTTTAAAAATTAAGGAGGAAGCCTTATGTTGTGCGTTCCTAACCCTGTGAGACGTAGTAGCATTCAGACTAGTTCGGAGATGAAGAAGTTAAATAGCTCACAGGATGGCTTGTACAATGTCGAAATATATTTGATCATAGTTTAATTCGTTGTATTTTTTTTTAATTAGGGGACTGATCATTCCTCTTTTGATTCTTAATCTTTCGTGCGCTTCTCCTTGATTTTTACACTTACTCTTTTGTATACTTAGTCATTCAATTCCGGTCTTTTTTTTTATTCGCTCTTCTTTTTTTTTTACCCGCGGATAATACCCGGAAGTACTTTTTGGACACGTAGTGCTATCTGTGTCTTATTCATTGTAACCTAATTTTAGTCTTGTTCCGAACGCGTTTTGCTAGATACAGGATGACGGAGTTGATTCGAAAGAAGATGAAAAGGACTTCGAATACGTTCTGAAGCGTCTGCTGAGCGGATTAACCTCCTGCGAATACCGAATGCAGTACTACACATGTCTAAGGGAGCTTTTGACGATTCGATCCAAATCTCTGGTATACCTCACTTCGTTGACTTCGGACATTTTCCGTGCCCAACAAAACTCCACGAAAAGAGAAACCGGAAACGCTAATCTCGCCAAGTTGTTGTTAGCAAACCTGTATTGTGACCTAGCGACGAGCATCACTCAGCAGGAATGCATTGCACTCGTAGATATATACTGCGAACTGATGCAGGAGAAGGCTTTCATCGTTTCCAAAGCCACTCAATACCTGATACGACTCCTGGACCTGACGCCAACATCGTCGACGAAAGTTTGGAAGCACGTGACGTCCAAGGTGTCACAGTTCGTCGAGAAACGTGCAAAAATATTTGAGTTTTTGGGACTAGCGATGTTTTTGGAGCATAATGGCATGGAGGTGCGAAACGTGGACTGTTTCGTGGATAGCAACACGTTTTTCCATCACACTGCCCTTCCTGCGATTGTCGAAGCATTTCTATTTCAAGCCAACTCGTACCCGAGAATCCATTTTCTCATCCCCAGGATTGTTCAAATTTTGGGCGAAAGAAATCTGCTCGGAAAATTTGTGAAACTTCTAGGTCTCAAGCAGGGAACCACGAGAACCCACATCGGCATGTTCCTGTCTGTGGTCACATTTTCAGTGCCTTACATGAAAGATGAAACTATAGTCCGTCAGATTCTGACACCCGCGGTTATTGAGCTGCTTTTGAAAGTGGGAAAATTCGAGAAGATCCCAGAAAAATTCAAGAATAAAGAGAAAATGAAGTTCATCGTGGGAGAACAGAAGCCGGTGAAGAAGCTGATGACTACTTTGCTCGATCACCTGTGCGAAAAATCAACGGATCTGGAATCTACGAAGTGCGCTGTCTTGGAGTGCTTCCTGTCTTGTGAAGCTGCATTTCATTTTGACAAAGTCATGGGTGAGTTCTTCTCGTTCACACGTATTTTTCATTCGTATTTGCGCCTGTTGAACAAGCGTTTTTTTTCTCTGTTGAATGCAAATTATTATTCGCAAAAAATTTAAAACTGAGAACCTTCGGACGTTTTTTTGATGCAGAAAAAAATTAACGAGACATCAACGGTAGGTCACACACTCAGGAAGAATGCTGTATACAATACTTATTGCAGATTTTAAGCTCCATTAAAAATATTCCAGACGCAAGAGACATCTGAGTGCTGAGGCAGTTACCCAGCCTCCAAAGGAATTTAATTTTATAAGTACAAAACTACATTATGGCTGCAGAAAATGAGAGAAGCTGGAGCATCCTCACTCCTTGGTTGTTAAAAGAGGACTCTTATTATTGTCTCTGATCACAGGTTTCATGAAGACAACATCTCCGACAGGAAAATTAATCAATCTTAGCTTAGGTTTCATCTCAGGCCACGTGTTCGGTCGAGTTGTCTCTTGAACGTGCTCAACATTCATGAAGACAACAATCACACACACAATCAGCAAATACAATCTCGCATTGTGCAATAAAAACTCACTTTCAAAAAGAAATAAAATCAGCAAAGAAAAGATGCTTTGCCCATGGCGCAATTCCCGACGCGCAAACTTCCAAAGCAAATAACTCCGCGAATTTTACACTTATAAAATTCCACAACATCTTAAATTGAAGCCAAAGATGTTCTTCAAATTTTCTTATATCATTTAAAATTGACCCAATTGACAGATCTTGAGATATTCTCACTTTTCTAAACCTAACTTTTCTTTGGTGATAAGAATCTGGAAAACCTTCATGCCAGATTGTTATCTCACAGATGCACAAGCTTTTGGTGTGAACAGTGACTTCAAAAGCCTTGTTTCTAAATGTAGATGAATGAATTTATTTCTGTAACAAATACTGTATCATGTTATGTCTTCATAACATTTTGTGACGGGAATTATTTTTGTATCCGGCAAGAAAAGATTTGAGAATGATTCACTACATCCGTGATGAGTCTATGGATGCAATTACCAATGGGTTACTGAGCGAATTTTTTAAAAACAACTGGTAAATTGCCTCCTGTTGAGCACGTTCAAGAGACAACTCGACCGAACACGTGGCCTGAGATGAAACCTAAGCTAAGATTGATTAATTTTCCTGTCGGAGATGTTGTCCTCGAAAGTCTGACAGTAACCAGTCTCAAAAATTGATCTGCTCTAATGTTCACCTTCCTTGTAACTTGTCAAGCGCTGTTCATTCTAACTGAAGTTGAATAAATAAACGTGACGAAATTTAGGCAAATACAATTGCAAAATTACTTCCGGCGGTGAAGTTTAAACTGCTTACATTCGAACTCGAGACGTAAATTTTTCTTTCCCCCATTTTAGGTACGAAGACTATGGAAGCCTTGTTACTTGCGTCTCGTGAGTGCCAAACTGTTGAAACGGTGGCCAAGAAATGTCTCGTAAGTTTTGTCGAGAAACCGCAGACGTCTTCGGAGTATTTGGAAGATGAAAACGAAGAGAGCGGCGAGATTTCACGAGTGCCCAGTTTTGCCAAGAAAATCTCGGCTGCTTCACTCCTCGCCAGCTGCGTACTTCATCCGGCTTTCAGAAATAGTCCGTTGAGAACGAATTGCATAAAGCACTTGGTAGCTCTACCCATTTTCCGACCGAAATCGCAAGATTCGCGCGCGTTTGTGAAAGTGTTCAAGCGAGAACATCCTTGGGCTTCCGACAAATGCGCCGATGATTTAAACAAAGAGTTGATCACGTTTATCGAGAAGATAGTTTTGCACACGTCGTGGAAGACGAAGTTCCGCGGGGATCTCAGCGAAATGGTAGCCATTGTTCGTGAGGTAGTGGATATCATCGATTACTTTCTGAAGGAGAAGTCTGTCATCTCGTCGTGGAAGCTGCTTGAGTCGAGGCGTGACGACTGGACTAAGTGCTCCGCAGCGCTTCACGATTGCATGTGAGTTGACTGAAAAGAAATTCGACAGGAATGCGGGTTTCAGCAATACTGAGAAGGGGCAAATTTATATTTTTCGAATATCGCAAAATCAATCAAAAATTTAAAAAAGGCTTTGGTGCCCGATTGAGGTTGACGGATGACAACTCGATTTCTAACCAGATGAGACAAGTAAATACAGCACTGTATCCTGTAACCAATCGGTATTCGACATAGCTTTTAGGAACTTTGAACCAATCAGACATCACCTCCACTTCTTTGTTCCATTCCAGTCAGAATTTTAAAAAATAGCCTCTGTCTCCAACCTAATTCCAACAACAGTATACAGTACAGTAAATTTCAGTTATGCCAAATCTCGTTTTGACGATTTTTTTCTTGTTCCCAGCAGTCTTTTCATGGGAACAATGTCATGAAAATTTTGTCTTAACTAATATTTGCCTGCTTGTCATAACCTATATTTTGCCTAGTATAGCACATTCTTTGACTCGTTTATTGGAAGATCAGTAAATTTTTAGAAAATTTGAGAAAAGGGAAGTTCCGAATAAGCTAATTATATTTAAAATTTGTAATTTTTTTCTTTATTAATTTCAAAAAGAGTTTGAAATTATGAGAATTTTTCAACTATCTGTTGTGGAAGTACATTAAAGGAATTATTACCTGTTTCCTATAAAACTGTAGTCCAAAATGCTCATTTCAACGAATTTGTATGTTCCAAAGACATTTCTGCAAAGCTTTCTGCTTTCTGGGAGTTCGTTGCTAAACATTGTTACTTTTCAGCGGAACAAAGTAACATTTTGGTGACAATCTGTGTCGCAATTAAATTCATTGTCTCTGACAGCGATGCGAGACGTGAAGGGGAATAAACCGTATACAGTAATACAATAATAGTAAGTACAGTAACTATACTATACTGTGTAACTATACTGTATATGGATAGACGCATCCTTTCTTTCCTGAATCTCGCCCAGATGTTTCTCAACCATTTTTTCCCCGAGTAACGCAGGCGTATGCAGTACTGTGCTTCGATCGATTTGACTCAGGTTTGTCTGTTTCACAGCGGACGGATAAACAAAACTGAATCCCCGGATCCGGATCAAGTTTTTTTCCTCGTACTATCTTTGAATATGTTCCGCCTGATCACCGACCCGATTGGAGTCAGCTTGACTGACGATCTTCTTGAATCCCGGAAACGAGCTTCGGGCGAAAACGCGGAAGGGCCACACTGGTGCGAAGTACTGATTGGCATCATGTTGGAAATGCTGTCAGCCGAAAAGCGGATATACCGAGAATTCCTTTCGTCGACCGTTAGTTACCTGGCGCCGTTTGTCACTCGGGACTGCGTTGATATAATTCTGGATCACGTCGACGTTCCGGAAGATTCAGAAGGCATGTTCACTGTTATTGATGAAGATGGCGAGAGTGATGTCGAAGAGAGCGATGGTGATGTCGAGGACGAGAAGGAATTGGACAACGGATTTAGGGATCATGTAAGTAGAGTTTTTTTTTTCATAAACTGAAAGCCGATGAAATGGAATTGGCGACAAATCAGAATGAATATTCGTTAGAAATCTTAGAATAAGGTTTTTTTGTCCCAGTAATTTCTTCATGGGCGCCATGTTATAAAAATTTCGTTCCAACAAACTCATTTTAGGCTGTAATCTCGGTATAACGAATTTTTGGCCCTGATTCTGTGCGTAAGCCATATGGATTATTTGATGACTGGCAAAAAATTAAAAAAAATTGAACTGGTGCAGCATTCGAACTTCAACAAAGGAGCAACGCTTTCTGTTGAGAACATGTGTTCAAAAAGGCACACAACATGACATATCTCTGTGAACAACTTCAGTTCCACTTGAGGATACCTGTCCCTATTTAAAACAATCGACGTGTTGAAAATAATTTTTGTTAATTCCGAAGAACATGTTTGAATGGATAAGTTGATTCCAAAGAAAGAATTTCTACAAGATGTATTTTTTTCATTTTTAAAAAGACAAATTGCACTTATGTAGAAAAGCAGGTTCATTGAAAGGGGAAGTACTGTTATTCAAAATTTTTACTCTTCGTCTCGTTGGAGAGACTTATAAATCATGACAGTCCTTGATTTAACTGTGGCAGAAGTATTCATCACCTATTTCCCACCAAATTGTATTCGAACATTTGTTATAAACCCTGCATATCTATACAACGAATTTTTCGTCATAACGAACCTTTTTTGAGCTCCCAGGAAGTTCGTTGTACTCTACTGTTATTCTTCTTCGCTCTTCTCAGATTTTTAAATTTTAAATACTTCCCTTTATTAGCTTTCCTGTTGAATAACCTCTCATACGTCATTCAGGTTAAATCCGCCTTGGGTGATATGGCAGCAGAAACAGATCTAGAATCTGTCAACATCAGCGACCTCGGTACAGAAGAAATGGAAGGCCTTGACCGTGCTTTGGCGAAAGCATTTGGCAACACGAAAGCGGGCGTGAAAAATCTCCGGAAAGACAGCAAGCGTGCGGAGAGTCTCGAGATGAATTTGAAAATAAAAGCCATCGACTTCGTAGAAAGGATCTTATTCAATGATAAATCTGTCGTGGAGTACGACTTATTTTTGTTGATCGTCAAACGGCTGGCAAACGCTGTACGCACTGGATTGAAAGACCTGAGTTCGTACAAATACCTTACGGAGAGAATCTGCTCCGTGTTCGTCAAGCTGTCCAAGAACTTGATGGAAGACAATAAAATTGTGCCCACGAGGGTGGATGGTCTTGAAGATGTCTTCGAACTCATGGGGGATATCATAAAGAAAAGTGAGTTTGTTTCCTGACCTGATGGCGCCGCAGGCGGGACCTCAGAGAATAATACGATTGACAGATGAAATTGAGGTTTTTTTTTTTAGATGCCCGGGTTCCACAACCATAATACTGTTATTATTTCATATGCTGCTTGATTTCGAAACTGTGTTAATCTGGTTGCACTTGGTTTTGTCCAAGTTTCAAAATTTTTCGCAATTTACCGGAGGCTTGTTTGAATTGCGCTGGTTTTATATATTAAATTTTGTGTGGATGGGAATTTTTATCTGCTTACAATTAAAAGATACGGGATTTAGCTGTAAGGTGCATACATCTGAAAATTGAAGTTAAAAGTCGTAAAACATGCAATTTTTCCTCCAGTATTACCCTCATTACCATCTCGTACCACACATGTTCTCAAATGATCGGAAATCGGCGTGTGTTCCATTTAAACGTACGTTAGTGTGTTAGAAGAACTTAATTCTTGATGGAAGTCTGGGAGAACTTAGTTCATGGTGAAAAACCGTTTTTATGCAAAGAATTCGATGATCATTCTTTCTTTGTTCAACGATTTATCTGTTGTGGAAATACATTTTAATCCCACCTTAATTACATTTTCAATGATTTTTGGTCATCTTGCTGAAGGGACGAGATCAAAGATGGAATTCACTATCTTTTCACCACTCGTGCCTCTGTCTTCATGAATATACTCGTGATGGAAAACAGCTTACGGTTTTTACCTTGAAAAACTCAGGAATTCTCACAGCCTATCTATCAGTGTTCAATTATCTTGGCCATTAGAAACTAATTGCTAAGAAAATATTTTCAAATTTTCATTTCCCTCTTCAGGTCAATGTCCCACAGTGGGAATAGCTGTTGGAAACATGTGGATGCGATTATTATTGGATGCTACCAGGTGCAAACATTTTGGAAAGCAAATGGGGAATAAACATGTTGAAAAGTTCATCGATCTTCTTTCAGACTTCTCGAGAGGGTAAGATTTTAAAAATCAATTGATTTGTCGTGTATGTTGATTGAAATTTGTTTTATAGAACATCGAAAGTGAACGTGAACGTGTTTGCGAACATCGTTCGATATCCTTGGCCCGGTCACGTCCAGTTTTTGGAATCAGTAGCCGAAAAAGTTTTCGAAGAAAGCACCAAAGAGCACAAGAAAGTCGGTCTTTGTGGCGTTATTCGCAAAAACATCAAATTTCTCATTTCGAGACAGTCGAAGTCTGATGTTGCTACGGTTTTATCGATGTGGATGTCAAAACTTTGGGAAGAGCTGAAGGCTCAGAGAAACGATGATGCGAAGACGAGATGGCTGAAAGAATGCTGCGGATTGCTGAACCTGTTGTGCAAATTGGCGAATAATACGGAATTGTCAGTTGACCCAAAAGTCGAAACGAAGGAGGCCTTAGCTGTTTTGGCGAAGAACGTGAATTTGAAGAAAAGACCGGACGTAATGGGCGCTTTTAAATGCCTCGCTAATACTTGTGGACTTCCACCGTCTGAGCTGTGAGTGCTTATAAGAGAGGCTGACGTTTTTTTCAATTTTGTTCGTAAACTGTTTTTGGATTGAGACAATAGGATGAAATATCATTTTAAATGGTGAAAGTACGGAATATTCTTTGTATATGTTGTGTTGAGTTAGATCTTGTCTCTCCAGCAAAGCCATTGCACGAGTCACAATTCCTCAGACTGACATGACATCTAACTCCATGCTATTATCCAAATCTTCCAGCATCATTCAACATTTTTATGTTATCAGCTGCAAATTTTTAAAGTTTTTTTTTACACCCTTTGAAATGCAAAAATAAATCATAAATAACTGCGAACGCTTCAAGATATTTTTAAAAATTCCGCGGTTCATTTGAGAAATTCATGACGTTATAGGCCACCTTTTTTCGTAATTTTTCCACGCCTGAACCTGGAAAAGTCATACTATTCTTGTACTGTACTATTCGAACAAAATGACTAGGTCGGCGTTGAAGTTTAGTCCAATGAATCGGAAAATAATTTGAGATTTCTTAAAACTCGTCGCTTAAATTCAAGGAAAGAATTTGCCTCGAAGCAGACTGTTGTACTGCCCTGGCTTGTAGAAAGTGCTTTGAAATTTGTGAAAAAGGAATCTTGCTTTCATATTTGAAATTATGTAAATTTTCTAATTAGACCGACGTTCTCACCGTCAACCATGAAGCGGAAAGCTGCGGAAGAAAATAAGCTGACCGACGAAGAACCGTTGAAGAAACGAAAGAAAAATGTAAGTTTTTCATTTCAAAGTTGAGAACCACGATTTTTGAATGTACGCAACTTCCCCAGACATTCGCCCGTGCGCAGAAAAAGCGAGAGGAGAACGAACGACGCAATGCCAGATTCAATGATGGACAACTTGGCGCTGTGAATTTCAGTTCCTTAGTTCAAAAGGACTACGGAGCGGATGAGAAAAAATAAACAAATTTCTCTGCGGACATCTCATTTTTTTCATTCGTTGTTAGAAGTTGTCATTCGTTAATAGAAGATTCATAAAGCTGTGTTTGGATCAATGATTGTTCCCCAAGGTGCAGTTGTGCAGATGTACTGTAATGAGCCTAAGTCAGAACATCAGCGTGTATGGAACATCCTTTACCTTAGATTTCAATGGGAATACAAATCATACAATTAATGGGCTCTCTAGTACAGTTGAAACTCCGCAAGTCAAATATCTCCCTAACTCAAATCTTTTTCAAGTCCACATCTGAATTCCCATAGAAACCATCCATTAAAAAATTCTCGAACTTGAAGTCTTTTTCTCCCAAAACACAGTCAAATTTTCTGAGCCTTTTGGTTACTATTTCTTTGGAATATGTAAAAGAAAATCGATGAAAAAAATTATTTTATGCATCTTACTGAAAGGAAGTAAAAGACTAATTGAGCAAATGAACCCTAGCTTCTAAGTTCAGCAAGCTCCACTCATCAAGAAGCATAAGTTTAGGTGCAGAATATCCTCATTTACGATTTGCTGAAATTGTTTTTACTTATCCTTGCAGCAAAAATGATTCCCCCCCCCCCCACTCAGAACCTCCCCAAGTCAAATTTATTCCTGGTACAGAGGGGTTCAACTGTGTACTAGTTAACCAAAAATTAAGAATTCCCATAAGAAAAGTAAACTTCGAAATACTATGCAAAAAATGAAAATGCAGAAGAGAACAGAACACAAGATGATCTTTTGTTATTAAAAGGAGGCAACAAAGCAAAGAACAAGCAGAACTCTGCTTACCTTATGCTGTGTACAGATTTGTGATGATGATAAGAACTCTGAAAATAACCCAAAATCAGCCTATTTTGGTGAATTAATAAAAGAATGGTGTAAAGAGCTCATGTTGTCCAGGTATGGCAAAATACTTATTTGGGCCTCGCTGTACAGTACAGTATAATGATGAACTGAACTAAACTTTCAACACACTCTTTGACATGAGCATTCGCGCGCTTTTTCTGCAAGATGACGCTGTGCATTATTGTCGGTAAGCTAACATGGCAGTGAGAGGTCGATGTGCTCGAGGTTTACTATCTTGAAATGTGTGAATTAGTCGTAATTCTCGGCATGTTCGAGTCATTTAAATTCAGAATCTGAAATCCGTCAGATGTGGAAACCATCTTTTCGTGGATCGGCCATGTATGTGGAAATTTTTTCGGACTATCCGAATAGAGTGCATTTAGTTTTCGGTCGCGTTACGGATGAAATACATTTTCTCCATCAACAAAGTAATTCGGGCTGAAGAATTCTTCTGAGAATATACCTTGCGTGCATCTCAATCGCATTATTTTAAAATATATCTATTGGCTGCTGGAATCGGTTCGTGTGAATTTATTGCGAAGTAATCAATTCATTGTCGAATATTATTTGTTTCTTGAATCCTTCGAAAGCAAGCTGACGAACAAAACTTTGATTTTTATGCTTTTTTGTGCTTCGAATGGAAGGACACGCATTTGGGTTGAACGGGTTTCTTTGTGTCTTACTGTTGTGATAAACGTTACTGGATGCGTAGTGATTGACCGTTGAGACCCTGTTTCCTCCAGCAAAATGCGCGGTTCCGATTTGAGTGCTTATCGTGATCAACATTTCAAAGTAAGTTTATTCCGGTTTGCCAATGTGGTTGACGCTCTCCAGCATATTGTCTTGCTGTTTCAGGGCTCAAGATCCGAGCAGGAACGCCTTCTTCGTTTAACTACTACATTGTATGTTGGAAACCTGTCGTTTTATACGACGGAGGAACAAATTCATGAGTTGTTTTCAAAGGCTGGAGAAGTGAAGCGAATCGTCATGGGACTGGATCGTTTTAGGAAGACTCCATGTGGCTTCTGTTTTGTAGAGTGAGTTTTCCCGTGAAAATTACGGTAATGTTCTGGTCTGAAAACGTTTTTGGTTTAGATACTACACGCGCTTAGACGCAGAAAATTGTATTCGTTACGTCAATGGAACAAGATTAGATGATCGGATCGTTCGTGCCGATTGGGACGCGGGATTCATCGAAGGTCGCCAATATGGTCGCGGAAAAACTGGTGGGCAAGTTCGTGACGAGTATCGCACTGATTTTGACCCAGGAAGAGGTGGATTTGGTAAGATTGTGCAACAGCGGGTTACGTCGTCGCACTCGCCAACTGAAGGTGGTACAGACGAAAAATTGGACAGTGAACCTGATGTCGCACCACCATCAAAGAGGATGAAGACTTCCCACGTTGAGGTTGATGAGCAGGGTGACCGAGCCTCGGATGACCTGGCTATTCCAATTGATCCACCAAATCCCCTTAGCCGGGCTTGATCTTTTGAAATTGTGTTTGGAATTGAATGTTGTTCCTTTTGTATAATTGCCGAGGATTTTACGCAGTTGTTTGTGTTATTCGCTGGAGACTTTTTTCGAAAATTACCTGTATTCCTTATTCAATTTTGCAGTTATGTCGAATGTGACGGTGTCAGTGCCAGTGGAGACTGTCGGAAGTCGCGAAAAGGTTGTGTCGATTCACAAAAATCGTGATTCTGGCTTGGAAATTGATATCGTAAGCGACGATGCATTGCAGCTTTCGGAGAAAAATGTGGACCATGAAGATCCCGAAGATGCACCAATGCCTAAATCAACTGATGATGGAAATGCCTTGGCTAGTGAAGATGAGGAAAATTTGCCGTACGTCAGAAAACGGACAGGTCGAGTGTTCGACTCGGAAGACGAAGAGGAACCAGTTCCGACAGTGGAGAGTGCCGATGAAGATGCAACTGTGACACAAGATTCAGACGAAATCTTGAGCAGTGATGACGAGGCATCCTCTGTTTCGAAAAAAGAAAATACCTTGAATCCTGGAAGTGCGAATGAGCACTTGAAATCATTCGAACAAGGCCAAGAAATGTCAGAAGAAGCGAAGCTTGATTCAGAATCTGATGTTATGAGTAGTGATGATGAAGAGACCCTGAGATTCAAGAAACTATTGGCCCAAGACGATCAGTCCGATGAGGAGAGAGCGATTTCCACGTTGCCAGAAGTGAGTGTGATCAATGCCGTTCGTAAAACTAAACGGTAGCACCTATCCGTACGTTGCTCCATTCTTACTGTGAAAAAGGGAAGATGTAAGTATATTTTAGTTGGTTCTAAGCGGATGGCCTGAAGCTGTGACGTATTATTGTTCATGTTATGTTAAAGTATTTTGATGTTTTCAATCAGCGAATCTCCTCGATTTTATCATGTTGAAACTGTACTTTTCTGTATTCCTTGTAAAAGAAGTAAGATGTAAGATGTAAAAGAAGGTCCAAAACTCGAATGAATTTTTGAAGCAAGGCTCCTAAAAATATTTATATTGTTGAAAGACAGGACGAATTTAATTCTGTACAGTAGTTGAAAAACCATTGGGGAATTATTTTCATAGCAACCTGCGTGCAGAGAATAAGCAGAAGTCACCGCTGATTCCATTTCGTTCGTCATCATGTTCTGTGTTATGCCTGCATTCATTGTATATGGCATGCTTTATTGTGGGAATGCCTGTGTGGATTTAAACGATTTATGATGTGTGAATTTCAGGATAAATTGGCAGACATCTCTGGCCGACCGATACGACGTGATGTTGAACGTATGGTGCGTGAGAGGCAAGTATCTCTCCCGTATCATAGAGCGAAAACGAGGTCCTTGGGAGATTTCCTGAAAAGACGTTCAAATTTTCGTCAGTCTTACGGAAATGGCAACGACTTGATGTGAGTCGTTGGTTGGAAATTTTAGAAGAGTATGTAAATCTAAGTTTCTTGGTTTTTTGTTTTGGGAAAGTTCGGAAATGCAAAAGAAGGAACAAGAACTGAAAGCTTTCTATGCTGTGGAATCGGAAGATGAAGACGATTCAGAATCTTGGACACCTGGAACGTCGGATAAAGCGCCCGATGTTCTGAACTCTGTCGCCGAAAAACTGAACGAAGTTCAAGAGGCTGTAGAAGAAGTGGCTGAAATTGATCCGATTTCGCCGATGGGTCGTCAGCCAGAAACTGAAGTTTCTGAAGTAAACGTAGAGAAGCTCCCGGATGCAGAAGTATTCGAAATGACAACTAAATGTGAAGAGCCCAGTGTAAACCAAGAAGTGACTTCAGTTTTGCGTCAAAGCTCATCTGACGGGCCTCAGCAGAAGTCTCCGTCTTCGAAAAAACGAACAAGGAAAGATAAATTGTTATCTCTATTGCGGCTTCAGGAAATGGATGAACAGGTTAGATTGCGTGCAGAAAATGACGACTTTGTGGAACTTGATTCCGGTGACGAGGAAGTAACTGGCGTGGACAAGTTCATCAAAGGATTCATGCATCACATGTGTCCGCTGGAGAAAAAGGTTGTCAACGTGAAACCTATTGTTGAATCCGCTGTGGAGTAAGTTTTAATTTTCTTGTTGACATTCGTGTAAGGCGTTAGTGCTTCTTCCTGAGTTTTTGTACGACATGTAATGGCTAGTTTTGGTTTCTTTTTTTCGAAGAAGCATCAGAATTTTCACTTAAATCATGAAAAGAAATACTGTAAACAACTTTGATCTTGTAAAATTTGGGCTTCACCTTTATACTAGTGATGCATTCTCTTAGGGTTCTGGTCGTTCCGACGGAATTAGAATCACCGAGCAAGATACAAAAAATGAAATCTCGGGTTGCACTGCGTTGCCAGCTGCAGAAGAGTCTTCGTTCGAAAAAACTTAGCCAAAAAAAGGAAGAACTCCTTCAACGGGCTATCGAGGAAGTTGACGAAGGAGATGATGGGGATGATGAGATGGAAGAAGAGTTCGTAGGTGATGTCGAAGGGAGCGATTCGGAAGAGGAAGAAGAAGAAGAGGATGACGTCGACGACGAATTACGTTATGTTGAGCCGAAAGCACGCAACCGATCCAAGTTTATCGATGATGAAGCAGATGAATCCGATGGAGAAGTAGAGGAGGGTGAAGCGGAAGAAGATGCATCTTTACTGTTGGAGGAATGCGAACCCGAGGAAGAATCTCTTGGAGAGAAAGCGGAGAATGCAAACTTGGGTTCGTCGCGTTAAAACCCTGTCTATGCCATCGTTCTTTGTCTCGAGTCTGATTTCGCCCTCTTTTCTTATAGAACCCGAGACCTCTGCCAGGAAAAACATGAAGTCCTTCGAATCCTCTGAAGATTTGTTCGCCGCCCATGAAGGCAAGTGAAGGCCAGCTTGCTACGTATAATCGAAATGAAGGCCACTAGGCCGGCTTGCTTCGTATACAGCTTGCTTCGTATAATCGAAATTCTGAATGATCAACGGCAAAGTACAGAATATCTTATCTTCGCAGCGTCTAATACAATGGTTGAAATTAGACGGGATAAAGATGATGGGAATGAGATACATTTTGCATTTTAGATTCTCTAGTTTAGACCTAGAATCTTTTCGTATCAACTATTACTGCTGTACAATACAATACAGTACTGTACTTCATTCTTTGAAGATTCCGGTGACTTACCTCTTCGTATTTGTCTGACGACCTATTCTAGTGTCATGTTTAACCACTGCTGTAACCCTGATCATTTAAGCAAGCTTTGCATCTTTATGAAATGAACTGAAATTTTCGGCAAAATGAGGTTAACTCTATGCTTGGACCGGACATCTGTTATCAATGCAGATGAAGAGAAAGAGGAATTGAGAACACCACGCTCGTTTTTCAACATGATGTATCGTTTTGACTGAAAATGAAATTGACGAAGGAAGGTTCAAGTGAATATTTTACGAAGAAATCGACGGCCTCAAACTTCCAATATTACGTGTAGCCAAGAACTTTGTTCGGCAACATATTGATTCCTGAATGAGCATAGCTGAAGGATGATTGTATTTTTAGTCTTATCATATATTTCTATTCATGAACAGTTTTGTTTTGTTTTTGCAGGGTTGAGTAAAGCAAGTTCAGAAAATTCCCTTTTCGAGCCGAATAATCAAGTCTCGTCCAGATTTCTCACAAATTCGACTGACCAAACTTTCTACGAATCCGGATCCAAATACCTGAGATCTCAACCAGCCACCGATGCCCAGGTAATGCTCCTTGTTTTTGTTCTTCCTATTCGCTCGAAATTTTGAAGCTACGTTTTTTGAACCTACAGTGGCGAATAACGAAAGACGGAAAACTGGCTTTCACAACTCCCGCCACACAAGAAAGCCCTGAGAAGTCCTGCATGTTGAAAAAGCTTATAGGCGGAACGCAGATGACACCGGACGATTCCGACCTCGTCGCTTTGTGTTCCGGATCATTTGACACCCAGAATGTCGTGGAATCTGAACCGCTGCTTCTTGCGGAAACTGAATGTCCTCTCCTGCTCATGGATTCAGAGCAACCTAATAATACGCAATCGGAAGTCGTGCTTGAAAGTGAAAAGTCTTTCAGTGAGCTTGGAGAGTCTCGTGCACCGGAAGTGCAATCGGAGGCGCACGTGAATGAATCAACTTCTAAACGAAATTTATCCGATGATTCGGATGACGAGGAAGAAATCGGCGCCAGGCCGCGAAAGCAACGCCGATTATTTTCTCTCGACGATGATGAGGAAGAAGAAAACGAACGATCTGTTGAAGTCGACGGACAACGAAACGAAGATTCGGAAGAAGGTGATGATTTTGAGAATGATGAAGAGCTTGACGACGAAGAAGATGAGCAACGTTCCGTGATGTACGATTCGGAGGAGAACGAAATCCCCGAAGAGCGAGTGGAAGAGTACAAGAAGAAAATCCGGTCTGAGTTTTTCGATGCGGAAGCAGCGCTGTCCGGATCTGATGACGGTTCTGGCGACGAGAATGACGAAGGTGACAGTGACGGCGAAGTGCTCCACGATCTCCTTGCCACGGACGATTCCGACGTCCCGTCCACAGCGAAACTCCGCAACCAAATCGCAGCTGTGCAAATGCGACAGATGCTGGACGAAGACGCTCGTCAACTCAGAGTGCTGCAAGAAATCTACCTCGAAGACGGGGATCTTCACTCGGATCGGCAACGCGAACGTCGCTTCCGCTGGAAGAACATTGACGATAATGACGAAAACGCAGTCGGAGTTGATGTCGACGATGATGTAGACGAAGATGAAGACCAGGAAACTGTCGGAACTGTCAGGATAGTTCGTGAGAAGGCCGAAGTAGTTGTGGAGTCGTCAGAGTGGCGCAAGGAGAGATTCAATCGCGAGAAATGGAAAACCGAAGCCTTGCAACTTGAAAATTCTCTGGGCCCGGATCCCGATTTGATATCTTCTGAAGGTTGCAACGGGGACTCGCAAGTTACGATGAGTTCGAAAGCCATGCAGATTATTCAAAAACTCTCTTCGTTCGACGACAACTCGAATAATACAAGTGACGAAAATAAAATAAGCCTCAAAAGACCCAGCAAGAAGAGTTTTTTGACGCATTCGGAAGATGATTTGCAACGGATAGCAAATTTAACCAAATCTGCGGCCACACCCGAGCTCTCCGTTGGCCCTTCGAAACGGGGATCGAATTTTGTGTTCTCCCATGTTAGTCCTGGGGATGAACTGAAGAAGGTTGATAATTTTTCTATTATTTTTTCGAATTAATTCACGCATTTATTAAAATTACTCTTGATAACTTACTAGAATATTCGTTTTTGTTGGTCTAGTTGTGCGTGAATTATCCCTTCTTACTTTTCTGTTGAATATCTCATCAAATTTTAATTTTTTCTCCTTCATTTTTCAAGGCGGCAAAGAAAAAGGAAGGCCCAAGACAAGCAACGAAAGTTGATCGGAGTTTCAGGCGGTTAACGGAAGACAAGAAGCAGTCGAGTATCTTCAAGTATTTCTCATGATCTGGGGTGATTCTAGATGACGTTCCTCAGTTATTTTATTTTGTGCCCTTCGATTTACCACGCGATTATATTCCGACCATTGGTGACATTTGAGTCGATTAAGGTTGGTTGTTTTCAATGATAAAATCTGACAACTTTTTCAACGGAAATAAATTTTTTTCAGTTAGAAGTCTGATCTAGGTGTTCATCGATTCTGGTTTTTTCTTCGGCATTATTAAATTTTTACGTGTCTCCTATTAGTAAGTTGCTCGTGTTCACTGGTTTCCCGAACTGCCTAAAATTTTACGAAGTTCTTGACAATGTAAAAGTGCGTTTCGAAACTTCTTCTTACGTGATGTGAATTTCATACTGATGTGATTCGACGCGTTTTTTTTGGGTGATATTCATGAATTCGTCCTTGAATTTTTGCCATCCACTTCAAACAAGTTTTTCAACGAGCTGTCTATGAATTCATGGAATTGAATATCATCAATTGTCTTCGTGTTTTTTAAATTTTGGCACGCATATTTTGTACAGTTTTCAAGTGATTTTCTGTACCTGTGAAGAGAAAAGAATTACTTCATCAGATTGCAAGTTTCGTGTGACAAACGAACGATTTGCTCGTTTTTCTTTGGCTTTAACTCCGAGGTAATTTTAGTTGGTGCAAATTACTTTCACGCTGATGGAGTCAGAAATTGACCGCTTTTTGGAAACTGTCTCAAGCATGTCCTTGTCAGACGCAGTGAACTTCGTGATATTTGACAATCCGGTGTCGAAAACGTTTGGGAAGATCCTGACTGACGTAAGCGCGTAAAAAAGCGTTAATTTTGTCAGACGCGTAGAATTTTCACGGTCCACTGGTGGAATTTTGAACCCAAAGCAGGGGCTGCTTACGCCAAGATCCGAACCTATGGGGCGCCCACGACGATCACCCGTGCCCATGCAAGCTAGCAATGACTGGCTGAGTCAAGGAAGATTATCGCAAATTCTTGGTGCTTCTGGGAACTGGACACGAGTTGCAGGGCTTTCTGGAGCTCTTGCTGTCATTCTCGGAGCTTATGGCTCACACTGTAAGTTTCACCTGGTTTCCAATATATTTAAAATTGTCATCAAATGAGCGCGTATACAGTTCTATAAATATTTCATTTGTGATTAACTCTTAAATTATAATCTATATTTTCAACTGGACCGTGCAAATTAAGGTTATGTTTATGTTTATCTCCAATAACGTTTGTGATCGTCTGAGAAAATCTATTTTGCGTCTTACTGCATTTGTAAAATAGGTCAGTCTAAAAATTGGGAGAGTGCATCCAACTGTGAAGTATCTTCCATGAACGGATCAGTTGTTAATTCGTGCCTGGAATCAGACAAAGTTAGTCCCAAGATATTGTGCTGTACAATATTTTCGACTTTTTACCCATTGTCATCGAAACCATGATTTCCCGAGCTGTTGCATGTTTGTCGCCTGGATTTGGTCGCATATTTGGCAATTTATCTTCGGTTGGTTCAAGGAGTATTATGCGAAATTCTTCTCTGTCTGCTCCCAAGCAGTCTTTCAATATGTAAATTATTTAGGTGTCGCCTATGTGCTACACTAGCATTCTATTTTTATTATGGGTTCGTCTGTCAGCTTGAATTTTTATTGGTGCTATAGTTCTTTCATGGTTAAAAGATTGGGGAGACATCTGTCTGACTTTCTCTGATGCGAATCCAAGCGTTGAAATGAAAAAAAAAAAAAACTGCTAAAATTGCATGAAATGTAACAAGGTGCTCATTTTGATACTTCTTTTTCTGTGCATTTGCAGCACCGGCATTGAAGCAGGTTTCTCCTGAAAAACGCGCTGTTTTTGAGACTGCAAACCGCTATCACTTCTTTCACTCTATCGCCTTGCTTGGAGTTCCTTTATGTCGTCGGCCGATGATAGTAAGTTATTTTGTCTTCATTGTATTTTGGAAAAATAAGGCAATTCCTGATTATCTGATGGATCACATTGATCCAAAAGTTGTATGTGCAAAAATGGACAAACATGGTGTTGTCCAAAACGGCACTGCGCAGTGAGAATTTTTATGGAACATGAACATTTTTTGTACTGTACTGAATTTGAAATCTTAAAGTTGTGTATCACACATTTCCTAATGTACAGACATGCTTGGAAACTGATTTAGAACATTCGCTGTAGTATTGGTGAAGTATCACCGAAAGTGAAACTCTACTTGTGCACTGAGCGCTGGGCACTCTTCGTAGATAGTGCTTCCGACTTCCCGAAAAGGCACTGTATTCACTCGAATACCATGTTCACTTTCAATAAATAGAAGCGAAAAATGAGGTGCGCGTTACATTCTGGTACAAAAGGTCAGGTGAAATGTTTAAAAATTGGAGAAGTTTCTCCTCACTGCTAATTTTTTCAGAGTATTCTATTTGAATGATACTATAAGTTGTATAAAAAATATCCCTATTGAATTCAATTCTTAGGTGGGCTTGAATTCAGATTTTAAACCAGAACAGTTTTCCGATTAGGAATTTTTAAGACTGAAAACCAAGGTGCGTCTTTTATTTGGGGATAACAGTTGTACCAATATTTTACCTAAAAATCTAAGGCGCGCGTCTTATTCGAGGGTGTCGTCAAGTTAATATGGTACAGGTACTGTATTCTAATGATGAATTTGATGACCTTGAGAGTGTGTAAATTGGGATTAAAACACTAACCAAGTACATTCTTTGTCTTTTCAGACCGGATCGCTCATGTTTGCAGGAATGCTCATTTTCAGTGGCTCTTGCTACGGATATGCATTAACCAATTATCAAGACGCTCGTCGTGTGACTCCATTCGGCGGTATTCTCTTGATCGTTTCTTGGCTTTCGATGATTGTGTAATCTTATTTAGTCCAGTTGTAAAGCTTTGTAGTTGCATAGGTTTGTCTGGGAAGCAAAATAATTTGTGATGGTTCCTAATTCGGTGGGGGTTTCATTCGCTCGCCGCGATTTTTTCGGAATCTCCGGCTATCTCTCTATTGATCATTTTGCCGATTGTTCCAGAATTTGTTGCGTCCGGATAATGAGTTCGGACGCGGTGATTGCCACGAACGATGACGCGACGATATGCAAACGCAGTGCTGTGGATATGGGGTACTGGAAAGACGAAGCCCTGGCTAGTCTCGTGTTGTCGAAAACGCGAAAAACCCCCGAGATCAACCGCGGTTACTTCTCGCGAGTTGCCTCCATTTATCGGTTAGTGGAGAAATTCTTGCGGATGAGTGGCAAGTGCCAAATCGTGAATTTGGGAGCCGGCTTCGACACGCTGTTTTGGCGCCTGAAAGCCGACGGGCATCATTTGGATTGTTATGTCGAGATCGACGTGTCGCCCGTGACGAGCAAGAAAATTGCCAAAATACGGAATTCGAAGGCATTGTTGACTGGCATTGTGAGCGGAGAGTCTGGAGATGACATTGAGTTCAATGTGTCCGACCTCCATTCTCAACATTTCCATATCGTCAGCGCTGATTTGTCGAACACTCTACAGGTTAGTCGATTTAAAAAAAAATTCAGATTAATTCGGTCATTTTCCTTCGTTACGCTCGTACAAAACTTGAAATTTTTTGCTTGAAACTGCGCGTCCTCCGCGTGGGATTTGACTTCTAGGAATTTAAATGAGCGATCATTCATGTAACGTAAACCCTCGAACTGGAATTTGGCTTCTTTCCGATCTGAAAATTATTCTTGTAGAAATACTGTATTGAATGCCACAGAAGGACATTTTTTACCTTCAATTTATACAATTATTCACCCACTTCTTTAGATAGACTTGGATGTATTCTTCTTACGAAAGCAAAAATATTTTGAAAAACTGTACAGAACCTTTATACTGTACTGTACTATAATTCAGACGAAAGACTGATTCCAGGATGACGGGCAGTGAAATCGGTCGTTCACGCTTTTGTTACAAACCTTGTTGTGAAGAACTGTCCGGAACATGATTTGGAAGAATACAATCAAAGATTTCGCGTACCGTATTCCTTCTTCGAATTTGAAAGAACGAGTTTCAAGCTTGGTTCTTTTGGTGGAAATTATAACGCTTTCTTATGGGTCTACGTGGAGGAGCGTCCAGCTTATCAGATTATGATCATGATATACAATACAGTATTCCGGATGTTTTCATTATCCGGAAAATCAATGGAAAGACTCAAATCGGGTGTTGTATTTATTAAAAATAAAGTAAATTAAACGATTAGTCAGTTGAGATTCAAATCATGGATGTCCTTCGAATTAAATATAGGATTACCAATAGGAACTCTTTTTGTGAAATTTTGAAATCGAGTTCATCGCAAACCGAAGTTCATTTATAACTCGGGGAACATTTTTCACGAGTTTGCACTGCGTGGAAAGACCCGATCATTGCAGTTTGTATGGGACTCTTGGACGTCTCACTTTTTCATTTTTGAAATTCACAGGTGGAAGCCAAGCTGAAGAAATGTGGTGTGAATTACGGATTGCCAACGTTGTTCCTGTCAGAATGTGTTCTCGTGTATTTGGATACTCCTAGCTCTGATTCCCTATTGAAGTGGATAACGTCATCTTTCGAATCCTGTTTCTTCGTCAACTACGAACAAGTAAACCTCGACGACAAATTCGGGGCAGTGATGGTGCGGAATTTGCATAGCTGTGGCTGCGTACTCGCCGGAATAGACAGCTGTAAAGACAAGCCGTCTCAAACACTACGGTTTCTGAACTCCGGTTGTACAGGGGCCCATATTTGGACCCTGAACGAAGTTTACGATGGCTTGCCTAGAGAGGACATTGAGCGGATCGAGCGTCTAGAGTTTTTAGATGAAAAGGAGCTGTTGGTACAGCTGTTGGAGCATTATTGTTTGTGCACTGCGTGGAAAGACCCGAAAAAATTTGGATTCGACGAGATCGATTTTAAGTAGTTGTCTCGAGCGTTCTGAGATGTCACCTGCTTTTATGTGCTCTTTATTGGCAACCTGAAGGTATTTCTCCCGGATAACTGCCGAGTTTTGTCTGTCTTGAAGCTCAATTTGCTCAAAAGCTTTTTTAGAAATTGATGCTTCGATGTGGAGAAGTATTAACGCCAAATGTATGTTGACCACCTGTGAGATTTCTGTAATTGAGGATTAATTTGAAAGCTGACTATAATGGAAAACAAATTTTTGCTTTATTCCAGCTTTATCCGTGTTCCGCAGCTGTTCAAGCGAAGTTCAGATTATGGAGATGGAAGTTTTGTCTTTTTTTTTGAGTTTCGGCGATTGAATTCAGGTTTGACGGGGCCATCACCTCGGTTGCCAAAAGAGTGAATCAATTAAATTCGGGTGTGACTCAGCTTGAAGAATGTCAGGAACGCTCTGCGTTTTTAAAATTCAATTTTGTCAGTGCATACCCGTGTGTGATCTGCATTCAGTTGGGGGCTCATGGCCAACCATTGATGTGTTTCCGGGGGTTAACCGATTAATTGGTTGATTCCTGTCAAATGATTTGTTAATCCCTGCACCTGTTTTCGTATTTTTCGCTCTAGAAAAATTTCAAGGATTTTCCTGCAATTGTCTTTCTTTTTCTTCTGAGCATTCAACGTTTTAACCACGGCATTCCGCTTTCCAGAAAGTGCATATTCTGTGAAGACGATGGGATCCGATAGTGATTCTTCGGATTCTGGTAGTGATAATGATTCTTCATCGTCGTCGTCCAGTTCGGATGCTCCTGCTCACAGGTTCGCACCATATTTTTGAAAATTTCCGGGTGATGGGATGAGCAATGTTTAGAATTTAATCACTGTGATTCAAAGTTCCTTAATTTTCTCCGTTGTATCAACATTCATGTTAGCAAACGTTGAGCACATGTAAACTGCTGTTTTCTAAAACTGAGTTTGCGTGTACCTATTCAATTTAGGCCCTTCTCTGCTTAAAATACGCGATTAATCCAGCTTCTGTGCATATTATACGTATTTGTATGATGTATTGCGTGATAATGAGCTTTTTCTTCCCATTTATAGCCCAAGTGGGGACGAGGGATCTCCTGAGAAGGACGATGTGAACTCCGCTGGGGAAGGTGAGATTTCCCTGATGTATTCATTTCTCTGAAGGCGTCTATTTTACAGTTTTCTGGGTTATTCCACGCGCAACAAGACCCACCGGAACGTAAACGTAGTACTGTACTCGCACCATATTCCGGGAGGCTGTGAACACACGAACTTGATTTTCATGTCAAAGGGAGCCATGTGAAAGATAGGGGAAAGCCTGGCAAAATCTGAAGAAAAACGAGTATTCGGTGCTTTGGAAAGAAAAAAAGTTGAGCCTTTTACGAGGCAAGCTCCCCGGACTTTCATCAACTACCAATCCTTCAGGCAGGAGTAATTTTCTTAAGTATGCCGAAGTTCCTTCCTCTCGTGTCTACGAAGAAAAGCCGATTTTATTGGTATGCGAATAATGTCCTCTCATTTCTGAGGGATCAGCCTAATGTCGCTGAGCACAAAAGCATCATAAAAAATTTCCCTTTTCTTTCCCGAAAGCTGAAGGCTGCTGGTCGTCCGGATAATGCCAAGAATTTTTTCCCTTCTTAAACTTGGTCCCAAATTCCCTTTACGCTTGTTTCATGGTTGAAATGCGTAAATGGATTTTTGATAGCCGGTATAAAATTTCAAGTTTTTGTGGGTCTAGTAGCGCTTTTAACTCCATCTTTTGAGAAAATTTTCTGTGTTACGAGTTGAGGGTATTGACTCACGTATTTGGCTTCGTGTCCTCGTTCACGTGCATTTAGGTGATGACGGTGAATCTTCTTCGAGATTAATGGAAACTCAAGACGTGTCCATGTCCCAGTTGGAGAACAGTCGAAATCCAGAATCTGCTCAAGCAGATGATTCTTCCGCGGTGTTCTTGGCTACCCAGGATGTGTCACTTTCCCAGATCACCGGAGTAGATGCATCTGAATCCGAGCTGAACCGTGATGAGTCCCATTCAGAAATCAACAGTACTCAGGACGTTTCCGTGTCACAGTTGTTAGCAACTGACCATGATGATGTACCTATGACGCAAGACGAGTCTATGACGCAAGTGTTGGCAGTTGAAAAACGAAAGGATGACGTCGAAATGACTCAAGATGTTTCCATGTCTCAGTTGCCCCACGATTCGTCTACCGTAAGTCAATTTTGTATTTCATCTCGCCAAATCCTAAAGCACAAGCGTTTTTATCTCTCCGGATTTCGATTCAATCATGGGATTTACGGGTGACGACGGTTTTTGTTGCTTACCGAAACCCCGAATCATTATTATTTCATTTTTATAAATTTTAATATAGCGTGACGTGGTTTATCCGAACGTCTTCGTGAATGTACGGTAAGAATTATAATGACTGACCTTCCAATTCCTTCTCGATTTGCAATTCTCCGCACCCGCACGCAATCCATGACCTTATAAGGCATATTTGAATGTCGCAATTTGGTGCCACGATCTTCTGAAAATTTTCCGAAATACTGAACGCCCTATTTTTTTAAGGAAATTAATGAAGGAGATTCACAACTCGCCACACAAGATACGTCGTTGGAAGACTCACATGCTGTAAATGAGCCGAAATCTCCCAAATCAAAGTCTGGATCCGATGCCGACAGCGAGAGTGATTCTGGGAAGTCTGGATCGGATGACGGGGATTCAGAAAAGAAGAAGAAATTGGTGAAAAAGCGAGTTCGTAGAGGGATTCTAGATTCAGACGACGACGAAGAAAATACTGAACTGTCGCCTACGAAACATCGGAAATCAAGATCAAGGTTATTTTTATTAATTTTATTTTTACTCATCAAAGAATTCAAAATGAATTAATTTTTAGAAATCTTCGCACGCCATCTTGGCTCAGTCGTTTTAACGTCAATCCCTCAACTAGTTTTTGAATGTCTTGCAGATGTCGCCTCAATCTCTAACCGTACCAATAGGCATCCAACGAAAACTTGATGAACCAAATCTGAAGTAACGTGATTGGATCCTATGCTGTACTGTCCATATGAGCTCAGATCTAAGGGGGCGTAGTGAAATTTGGGCAACACCTGTACAATGAAAATTAAAATTGCAATTTGAGGGTCGTTCGGCGTCGAAAACATTTTTTTTTAGTTCGATCAAACAACTTTTGCATCGTTTCTTCAGGTCAAATTCTGCAGCATCGTCCGGATCGGACAGTCCTGTGAAGACAAAGAAACAGAAAAAGAAGCAGCTTGGTTCCGACTCGTCTGGGTCAGAGAGTCCCAAGAAGTCTTCGAAGAAGAAGCCCGGTTCCAATTCTTCCGGATCAGATAGCCCCAAAAAAACAAAGAAGCAGAAGTTGAATTCCGATTCGTCCGGATCAGATAGTCCGAAGAAGACGAAGAAGCTAAAGAAGAAGCATGGTTCTGATTCAGGCTCCGCATCGAGCTCAGATTCTGATAGCAAGAAATCCAGTGGATCCGACGTCGGAAGAAAAGTGGGTAAAAAATCCGACTCCGATTCGGAGGTTGTGTCGAAACGCGCGAAGAGAAGCGGCTCGAGTTCTGGCTCTGACGTCGGCAAGAGTCGCCGCAAAAGTCGCAAGTCTTCCGGAAGTGGTTCTGATTCATCTGTAGGCAAGAAGAAAGCGTCAAAAAGCTCGGGTTCAGAATCCGACGTTGGACCGAAAAGAAAGAAGGCGCAGAGATCAGGTTCAAGTTCTGGTTCGGAAGTTGAAAATCGAAAGAAAAAATCGAAGAGGTCAAAATCGAGCTCTGGTTCCGAATCGGGATCAGGAGTGAGGGGACGACGATCTGGCTCAAGTTCTGGATCAGGTTCTGACAACGAAGAAGGCAAAGAAAAAGCAAATGAGGAACCTGCGGTTGTGGCGGAAGCTGCCGAGAAACAAGTCGTTTCTTCAAGCGATGATGAGAAAAATCGCCCTGACGATGATGATCGGTGAGCGAACATGTCATGATTTTCGTGGATTTTGAACTTGACCAAGTATATTTCCCATTTTCGATGCAGTAATTCTGGAGTTTCCGATTTTGATCTGATGATGATGAAGAAAAAGGCGGAACGATTGACTAGTCGGCGGCGCAAGCGAGGCACGGACATAATTTCTGATGCTGATGACCTAATCGCCCAGCTCATAAACGACATGCGTGATGCAGCTTTGGTATGTGCTGAAATCTTTTCGCGGCCCAAAATTCCACGCATGGCGAGAAAAATAAAGATTAAGGTTTTGCAAGCCTCGATTGATGCGGAACATCTTACGCTGTGATGGAACCGATTATTGACTCGATAAATGAAGTCAATTGGTTATTGAATCCTTGAGCGAGCTCTTTGGAAAGATTCATCGCAGCTCGTTTCCGACGAGAAGACGGGTTATATTTCTAAATTTCTGATAATGTATGAGGTGTTGACAATTCACGGCACTGTTCAGCGATGCGTTAATAGTTCAAACGGTCTTGACTCCCCTTCAATATACAGTATCACAATTTTGATTTTTTCAATGTGATTAGATGTCGCTTTCAGTCACAACGGAAATTTAATTTTACCCTGAAACGTCCCGACGTCCAGACATGAACATAGCTTATAGAATGACGCGAAAAGAGCCTTTAGAAGTATTTCAATGTTTCAAGCAGTTCCTCTTTCAACTTATTGACACATTAATCGCAAATTTCGATTCACTTCTGCGTGTGTTCCTCTTTAGATACGATCACATTGAGAATTATGATCTCTCCACTGCAAATGACCTTTTTGACACCGTGTTAAAATCAAGCCTATCTTAATAAGGTATTGTGCTGAGCCCTTGTTTGATTCGATTTTGTTTTCCCTTTCCAACCTACCTTATTTTGTTTTATCCAAGTTATCAGTTTCTTTTACTTCACCCCAAGATCAATGAAATGATTCTTTTGCAGGAGGATCGGGAACTTTTCAATGCGAAACAGCCCGCGATCAAGAAGTTGACACTTTTGCCGTACGCGCATAAGATGCTGAATAAGGCCGATCTGCAAATGGCGTTTTTGGATTCTAATGTGCTCAGCGTGTTCTGTGACTGGCTTGCACCGATGCCTGATAAGTCGTTGCCGGCTCAAAAAATTCGTTCTACTCTTCTCACGCTTCTTCGCAACGTAAGCAATTGAATTTACTACGTACTGTATTTATGTCGAAATTCAAGATTTTGGATGGCTTTGTGATATTCTGACTAAAATCCAGTAGAACTTGGATATGTTTTCTCACAGATCAGAAAATTGTTACAAGCTGGGTAACCAACAAAATTTCCAAACGCTCGTCGCTATTGGAGGAAATTAGAATGTAGCCTTGAGAAAAATTTCGAGAGCGCTTCTTTTATGTAATGTGCATCGAAGAAAAATTCTCAAATCAACTATCAAGAGTACAAACGCAACAAATATTGGAACAGTAAGGACTCGAACGTTAACCGCTCCCAACGCGATCTTTTCTGGATTGCATAAACTTGAATTGTATTATCGAGTATTAGAATAGTGAGTTACGGAAGATTTCCCTTAGTTCGACTTGGTTTAATGATTTGACTTTGGCTCACTTGTAGTTTCGGGCCCTTTCGTAGAGCCACTAGTCGCAGTTGTAAAAAAGCATTTGAAAGCTTTTGTACTATTTTTATGAAGTATTTAAATTGTTGCCTTCGCTCTTCGCAGTTTCCATCACCGGACAAACACACCTTGAAGACCAGTGGAGTCGGCAGGGCTGTGATGTATCTTTACAAGCACCCGAAAGAAACGAAGGAAAACAGAGCAATGGCTGGAAAAATCATCGCCGAATGGGCCCGACCGTTATTCAACAACACAACGAATTTGAAAGGTTTGTGAAGTGACGGAAATCTTATTCAATCACAATAGTGTAATTAATCAATCTATTGATATCCGTAGCCATGTCCAAAGAAGAACGGGAAGCCAGAGACCAAGATCAGTTGCCTTATGCGAAGCGGCGAAGGACTGATGGAAGTGATGAAGAAGAAGAAGCGCCGAAGGTACCCAAGAAGAGCAGCAGAGAGGGTCGAAATTTGGAGACGCAAGACGACGAGAACAAGTAAAAACTGCATTCTTGTATTTCCTGCCTTAGTTTTGAGATCCGTGGTGTTCGAAAAAAAAAATTATGATTAAACTTTTTTGCGTTTGTCAGACCGAGGCGGCCTGGGGATCCTGGCTGGATCAGCCGTGCGAGAGTACCGATGCCTTCGACAAAGGATTACGTTAATAGGCCGAAGTGGAGCAGTGAGATTGACATGTCCAGGGTGAGTCTTGAAAAATAATTGAAACCATTTTTCAGTTCAGAGATTGACGCGGGAATCTTTCTTCTGGCTCGATGAGATGAACCGCGACTCAAAAATCCCGTAGGCCCGAAAATGTCACGGAATACAAAAATCCCGTTACATGAATTCATGCATCGGAAAGCCCCTTTTTTGGTCACTAAAAAGGCGATGGTTTGTAGGCAAATTCTGAATTATTGAACAAGTACTGTACAGTATAAATGAAAATCCAAATACAGAAATGTCGTAATTAAAGCTCGTAAATCACCAATTTGTGAAAGATTGCCCGTGCGGTTTCCTTTTGAACCATTTTGAAGGTTCAGAGTTTCTCAAGAGCCTGAGAAATATGTAGCCATCATCTGGAGCTTTAATATCTGCATTTGCTCTGAATATAAATAATACTTTTCTACAGATGTTCGTACTTAGCGGGATTTTCGTACGCCGCGAGATTTTTGGGCCGCCGGATTTTCTCCAGTACCCCATTCTGTTATGAAGTGCTAAGTGTTCATTTAATAGATGCATTAGTGATTCTCATTTCAACAAAATTAAAAAACGAATCGACTGGGGATCTGATTGATCCGATGTGTCACAGAATAAATCCAGGTTTCTGAAACCTTGATTCGTAATTTACTTCTCCAATTTTGATTCTTCATGGAAGCGATTTTGGTATGTTTCACATCTTTACTTCGCTGACTGCTTTCAAATTTGTCGGCTAAAATTGTGATTCTTTCGTGAAAAATGTTGTTCATGTGTTGTTTTTTTTTTTCTGGTGGCGTGCAATCATGACAGTATTTTGTTTCGGAAGATAACATTGAATTATAATGAGAAAAAATGGTTCGAATTCCAGCAACAATCTGGAGGTTCTAAGAAGGATTCGAGATACGATCGACAGATGAAGAAATTCTTGGAGAAGAAGCGCTCGAAAAAGTCGTTGCAAGCCGTGCAGATTTCCATCGAAGGTCGGAAAATGGCGCTTTGACGCTTCTCACCCACGTCGAAATGTGTGAAAGCTAGGAAAGCATTTTTGAAAGATTTGATTTTAATCATAAAATTACAAGTGATGCAAAAAACTTTTCGGGCGATGTTTTGAGGTTTTCTTCTTGTCACGAGATCCGTTCTGTCTCTCGGAAGTGTATGTTTTTTTTGTTGTTGTGGCATCGGTCGACTATCGGATTTTTCTCGGTTGATAACCGAATATTGTGCGTTGAAACGAATGATGCCTTCGTTCGGCGTTTTGATTGATGTTCTCCGCGGAGTGTGCTGATATTAGCAAAAAGTTCCTCGAATTCGAATATTCAACTCGAGAACGATTTCCTAGATATGATCGGATCACGAGAATGATGAAAGGACAACTTTTCGCAGGTTTTCCAAAAAAACTCCCGATTCAATTTTCGTGACGGCATTGTTTTTATTATTCGGTTTCGGTGAAGTGCGATTAGCTAAAACATGCCGCGAGCTACGAGGTCGTCTGCGAGAACATCTGCGAAAAAGTCGCAGCCAAAAGAGGAGGTTGTGAAGGAACCTACGCCGGTCCAATCGGATGCTTCAGGTGCGTGCTCTTAGAAATTATTGAGGGGTCTGTGATGCTTGCTGTACAGTAGTTATCTGCTGTATTCGAGGTACGTTATTGGTATAACTAATAGAGAAGGCCCGTTTTTCTCGAAGAATAACCCAGATAGCGAGTATTATTTCGGTAAGCGGACGTAACGTTTGCAAGCGCGCGTTGAAACAAATTCTTCCGGATCGTAAGTCTGGGCTGAGTTTGAACATTCTTCATACCAGACAACTGAGACTTCTATAAACCGTGTTGATTTGTACATTCGAACTTCAAGGGACCAGCAAAACAATTCCAGTTACGGAGGTTTCGAATTAAGGAGACGAGCAGTTTTCTTGGGGAAAAGAGAAAAAAATTACAGTAAACTTTAATCGGTGATATTCTGGCCGTAAATCGCTTTTTAATTGAATTGACAGGATGCTTAAATTGAAGGCAAGGGTTTAATTGCCGAATTAGTCCTTCACTTCCTTTCAAACTGCATCTATTTACATTTTTTCATCTATTTTTATCTTTCTTATGTCAATGAAATAATAGCTTAGAAGGCCGAGAAAAAATTCGAGGGGGATATCCTTAGAGTTACGAACTCTACTAGAAATTGCCGTGCATCAAAGTTTTGAAGGCACGAAAGAAAAAATGCAACGTTTTATTATTTAAAAAATAATTTAATGTATCACTCGTTCGAAGATGCTGACGAAACGATGCAGGATACGTCAGCGGAGACGAACGGCGTTCAAGAAACGACCGAGAATGTGGATCAGGCGATGAAGGAAGAGCAACCCGCAGCTGAAGTCGAACCCAGTTCAGAGAAGATGGAAGACGATCCTATGACTGAAGAAAATACCGAAGTCGAGAAGACAGATGGGAAGGAAAGCAATAAAAAGGACAAAGAAGATGAAAAAGAGAAGAAGCGAGTAGAGAAAGAGAAAGAGAAAAAGCAAGAGGAGAAAGAGAAGGAGAAAAAGCAAGAGGAGAAAGAGAAAGAGAAAAAGCAAGAGGAGAAAGAGAAAGATAAAAAGCAAGAGGAGAAAGAGAAAAGGCAAGAGGATAAAGAGAAAAAGCAAGATGAGAAAGAGAAAAAGCAAGACGAAAAAGAAAAGAAACGAGAGGAAAAAGAAAAGAAACGCGAGGAGAAAGAGAAGAAACAAGATGAGAATGTGGAGAAACAAGATGTGAAAGAAGAGAAGCAAGATGACCCAATGGAAAAGGAGGAAGAGAAGAAGGACGAAGAACCTGAAGTTTTCATTGATCAGGACAGACGTTCCTTGATGAAGATGCCGACCAAGTTTCACCCAAAACTGCCCGAACTCGAGAAATATTGGAAGCCTGCCAAGGATGACCCTACGGATTTCACCGGCTGGACTTATTTGCTGCAATACGTTGATCAAGGGGTAAAGTCATTTGTCATGAATATTCTTCTTGAGCATCTTTCATAACTTGCCTAAGAATTTTTCAAGAACACTTTTTCCGTCAGTTTCAGCATCTATTCTTCTTTTTTTTCCTCGTCTGTGATCGTGTTGAAGTTTTCAATGAATGTCTTTCGTAATGAAACTGTTCTCTATTTTTTTCCTTCGTTTTACAGGAAGAAGTTGACGCCGCAGTGGAAGTATATGATTCATTTTTGGAGCGCTATCCGTTTTGCTATGGGTACTGGAAAAAGTACGCTGATTACTTGAAGAAGCGCTCAACTGCAGAAGAAGCAGATAAGGTGAATGATCTCTGAAGCGATTCTTCTTGAGTGTTCTCACAGAAAAGGCCGATTTTCATGGTCTAGCGCAGTGCTCCCCAACCATTTTGTGCCCGCAGAGCAGCAAATTTCCATACAATTTTTTGCTAAACGGGGCAAATTTCCATACAATTTTCTGTGGACCAGCAAAGTCTCATGTAATCTTTTGCACTCAAAAAAGTTTTCTTTGAAAAAGAATGTTCCATTGTGTAGGAAGGTATTTAAAAGTTTCTGCTTTTTTGCAAAAACTAAGTTGAGAACCAATGAAGCAGCTATTGAAATTTCCTCAAAAAATTAGAAACGTAGGACTCTAGAAAGGTTTCTTCGGAAAAAATATCAATTATGTATTTCAGTGGATGAGAATTTGTTTGAAGTATTATCAGAATAAAATCCAACTTTTTATGTTTTATAAGACAATTCGCATTCCTTTTCCGGAATTTTGGAGACTTTAATGCTACTTTTGATCATTTTATTATGCGGAAGAAAATTTCCCACGGACTGGCAAAAAATTTTTGCGCACAAGCGCTTGTCTGCGGACCAGGGGTTCGTAACACGGGTCTAGCATTTGCATCCGAGATTTTCACGGGAACCCGAGGTCTTACTTTTTTGAATATCTGGATTGTTGAACAGGTGTCGCATGAATGGTTAATTTTAATGATCGATGCTGACGAATAGTTTTAATCAGTCCTCGTATCCCTTTAATTAATCGAGGCTCGTTCCGGTTGAAGGTATTTGAAAGAGGGCTCCAAGCCATCGAGCTGAGCGTGGACTTGTGGATTCATTACGTGACTTACGTGAAATCCAGTTGCGAGGACCACGCCGACGGTGAGGACCGAATCCGCGTGGCCTTCGAGCGAGCCGTCTCCTCCTGCGGACTGGAGTTCAGGTGAAACGATTTTCCGACTCACTCCCACGCCCGCGGCTCCATTTCCTTCTTTGCATTCATTTCATTATTCATTTATTTGGAATTTTTTGAATTCGACCCGGGTCGCTTGTTTTCAATTTTGCTGGTGTTTCGGGAGCAGCACCAGCCGCTTCTCCCGCACCGGCCCCGCTAAAGCAACCGTCTCTTTCAGGCGTGCGCCCGATGAAAGTTGGCAATGGGAAGTTAGGGAAAAACCGCGGCCCGGTCAAGAAAGCTTAGTGTAGTTAGGCTACTCATTCTGGTGAGGTTTAAACAAAAATTTGGTTTGGTGCGAATTCCGTTATTTTGTTGCCTCGAATTCCGATCACGAATTTTTCTGTAACTCGGAAGAAAACCGTAGGCGACTCGCAGTGAGTTGGCTCTTTGCCACACTACCGCCCGGTTCTTCACTCGTATCCGACATGTTCCTGCGTATGTGGCGATGTTTGTGAGGTTTGGCGAACTTCCATTTTGCTTAAATTCTTGTCGACCCGCGCGCCGTTTTTATTCCGCCTCTCGCCATCCACTCCTTCTTTCACGCCTCGCTTTCACGTCATTCACCCGCATTAATTTGTTCCCCCTCGATAATGTAATTGATATGTTCATTGCTCCAGGAATAGCTTGGAATTGAAGGTTGAGGCTGATGGCGTCGGCGTGAAAGAGAGAGAGAGATGGACGAGATCGCGTGAATTATTTGATAGGTGTTGGTATGCATTGTGGGACTGGGTTGACGGTTTGTCTTTTTATTGTTTTCATTACGTTCGTCTTTCGTGGCGTCGAACGAAATCAGGTCGAACAAGCTATGGGACATGTTCATCAAGTGGGAAGGGGAGAAGAGCCCGAGGAATGTGATGAAGTTGTACGATCGTCTCTTGCTCATCCCGACGGCGCAGTACACCACTCTTATGCAATCGTAAGTACGCATGCGTTGCTTCCGGGAAATACAGGAAATTTTCGAGGATTGAGGAGTATGAAACGAACCAAATTTAGCTCATTTTTCTTTGAAGCCACCCGCACCCGTCGTTTTAATTACTGAATTTGTTTGCAATGCATTGCTGCCGCAATGGCAACCTCATCTGGAGACTAACACTCTGCATGACCCATGAAAAAGCTGATCTGTTGGTGTAGACATCGGGAATTTCTTACTGCAAGCGTCTGCAACTCTCTGATTCTCGTTGCCTCTGTATAGATGTCGCCCGAAATTTGTTACTCTTTCCGCGTCTCAAATTAAGTTACAACGGTTGAACGTCAATACCACGAACCTCTCGAAGTCGAATACCACCCTACATCAAATTTGTTCCAAGTCCCTGACTGAATTTTCGTTTGCAGGATGCCCTAAAAACCTCCCGAACTTGATAATTCGATTTTCATGGAGGACTTCTGTCTATTATTTTATTTGCAGAGGGGAGGGAGAAACAATAAAAGTATCAATGTGCTCTGGAAAGAAATAAGACTACTTTAATTGGGCAATGAACGCTTGCCTCCAAGTTCAGCATCCTGTCAACGCTTTTAAGAAGCAATTTTGAAGGCCTAGAATATCACCAATTGAAATTTTGTGTAATTCTTTCCCTCACAAAAATGCTTGTTTCCTTAATTCGATTTTTTTTGCTGGTCCCTTGAAGTTCAACTGCATTTTCAGTAACGATGCTTGACATTCAGAGACGTGGGGTCACGTCAATCTGTTTCAGTTTCTGAGCGTGTGTTCTCTAAATTCAATTCTTTTTTGTTTTTGATGCAGATTCAAAGAGTTTGTCAACGATAATAATCCCAAGAACTTCTTGGATGTCGATGAATTTATCGGATTCCGAACGGAAGTTGTCAAAGAGCTGAGAGCAGCTCAAGGATTGGATCCGGAAGTTCCGTCCGCTACCGCCGGAGATACGCCTCCGGGTGATGACGCTCCGCCAGGCGATCTTGTAAAAGAAGAAGCTGTAAGTCCAGATAACTTCAAATTAAAACTTATTGAGACTAACCTGCGATCTTTGCCTCATTTCGGACATTATTTCATTATTTTTGTGCCGTATGACGGAGGAATGATTCGGCGATGTTTTCGTTGTGCAGGCGTCCGACGAGGAAACAAAGGGCATCAGAGAAAAACTGATTGCGAATCGCGCAAAAGTGTTTGAAAAACTGGAAACTGAGGTCAAAAAGCGACTCCATTTCGAGGAAGCGGTGAGTTTTGTTTGTTGAAATGAATTTTATGAAGCATATATCATGATGTGTACAGATTGTCGTCAGCTGTTGGGATTTTTTATGCTTTTGAATGCTGGAAAAGTTTTCGGAACAGACATTATTTCGCGTTTTATTGTTCGAACGTCGTTCAGGTTTTTGTATAGTTACCTTAAACGTAAGATAGTTGTAATACCGTATGTATTTCTTTCGCAAAATTTGAAAGTTTCTGGGTTTGATCCGATTCATTTTTAAATCCCTGTTGGTGTTCCTTAAGCTTGTGGGTGGTAGTCGGTTTATTGATTTTTAATTTCAACAATTCAATCTGAAGTTATTTTACCTTTTATGTTACAGCTGAAGCGACCGTATTTCCATGTCAAACCCTTGGAAAAAGGTCAACTGAAAACCTGGAGAGAGTATCTCGATTTCGAAATCAAGGAAGGAAACGCGGATCGAATTCGTGTTCTATTTGAGCGTTGTTTCATCGCTTGCGCTTTGTATGAAGAATTCTGGCTCAAGGTTTGTCCTTTTCTTCTGTTTTTCTTTGTCTCTTCTTCGAGTATTATTCACGATCATAATCTTAATTTTGTCCCACAGTACATCGATTATTTGCGATCGCAAAAGGCTGCCGACGATGTTGTGTCCGCTGTGTTCGAGCGCACTTGTCGCGTGCATTTGAAGCGGAAATTGAGCATCAATCTTCAATGGTCTCTGTTCGAAGAAACGACTGGTGAGTGAATTTTGTGTTCAAGATGTGAATTTGCGCATGGAGTATTTTTTTTTTTACCGAACCTTCTCGAATAATTTTTATTCCCGTGTTCAGTGATTACAGACGAACCCATATCCGAATTTTGACATATTGTTGCGACGGAGAAATTTTCTATAGCTTGATGTATCAAATTATACCTGTAATAAAAGAGTGTGTTGTATTTTGAATTTCAACTACTTTTGCAACGTCAACTGTGACGGCTGTGGGTCTTTGTACGGAAGGATCCTTCTCTTGAAAAGAAGGCGGAAAACAAATTTTTTTAAACCGTTTCCCGGAATTTTTTTTTTGCCCAACTGTCCTTTCCTGTCAAAGCTAAATTCTTTCAGTGTGATACAGCGGAGAAATTTATGTTTTGTGAGATTACTCCTGCCACTCCGCAAGGAAAGTAAGAAAGAATTTTGGAACGTAATTTTCCAGGGAGTATAAATAGGATTCGGTAAATATTCATGCATTCTGTCTGTTATGTTTTCCAATTGATTGAAATGCACATGTTGCCCCTACAAAATTCCAAATCGTTTTTGTGGAATGAATGTGTGGACGCAAAACATTTTCCAGTCCTATGAGAGCTGATCAACTGTTGGAGGTTTTGGCGTGGGAATGAATGTAATGCGCATACTTGAATTCTATCCAATTGCTGCCGCACCAACTGCAAGTGACGTCTAGCCCACTTCAAACTGATTATTTGGAATCAAAAGTCCAGAATGAACTCGCCTTTTTTTTCAGGCAATTTTGATAAAGCCATGGAAGTGCTTGACCATTTGGAAGGCAATTTCGGCCTTTCGCTTGCGATTGCCATGAGGAAAATCAGTCTTGCTAGACGTGCCAAGAAAATGCACGAGGTCGAGGCATTGTTCCACAACTACATTGAGAAGTTGATTAAGAAAGGAGACAGGGCGCAGGCGGATGCCGTGGTCATTAAACTAGCTCGTTTTGTCGACAAAGTTTTGAAGGACCGCTCCAAAACCCGGGAAATCATGGAGAAAGCCATCGAGTCTTCTCCTGTGAGTATCTTCACTTATTATCCTTATTCCCGATTCGTTTGTCCTACTATTCTACGTTTTATTTAGAAAAGTTTTGCATCAAATTTTTTAAAATTCGTGGTTTCTATTCAAACGCTGAATTCCTGGTGACTTCGTTTTGTCTTTTAAAAATTCCATAGATGTCGCCCTTTTTGATATTGGTGATGCTTTTGTTAACAGGCTATTGGAAATCGAAAGGAACTCTTTGACAGCTGAGTTTAAAAAAAAAATCGCAATAAAAATGCGGACTGACGTATTTAAGGCCGATCGATGTCTTGATTCGCGAGTTTTGACGTAACTTGAGGGTTCATTTCCTTATGGTTCCAGGGTAACCCGAGAATGTACATGTACATGATCGATTTCTTTGCTGAGGAAGGCCCTGAACGAACGCCAGAGATTTTGGCCGTGTTCGAAAAAGCGGAGAAGTCAGAATTGCCGAATGACATTAAGTTGATGTTCATGCATAGAAAAATGGAGTATATGGAAGATTTTGGGGACCAGATTATCGAGTGAGTTGCCTTGTTGAAAAAATCTTTTATCGTCTTTTGCGTAATGTTGCTTGTAATTTTCCAATCGCAGAGCGGAGAAGGCATTCGAGGACTACGCTTCATTCGTGAAAAAGGCGAAGGAGGACCGAAAACGTGGGCATGATGACGGGTAAGTGAATCAGTTGCATTTTTCATATAAAATGTATGTTTTTACTCAATTCCGGTTTTCACCCTTTTCAAACCTGTGGATTGAGAAAGCTACGATACTTCGTTCCAAGTTTCCCTGAAAATATAATAGGCCTCATAGGAGAGACTCGCGCGCTGTTTAAATTTTAAAAAAATGAAAAAAAAGAAACAGGGTTGATACAGAACCGTAGTTGCGGAATTCACGAATTAATGAAATGTTTTTTTCGTAGGAAGAGAGGACGAAATAAAATTTAAAAAAGCAAATAAACATTGCCCGGACACCCAAGTGTTCATCACGTTGAAGCCGAAAGGGGAACACTGTTTACTTGTTATAGTGTTTGAAATTGTTTTTGGTGCCTTTGAAAATCAGTGTCATCATCATGATAATGATCGTTTCCCCAAATTGACGGAGAGGGCGGGAGAAAATTCTGTGGCATCCGTTGGAAAATTCCTTTAGTTTCTGTTTGCTTGCTAAAAAATTAATCAATTGAATTTCACCTGTAAAGAGGAAGATGTCATGAACTTTCCCAGTGTCGGAACTTTTGTTGAGACGATTTAAGAATTCTTTTTTTCATCACCTTTCTGCGATGCACTATCGGAAAACAATTTTTTAAAAGCCCCAACACTGTTAAATTGATTTCAGAAAAAAACCACGGAAACGTCGAAAAAACAAACCAGAAAATCACAGAAATTTCTAAGTTATTTCAAGTGCCCAAAGTAACCGTAATGACGGGCAAGAAAAACGTACTCACTTTTAATTCATCGAAATGAAAGTGAATGGCGCCTGTGTGCATCATCTTATCTTCTGTGAAGATCCGACGTACCGAATTTACTCGACTACCGAGCGCGTCCACGAGTAAGACGGTCGCCTTAGTTTTTTTCTTAATCAAAATTAGGAAAATATTTAATTACCGCACCTCAATTTTCACTTCCAAAAATTAACACGGTATTATAAAAACGACTTCGTAGAAATCTAAATACAAGCCCACTTGAAAGTTGACTCAACTGCAGCAGATGTTTCTACTACTCTTCGTTTTTATACAAAACAAAAATTCACTGAAAAAAGAATTTTGAAACAATTTTAATTGGGAAACGAATTCGAAGTTGATAAAAATGTGTACCCGACTATGGCACGCACCGCATATTTTGCTCGCGTTCTTTTTTTTTGGATAAAAGGTACGGGTGGTACTAGAGTAAATACGGTAGTGCACAGTAAACTACTGTACAGTATTCATGTTCGGAAATCTGCGAAATTTTTTCTGGACGCTTCTTTAAATTGATGGGGGCTGTTGATAAGATGATTTTGATAATTTTTCGAGTTATGAAGAAATGCGATTATTGTTTTTCGCTCGTCGTAATTCTCTTGTACTTTATTTAGGTACGAGTACGACGCCACTGGCGCGAAGAAGGCCAAGACGGACGCCACGAGTAGCAGTATTTCAGTGCGCGCGTCAACCGGCGCCACTGGGCCCTACCAGTACGGCAGCTACTCGCAGCCCGCCGGCAGCACCAGCGCGGCGCAGTACAACCAAGCCTACCCTTACTCGTACGGCACGGCGTACCAGCAGCCGCAGCAGGGAGCCTGGAATTATGGCGGCGCTGCGGCGGCGGCGGCTGCTGCCGCTGCAGCAGGCGGACAATATGCCGGCTACACCAGTCAGCAAGGATGGCAGAATGGATACTCGTACTATGGCCAGCGTTGAGAAAAAAACAAAAAACAAAGAGGCGGATGTGTTTCGTGTGTGTATGTGTGTGGTTCACTTGTTTCGTGCTGATGGTTATGAGGATGAAGGAGAAGAGACTGCGCCATTTTTTATTCGACTTTTTGTTTTTTATCTTCTCTGTTTCGCCGCGTTCGTGGTTTCGTTTCGTCGTTCCTTTTTCCTTGCACTGACCTTTTTTTTATACATTTGGTTGCATGGGGCCGATTATTTTTTTCTCTCCTGGGTCATGTACTCATTCAAGTACGTGAAAAATTGACGATTCTAATTCTTCCGTCATAAATTCTTTGTGCCTCGAAATCTTGTTGTTGAAGTTTTTGTTTTTATCTGAAACCGTGACAGTTGAGAAAAGGGACGTAAATGGGAGAACGGTACTTGATGCCTGAATAAGAAGAACTTCATTCTATTCTTTGGAGCTTCTTAGTGTCGTCGTCGAATGAGCGCAATAAGAATTCAGAAGTCACCCCTTTTTCCCCCCTCGCGCGCGGAACGAGCATTTTCACCTTTCTGTTAGTTGAGCATGTTGTTTGAACGTGCTTACTTTTGGTGGGACGTTTTCGATTTTTATGAAGCTCCGAGTGTGTGAATGTGTCGTAGTTGCGATGCGTTACAATAAATGAACGTTTCGTTGAAGGAGAAATTGTTGAATGTCAATTTTTGTTGTTGAACTTCTTGAACCTCTCTTGTAGGATTAATGGTGTATGTGTTTGACGTGGTAAATTAACTGTACTGTATTCTGTGATTGACGAAAGGTTTTGGTACTGTACCTACACTGTGCACCAGAAATCCAGAATGTTCGACTCTTACAAATTTCGTCCACCTTGCAGTATCTCGTGCAAAAATGCTCAGTGAAAAAGTAGTGATACGAAATTTCTTTTTTCAGATTTCAAGCTATTCAAGAGAAATGTATTTATAGAAATTTCAATTTTTCAACTGTCCAAAAATGTTTCGCTCTTCGCAATATGAATGGGAAAGTGATGTGACAGGAACATTTTATCATGCAGTGTGAAGTCCTGAAAAATGCTTTGCAAATCTGATGAAATCCCAGATGCATATAAATTGTGATGAAAATTTGTTTCAAATTTTAAAATTTTTAACAGAATTAGATTTTGATCCTGCATGGGATTAGAGGATAAGCTTGTACCGTACATTATGGAAGACATCAAGGGTAAGATGCAATTTTAATTTGTACTTCACCATAGCAGGAACATTTTTGTTTGAAATGCAACTGTTGGCATTCAATTTTTTTCAATTCAAGACGCATCTTGCTTGTATACACTGCATCATCCTGAATCAATCACCCTCTTGATCTGCTGCTTGCATAATTCTAACATGAATTTTCATAAGTACATTAAATGCTGTTTTGATCTGAAGCAAAGATTTAACTGACGGGGATTTACAGTATAAATGGTCATGGAATGTGTGATTTCATTATATTTATGGCAAATGCAGCAGGATATGGTAAAAAATAAAAATCCCTTGATTTTCTTTTTAATTTCAGTTCTAATGGGTTGAAAGTCTCAAATTGTGAGCTATTATTTTGATCCAACAGTCATTCAAAAGAATTGATTGTAGATTTTTGAAAAAATGGACATCACAGCAGGGGGCCATTTAATCATTAATTTGATTCTGTAAATTTTAGATAACATGGAATAAAATTTGAATGATACAGCCACCTAATTTTGAGAAAATAAACTCTGGAAAAAACTTGGAGTACATATTCCTAGCTCTGCATGGACTAAATGTAAATCCTTAATTAATCAGATGGTACCTTGCAATTTGATCCTAATCTATTGCCAAACTAGGGTCAGATTGTTAATTGGTTGAATTACAAGACACTCCATGAAATGTAAAAATATGAGCAAAAAACCACAAAAAGTGGCCAAAGCAGGTCAAGGGTCAAATTGCAAGCCAAAGTCCCGATGCAAATTTGACTTTTCAAATTGTGGGATGGTCAAATTGCTGCAGGTCAAATTTCAAGGTACCACCTGTACTGTGATAAGTTGAAGGTAGAAAAAATTTTGAAAATGCACCTTAAGAGTTTCTGTGTGATACAGGCATAAAAATATGTTTCAAAAATGAAAAAAAACATGAATGTATGAATACACATACGCCACCTAATTTTGAGAAAAGAAACTCTGGAAAAAATTTCGAGTACATATTCCCTCTGCATGGAATAAACGTAAATCCTTAAATCAGGTGGAACCTTGGAATTTGATCCTAATCTATTGTCAAACTAGGGTCAGATTGTGAATTGGTTGAATTTCAAGACACTCCATGAAATGTAAAATATAAGTAAAAAACCACAAAAAGTGGCCACAGCAGGTCATATTGTAGGGCAAGGGTCAAATTGCAAGGTGTACCACCTGTACTGTGATATGTTGAAGGTAAAAATTTTTTTTTTGAAAATGCGCCTTAAGAGTTTCTGTGTGATACAGACATAAAAATATGTTTCAAAAATGAAAAAATACATGAATGTATAAATACACATACTGGATTGAGTGCTGGTCAGACCACACACTATCATTGCTCTGCATTTCCTCATCAACAAAACATCAACAGCAGAAAGCTGCTATGCAGAGCCAAGAATTCTTTTGCATATTTTTCAATAATTTTGACATCAACAAGAAAGAACATATATGGTCAACACTCCAGGTTTGTATATGCTGCCTGTCAGATCTTCAACAGCTTATATACAGACCCACTTACTCTTGTGAATCCATTTTTCAACTTCACTTATTCGACTTTTTGTCAACCAAGAGCCGGTACACCCTGGTTGGTGCCTTGTAAACATGCGCCATTATAAAGGGTCTCTGGTGACTCGCTTTGCGGCTCAAGCTCACGTGTCTGTTTGAAGAGCCACGGGCAAAAATGCGGCCCATCTTCTGGCTTTTCGGCCTTTTTGCAACAGGGTGTCTTCTCTTGTTATTATTTGGCTGAAAGTTCTGATGCTGTCTTGAACGATTCCTGCTATTATTGCTGGTGCTGCGATGACGATATCGATTAGGGAATCCCAAATGCGCATTCCTTGCCTGATGGTGAATTTTGGTACAAGGAAATTATAAACATTTATAAATTTTCACAGAATTTTAAATGAACCCATGAATGAAAATTGTAAATATTACAATATTTGTTCAACATCTTTGACCATATCTTTATGGAGTTTTTAATTGCAATGGAATTCAAATATATGTACCTTATACATAGTTATGAACCTCAATGATTAAAACCTCTTGAAGTCAAATATCTCTCTGTGTTACATTTTTCAAAGCCTCAGTCTGAATTCCTTTATTGAAACAATGTATTGATTACTGTACTGTATCTCCCTACCAGAGAGAGTTTCCCCATTATGCCTATACATAAGTGGAACTTTTAAAAGGAATGTAAGCTATTTTTGGACCTATAGAAAAGAGAAGATGATGTGAAAACTTCACTTGGTACTTTTTGGAAGAGTGCTGAGAGAGACATAACTGCTGGGGAAATGAACCCTTGCTTCCAATTTGAGCATATCCTGATGTCAACTCATCAACAGATTATAGTTTAGGGCCAAGAAAATCAACAATATAACTTTTTGTAATATTTTTTCCTTTTTGTATAGGCAAAAATGCCCTTACTGCTGGACAACTGAAAAATTAGGGTGCCACATTGCAGTTTGACTAAAAACAAGGTTCAATTGCATAAATTATATATGGAGACCCCCCAGATGCAGACATAATTGGTACTTCAAGAGTGTCCCTAAGTCAAGTCTTGTTTTCCCCAAAACTCACATTATGAAATTTTTAATTGGTGTTTTATGGGAAAAATATTTATATTTCATGACATTTTTTGCCATTTGAATTTGATTCAGTGAATATCTTTCAATTCAATAAGAACATTTGGAGCATTTAATAGTGTACCTCTGCATGTACAGTACATTGCAATGTTGGCATCTGTAAAAATAATGTTCAGGTCACTAAATGAAATAGATGCGCACCACATTTAAGGTTATTTTTTCCTTTTTGAAAATGTGGTTTTTAGATTAATTTTTTAATCTACTGAATTTTTAATCATTTTGACATCAACAATGAAAGAACATATATATGGTCAACACTCCAGGTTTGTATATGCTGCCTGTCAGATCTCCAACAGCTTATATACAGACCCATTTACTCTTATTGTGAATCCATTTTTCAACTTCACTTATTCGACTTTTTGTCAACCAAGAGCCGGTACACCCTGGTCGGTGCCTTGTAAACATGCGCCATTATAAAGGGTCTCTGGTGACTCGCTTTCCGGTTCAGGCTCACGTGTCTGTTTGAAGAGCCACGGGCAAAAATGCGGCCCATCTTCTGGCTTTTCGGCCTTTTTGCAACACGGTGTCTTCTCTTGTTATTATTTGGCTGAAAGTTCTGATGCTGTCTTGAACGATTCCTGCTATTATTGCTGGTGCTGCGATGACGATAACGATGAGGGAATCCCAAATGCGCATTCCTTGCCTGAGGGTGAATTTTGGTACAAGGAAATTATAAACATTTAGAAATTTTCACAGAATTTTAGATGAACCCAGAAATTGTAAATATTACAATATTTGTTGAACATTTTTTACTATATCTTTATGGAGTTTTTAATTGCAATGGAATTTATATACATGTACTTTATATGAACCTCAATAATTGAAACCTCTTGAAGTCAAACATCTTTCTGTGTCACATTTTTTAAAGCCTTGATTCCTTAATGGAATTCAGTAAAGTCTGAATTCCTGTATTGAAACAATGTATTGAATACTGTATCTCCCTACCTGAAAAAGTTTCCCCATTATGCCTATACTGTATATAAGCTGACCTTTTTAAAGGAATTTAAGCTATTTTTTTGGACCTATAGAAAAGAGAAGATGATGTGAAAACTTCACTTGGTACTTTTTGTAAGAAAGTGCTGAGAGATACATAACTGGGGAAATGAACCCTTGCTTCCAATTTTAGCATATCCTGATGTCAACTCATGAACATAGTATAGTTTAGGGCCAAGAATATCAACAATATAACTTTTTGTAATATGTTTTTCCTTTTTGTATGGGCAAAAATGCCCTTATACTGGACAACTGCCAAATTAGGGTACCACATTGCAGTTTGACTAAAAGTTAGGTCCATCTGCATAATACAGTAGTATAAATTGAGACCCCCCAGATACAGACATTATTGGTGCATCAAGTCAAGAGTGTCCCTAATTCAAGTCTTATTTTCCCCAAAACTCACATTATAAAAATTTCAATTGGTGTTTTATAGGAGAAATATTCATCAGAATTCCATGAAAACATTTTAACGGTAAACTTAAACTAAGTCACTTATAGAAAGTTAAGTTATTCTTGTAAACCTCGTAAATTATCACATGGAGACGTACATGTCATGTAACGTTACAACCGTAGACATTTTTATTACAAGTCCAGTGAAAGAGAGAAGGCAGTATTCTATGCAATAGGTAATTTTTTTTAAATTAGCTGAATGCTGGATGGGAAAATGATGAGAGAAATACCAAATAATTCTTCTTACATAGGGCTGGAAATACAATACCTGTTTTTTTGCAATTCAGTCTGATGAACATCACTTTTCCTGAAACTTATTATTTGCAATTTTATTTTGCAATGTCTGCATGTTGGGCCTTTTT